ATTAGAAAATACATAACTGGTGTTTTTATTCACATTTCCTGAAAATATATTTGAGATTTGATAATTTTCCCTATATAAATGATTAACTATAATAATAAACTTCGAAGAAATTCCATGGGTAAATTCACATTACTATGTGAAATCGGAATCATTTTTGTGAGCATTTTCAATTACCGTATATACTCACCTATAAGTCGGTTTTTTGGGAGTAAAAATTTGGACCAAAACTCTATGTCCGACTTATAGGCGAGTCATAAAAGATTATTTTTCTGGAAGTTGAAATGTAATATTTTATAAACATTTCCCGGATGATTATCTTTGAGCAAAGTCAGGATACATTATATCATTTATTTATTCTAAGATTATGCATAAACACATGATAAAGTACAAGTATCACATATTTTAATAACTTTTTTTTTTTATCTTAAGAGTGCATTACTTATTTTGTTGACGATTTAAAATTACATATCAGTGTCATTTCTTAAAATATTAATTGAAACCTGGTTTAAAAATCAGAGCAGTGATTTGAAATTGTCAACCGATCCTAACAAAAAGTTGCACCGACTTATATGCGGGTCAATGGCAAATCCCTCCAAAATAACCTCAAAAAATACAACCGACTTAGATCATTCAGGTTTAAGAAGATGCAGAATGATCAAATCTACAGCTTTGTTTCCAGCCAATCAAAAACAAAAGTCCAAAAACTGATGATAAATATTTAACATAATTTCAGAAAAGCTGAAAATGTAAAAAAAAAAGTGTGTTAATTGTCACAGAAGAAAGATGTTTTAAAAAGTGAATATAAAACATCATCTATTCTAAAGTGTCCCACAGTGACCTAAAGAAATTTATCAAATATCATTTACAATGCTCAAAATAATTATATATTTAGTCCATAAATACGAGGGGTGATCAAAAAGTCCGCGAACTATCTCTATATTTACAAAACCACAATTCAGATCAGAATGAAATTTGGCACACATATAGTCATACACATGTTCTATAAATGACAGATGTTAAATAATGTTTTGCTCTGCGTTTGTGACGTCACAATGTGAAAATGACGTCAATATGTAAGTCACTTGTGACAAAAAATGGTTGACTCAGTCGTACTCGAGCAACGAACGGCTGTAAAGTTTAATGTATATCTTGGAAATTCCTTAGCAGTAGAATATGATAAAAAATTGTACAAGGTTTATGAAGACAAAAGACTTACCAGAAGTTCAATCATTAATTGGATTGATTGTTGAAGAGAAGGTAGGGAGATGGTTAAAAATGATGTTTGTTCTGTTGCCCAGCGAAAGCATGTGTCCTTAGTTGAGCAATTTGTTGTTAAACATCATCAAGTTACAATTAGAAAAATGATTGAATACCTTAACAATAATATAATTATTAAATCCTTAAAATATCGTTTACTTTAGATTTTAAACATATGAGATATGATAATAAGAGGCCCAAGGGCCTTAACGGTCACCTGAGTATAAAACAACAATCCATAGAGTATAAATTGAAAGCTGCAAAAAACAAACCCAGGTTATACAATATATATTAATTTTTTATCCAATCAAATGATGCGTTACAACCAAAATTAAATTATATTAAAATGACTTATCATGGTTTTGTTGTTTTTGAGAAGATTTTTAAATGATCTTTCCTATATATTCCTAAATAAAACTTTGATCACCTGTTGTGCCCCCTCCCTACCCCAGGGGGTCAAGATTTGAACAAATATGAATTAACATTACCCAAAGATGCTTCCATATAAATAAGATAAATCATGGCTTTGCTATTCTTGAGAAGAAGATTGTTAAAGTTTTTTCATATGTATTCATGTATAAATCTTTGATCGTCCATTGTGGCCCCACTCTATCCCCAGAGTCATGATTTGAACAAACTTGAATCTATACTATATCTGAGGATGCTTCCATGTAAATATAACCAATCATGGCTTTGCTATTTTTGAGAAAAGAATTTTTTAAAGATTTTTCCTGTGTATTCCAATGTAAAATTTTCATTGTCAATTGTGGCCCCACCCTACCCCCGGGGATCACGATTTAAACAAACTTGAATCTACACTACCTAAAGATGTTTCCACATAAGTTTCATCTTTCTTGGCCCAGTGGTTCTGCAGGAGAAGTTTTTTCCAATGTATTCCCATGTAAAATTTTGATCATTCATTATGGCCTCCCCCTTCCCCAGGGGGTCATGATTTGAACAAATTTGAATCTACACTACCTGAGGATGTTTGCACACAAGTTTCATCTTTCTTGGCCCAGTGGTTCTGGAGAAGAAGATTTTTAAAGATTTTTCCTATGTATTCCTATGTAAAACTTTGATCGTCCATTGTGGCCTCACCCTAACCCCAGGTGTCATGATTTGATCAAAATTGAATCTACACTACCTGAGGATTTTTGCACATAAGTTTCATCTTTCTTGGCCCAGTGGTTCTGGAGAGGAAGATTTTTAAAGATTTTTCCTATGTATTCCTATGTAAAACTTTCATCGTCCATTGTGGCCCCACCCTACCCCAGGGGGTCATGATTTGAAGAAACTTGAATCTACACTATCTGAGGATTTTTCCATACAAGTTTCATCTTTCTTGGCCCAGTGGTTCTTGAGAAGAAGATTTTTAAAAGATGCCACTAATTTTTCACTAATTCTTAATTATCTCCCCTCGGAAAAAGGATTGGCCCTTCATTTGAATAAACTTGAATCACCATTAGCCAAAGATACTTTGTGGCAAGTTTGGTTGAAATTGGCCCAGTGGTTCTTGAGAGGAAGTCGAAAATGTGAAAAAGTTTACGCACGACGACGCACAAAACCAGATAGCAATAGGTCACCTGAGTGACTCAGGTGACCTAAAAAGAAGGCGCCATTACTTTATCCACATTGGATAGATGACGCTCACAAGACAGAGGACTCGGGTTGTGATGGGTCACCATACTAATTTTGGGAAGGGATATCCTTATCCACCCATCCTATTTGGCCATTTCTGACAGATGGACTGTTTTTGTTATAAAAAATAACTTGCATGGTAAGAAATATAAGACTCGGAAAAAACTTTTAGCTTCTGTGAACAGACTGCTACGGAGCATGTCATGTGACTGTCTGGATCACGTGATTCGCGAACGGGCAGAACAGTGGCAGATGTGCAATAAAATCAGAGAGGACTACAGTAAGTTTTGGGGTATATGTCGATGGGGTGTATAGGTCGAAAGGCTCATTTTCAGCCGTAATTTTTTTAAAATCCCTAGATAGGACGAATTCGGAAGATAGGACGAGGCTTTGTTTATCGATTTCTAGAGATTCTTACGTAGATACTACGTATCAGAACATGTAAACCTCTTTAACTTAGCCTGTGATATTAACATACTGAAAAAATAAACTAGTATTTTTATGAGTATAGTATTTTAATAGTGTTTTATACAAAAGTAGTTAAAACTTCCTTGAATTGTGATATAACGTATTTTCTCCAACTTGCCTGTTCAATGCCGTCGTAGTTTGACTCTGTCGTTAAACACATAAATACGGTAGTATAAAACAGCTATAATTAGGGAAATACCCGAAATTAAACAATAATCATTTCCATTTTAGAACATTGTCGACACATTCTTTTATTCAGATATTATTTACTGGGGTAAAAAATTAACTTCGATGACCGCCATTTATATATTTTCTTGTCCAGGGATTTGCTAAAACACGCAAATGACTATTACATGTAACAGTGAGCAAAGGAAATTAATCATATTAACATGCTATAATTTTGCACGAGATATTGTTGTAAAAAATAAATTTAATTGAGAGTACATTCGCAATTTAACAGTCATCAAGAATTTCACAGTTTTGTTTGTTCAATGATGTATAGCACTAATACCCCTGTAACGGCACGTGGATCTGTTAATCATGCCCTGCAGGTGTTTTAACCAACACAGGTGTTAACACCTTTGTGTACACAGTGTATATTCCTTTATCTGTCAGACAATTAAAATTGTATTAGAAGCCAATCTTTGTATAATTCAGTGTACCCCTTGGGTACGAGGAAGCTTTCAATTCTATCATTTAAAAAAATATTTATTTTGTAAAACAAAAACAAAAAAAACTGTGAATAAAAAATAACGTATCGTAAATAAATGAATTTATAACTTCCAAAAACTTATAATAGTATGTTCCAGATAAGTTCGTTTTATTATAATTAATTAAGATATAAAACAAAATAGTTATTACTAGCGGTATATTTGGTAGATAAATTTAGGAATTTACTGGCAACAATTTACTTCACGCATTTTACATTTAAATAAATATCACAAGACAATGAACAAATATTTAGGCATACTATTTCAATTAATCGTTACAAATAAATGGTAAAAAAGATTACAATTGCGATTGTGATAACTCTTCCGTAGTTTAAATTTTGATACGGCTGCGGTTTTCTTTTTAGTAAACGATTGCGACTTCCAACTTCACAAGATGGACACAGCATGTTGTAAATATACTCTGAGACATTAATTACTAGATGATATACAGGTAATAAGTTTTTTTTGTACATTGACGGATATTTAATGGAACTTATTTCGTAAGAAATCATTGGAATAAATATTAAATTCTTTATTGTTTATTATTTTTTTCTTGGTAAAATAATTTTTAAAAATACGAACGGATTTGCTTTAAAATTGACATAAATTTTACTGATTTGGAGGCATTTTTTGTAAACTTGAGCCTTAGATAGGTCAATTCGTTAAATAGGACGACCCCAGCGGTTCTGAGAAAAAAAGTATCATCTTATCTTCCAAAACTTACGGTACTTTAAAAAATAATAAACACTGAAACCTCATTTTATTTCTTTTAAGGAAGTAATTCTATTAGTTCGCGAACTTTTTGATCACCCCTCGTACATTAATGAAAACTTGTCACCTTATATCAATATACCCTAAGACTATAGCATGTTCAACATCATATATTTACAGCACTGAATTAACATATTAGAATTGTGTGGGACTCACTGCATCACATGGAGCACTGTGTTGACACTGGGGGCAGGTCTTAGTACAACCAGGGCCATAAAACCCCACAGGACAGGAGTGTTCACACCTAGGTCCGACGAATCCATCTTTACACGTACAGAAACCATAGGCAACATCACAAGTGGAAGTCTGGTTCATATAACACTGACAGCGAGACTGGCAGTTCTTACCATAGCTATAAATAGATTACATAGGTTCATATAACACTGACAGCCTGACTGGCAGTTCTTACCATAGCTATAAATAGATTACATAGGTTCATATAACACTGACAGCGAGACTGGCAGTTCTTACCATAGCTATAAATAGATTACATATAGGTTCAAATAAAACTGACAGCGAGACTGGCAGTTCTTACCGTAGCTATAAATAGATTACATATAGGTTCATATAACACTGACAGCGGGACTGGCAGTTCTTACCCTAAATAAATGTATACACTTTTTACAGTAGCTTTAAATAGATTACATAATTTGTACCATAACTATAAATAGATTATGCAGTTTTATATAACCAGTTTATAGATTGACATTAGGTTTCAAGCAATAAGGTTATCTTACTGCAGTAACTGTTAATAATACACTCAAACCTCGTGCGTTATCTCAAACTCAATGGAACCAAGAAATAAAACAAATTAAAATATAAAATACATAAGGAACAAGTGATTAGGACTTTCAAATCCTTCCACATATCCATGGTATTTCAGATATTAGTGTTTAAAATATCACAGTTCAACTGTATATCAAATAGACTTACACAGCAAGGTAAATAATTATAAGATATTAAAATACTGCAGAATCATCATTGGGGGGGGGGGGGGGGGGAGACCAATTATTTAGTTATTTCATGGATCACTCAGTCTATGAATTCAGATCCCAATAATAGATAACTGTCAACATATGGGTTCATTGCATCTAAAAACAGTTATAGCAAAGTACAGCAGCTTTGCCTCTGTCAATACTGAAATTTTCAAGTGAATATGAAAACATAATCACCACCAAAAGAGTCCATAATTGTATTTAATCCATAATAAACCCTCTATTCTTAATGGACATCCTTTCCTTCAACTTTGACTACCAAATATGTACAGGAGATAATCTGTAATAAACTGTGGATCGACATGGAACCGGTCCTTCGGATGAGACCATATAAACCGAGGTCCTGTGTCACAGTAGGTGTTGACACAAAAAAGATCCCTCACTCCTCAATGGCCCTGAGTGCTGAATATAGGTACAAATTTGCAGTCCTCCACAGGCAATTGGTGGCATCTTCATATGAGTGAAAAATTTCTCGAGAGGGACATTAAACAACAAACAATCAAATGAGGATTTTTTAAGTATTTCTCTGGGATCCCCCAAAACTTTGCTTTATACATAAATTTGCTATAGCCGTGTTTGAACTCAATGAATTTTATTGTTCTGTATTAATGAGTTGCCCCCAGAAATTTTGTTTCCACAAACCAGTAAGCTACTTTGCCCATGAAACAAAGACCCTATAGAATTAAAATGATTCCATAGTGTACTGTATGTGTACATAATTAACGTATTCAAAATTTAGCGCAATCACCGGGTATGGAGTGATTGGCGTAGTCATGAATTAGCACTACACATGTAGCGCTAAAAAATAAAAATAAAAAAGTTGTACTTACTGTCTTTGAGTTAAAGTAAAATTTTAATATCTTACTCTAAATAATTATTAAACATCGTATTAGATTATTGCTGTTCAATTATCGTGTCAACCTGGCTGAAAATGAGCCTTAAGGTATTTATTGTGCGGTCGTATTTTTATTATTGAGCATTTAATTACCATTTACTATTAATTAAAAACAATTAACTTAAGATTTTCTAATTCAGGAGGATCAATTATGTGTAATTATATATGTTAGAATAGCATTGTGTAACTAATACCGTACATACATGACGTATATACATTGTCGAGGTTCACATATAGAGTATGCGGGTCGACATGGTTGAACTGAATGGTCCAAGTGACAAATGCCAATACTAGGGGTGCAACGATACACTAACCTCACGATACGATACGTATCACGGTATTCAGTTCACGATACGATACGTATCACGATACATGGCAAGGTTAAAAAAGTCCTTCAAGTTTGTATCATATTTTTTTTAAAACGTGACAGGGTTATATAAAATGTTCATATTTTTAAATAATAATTAAAATAAAATTTTGTTAACTTGAATTGGATTGTTAGGTAGATCTTTGAGTTTTGACAATTTTCTAAACCAATGATGAACATTACAGGGAACTACGGGGACCTTTCCTAATAATCTTCCTTTTAAATTGGAATGAAAAAGGAAGACATTCATTCTTTTATTCATTTTATTTACGTAGAAAACCAGTTGTCATATTTTTCGTGTTTTAGTCAACAGGTCGGTGAATTTTCATCGAATTACACACGTGATGAAATATCGTGTATTACCAAAGAATATGTTTAGATCTAAAGGGTTTATCATTTGTCTTAACATCTATAACTTATAATCACATTAAGTCCTTCTCCGTGTTAAAACTGAGGTCTGTATGATGCTGGAGATGAGTTTAACTTCCGTTAATGCGTTATCGGTGACCTCACGTTTTGCGCGGAAGCCATTTTGAAATTGTAAAAAAGGAAACAAAACGGACGATTCGGATAATTCTGGACCGATTGAACTGAACCGCAATATCAGTTTAGCGTATCGTGAATTGAACCGTGGAAAAATATACTGCAATATACCGTCAAACGGTTTATCATTGCACCCTTAGCCAATACACCATTTTAAATTAAAATTAAATTCAATTAAAAGTGAATTTGGAGAAAAATCATATAATACATAGATATATATTTACATACATTTATATATGCCTATTGCTTGGTGAAATAGATGACGACTAAATTGGGTTCGATGTTCAAGGCCTGATAAAATGGCAGATCGAAGCAAGTAATGAAAAACATCATATCGTATCCATTTATTAACGGTAATCATGATTTAGCGCATCGCTGCCTGCGCCAAAGCCGCTAAAATATGAAACCCGCTTTTTTAAGTACACATACAGTATGTTATCAATATCTCCTTTAGCATTGAAGAGATTAAATAGTTTAAAAATCTACTTAGCACAATAGATGTTGAAAAATACGTACGATCCTGATGAACAGAAAAACTCGCAATGTGCCCCAAAGTTTCCAGGAGGGCAGACACAGTTACCAGAGACCGGGTCACAGCCCTGGGGGCAGGGACAGGACTGACGACACCCATCTCCATACATCTGATAAGGACAGTCCTGCATCACAAATAAACACAGTGTTTAACCAGAATTTTGGATCAGAAAATTGTTCTATTGGAATATAGTGTCAAGAACTTTTTACATATTCTTAACTTTTCACATTTAGACTCTGTATTACTATTAGACCTATGAACATTTTACATTTGTCTCTTTTTAATTTACCTTTTGACATTTAGAACCTGTTCTTCCGGGTTTACATTCACACTGTCCCGTCACTGAGTTACATGGGGAACCATTACAGTCACATGACAGAGTACAGTCCACACCAAATGTGTAGGGGCTGCACTGCTCACCACACAATTCTGTTAATAATACAACAAAACAGTCACATGACAGAGTACAGTCCACACGAAACATGTAGGGGCTGCACTGCTCACCACAAAATTCTATTAATAATACAAAACAGTCACATGACAGAGTACAGTCTACATCAAATGAGTAGGGACTATACTGCTCACCACGCAATTCTGTCAACAATACAACAAAACAGTCACATGACAGAGTACAGTCCACACCAAATGTGTAGGGACTACACTGCTCACCACAAAATTCTGTCAATAATACAACAGAAAAGTCAAATGACAGAGTACAGTCCACACCAAACGTGTAGGGGCTGCCCTGCTCACCACACAATTCTGTCAATAATACAACAAAACAGTCACATGACAGAGTACAGTCCACACCAAATGTGTAGGGACTGCACTGCTCACCACACAATTCTGTCAATAATACAACAAAACAGTCACATGACAGAGTACAGTCCACACCAAATGTGTAGGGACTACACTGCTCACCACACAATTCTGTCAATAATACAACAAAACGGTCACATGACAGAGTACAGTCCACACCAAATGTGTAGGGACTACACTGCTCAATACACAATTCTGATAAAACAACAAAACAGTCACATGACAGAGTACAGTCCACACCAAACATGTAACACTGCTCAACACACAATTCTGATAAAACAACAAAATGTTTCTCAAACACCATACTTTTTAGAAAATCCTTTTGATGAAAGTTGAAAGTTAAGAGAAGAAATATAGATTAAACAATATTCTAATAGACAATGCCATGTTCAAAGAAGAATAAAATGAGCCTGTGAAACACAATGCAAATTGCAAAATTCTAGAACTAATGGTTTACTTTTATACATCTTAATAGACAAACCTTATTCTTAAACTTTAAAATTTTTTTTCTTCATGTATTACACTTTTAAGCTGAGCAGTTCCCATTCATCCCCCCATTCCTATACCCAGAATTCTGATCCTATGCTTAGAAATTTTGATCAACTGACCTGCTGTCCAGCCTGGTTGACAGTGACACACCCCCTGTACCGGGTCACAGTTTCCGTGCTCCGTACACCGACAATGCTCGGAACAGTTACGACCAAAAAAACCCTGAGGACATGGAAAATTACACATGGCTCCTGTAAATCCTGGCTTACATCTGTAGGGTAAAAGTACATGTACATACAAACATCAAATATTGTATTTTCTCATGCTTTGGAATAATCAAAACTGCATGCTTTGTAGTCAATAGTTTATACATGACATGTACATTGTATTTGTAAGCAAATTCCTTATCCTTGATTATTTGAAAAGATAATCAATGTACTTAGCTTACTAGTAATATTAAAGAGTATGATTTCAAATAACAAAATGTTCAAACTCACAAACAAACTCCTGATACAGGGTCACAGTCTGAGTGCCTGGTACAGTTACAAACTCCTGGAAGACAAGGTGTATATTAAGATTGTTTGGTACAGTTACAAACTCCTGGAAGACAATGTGTATATTAAGATTGTAATTAAGGGTAGCAGTTGAAAATTCCACAAACAAACACTTGGAATTTGAGACATGTTTTAATTAGACATCGCAGAGAAGCTTATTGAAGCAAATCAGTTTTTTTCTTTCAAAATTGATAAATTAATGAAATGTACAAGCATTTTTAAAATATAAATCTAAATTTTAAATAAAATTAATGCAACCAAAGAAAATGATTAAAACAGACTACAAATTTTGTTTTGTCTATTGACCTTACCTTGACAGTTTGTGCCAAATCTTCCCTTGGGACAAACATCCTGGCACTGGTTGCCTTGGTAACCAGGTTTACACTGACACGACCCAGTTATGGGGTTACAGGTCGCAGTGTTAGTCATGTTACATGTACAGTTTTGCTGACAGCTGTTACCATAGCTACCAGGGTCACATGACTGTAATACAGTGCGGACTCGTTATTACGGTGACGGTTTTATAAGATAGAACGCTTATTACGTTGTAAATTCAAAGCACAAAACCATTTCTTAACAAATCTATACAAAATAGAACCGTTTATTACGATGTCCTAAAATGCCGGGACTCGGTATTACGATGTAAAAATTCTGTCCAAAATTTTTTTTCACTCCGTGTTTATTCAGTGTTGATCGACGGTAGACACTTAAGGAGACGCTAAATAAACATTGAAACACCTGTGCTCTGACAGAGTGTTAACTTGCAGGTCCGTTAGGTGATTAGTGACGCTTGACTGCACACACCTTGACTGTTCTAGAGAGGTCAGCAGAACTGGAGACATCGTGTCAAAGCCATTGTTAAACAATTAAAGTTAAACTGTTTATTTATAAACGTAGTCTCTAGTTTATCCCTGTCTGTAAAGTTTATTTTATCTTTTATACTTTGGTTAATAAATAAAATTAATTTATTAAATAAAAGGTTACATTTAATCTTGTGTATGTATGTTAAACACGTATTGTGTAATTTTGTTTGCAATTAAATTGCGGTAATGGACAGCTTGGGTATCAAACATAATTTTGGCCAAATTTGAACTTCACTTACGTTTTAATAGCTTTGATTGTGGCTTGGACTACCTCACAGGTGTCAGCAGAAATACAAATCGATAATTGCTGAACTGCTAATTGAACTCTGTTCAGTAATTTAAAAAATTAAATTTATTTTGACATATAGCTTGTACGTTGTCAAATTCCATTCTTAAATATGCCAGTCACACTCTTTCATCAGTTGTTCACTGCTGCTCTAAGCTCATTGAACACCCAAAAGCTCACTAAAAATTGTTGTTGTTATGTAGTAAACGACTATAAATTGAATACGAAGACGGCTTGTTGAATTTTTTACGAACGCATTATCTACAGAGTCAGAAACGAAAGTAAAATTAAGGAAATGGCGGTAGATAAATGAAGATCCGATAGATCGCCAAAGTTTTTATAAGAAATATACGTATTTCTTTTAAAATGAAAGAAATAGAAGAAATATCACCATGAAGATATCTATTCAAGATAAGTTGTTAATAAATTATATATGTATTAGCGTTTTGATTAGGAATTAGAACAGAAGAAGGGAACAAAAGGGCAAAAATACACCTTCCACAAAAATAACAAACTTTCAAAACGATGTTTTAATGGATTTTATTGGGAACTTTTATTACGTTGCCCTCGGTATTACGATATTTTCCCGTGACAAAATGAACATCGTAATAACGAGACCGCACTGTATAAAAACTTAAAACATTTAATCCCCTCTTTATGCCTAGGAATTCCACTCAACAAGAAATGTTTGAAAAGCATAGACTTTATTTTTGAGAGACATTGAAGACAGGGTTATCTAGGCCTCATTCATTGGAAATATTGGAAACTGATACAGAGTACAGGAATTAAGTTCATAAACTAACAGGGTAAGGATTACCTGAGAACACTGAACTCCCTGGCGACCTGGGGGACACTGACACAGGATTTTGTAGGTTGTTGCAGTTGTATCATGTGGATTACACTGTCCCCAAGATGGCTATAAAAATACCAAGATATATAAATTACACAAAATATGTTATTTAAATGAATTGCATCAAGTTCTGCATTATATAACTATTTCGATCCTCAGTATTACCGATGAACCAGTACTTGTTTGGCACCAGGGTTCACATTTCTGTTGTACTCCAGGGTGGACAATGGCGGGGGTTCCTGGAGGGGGACCAAATACTTGGATCCTGTCAGTACCCCCACAAGTCATCATACTGTTCCCAGCACAGGGACTGTTACACTGTCTGTAAAAGGGAAAATCTATAGTCTAAAGAGGAAGTCTATCAATTAAGAACTGTTGTTTTTGCTGCTAACTATTTCTTTGAAAGTTTAACCTCTGAATGTAAATGATAATGTGACCAAATGTGGCCATGTTTTCTTGATAAAAAAATGTTACAAGTTCTTTCCTATACATTACAATGTAAAACTATTGTTGCTCCAATTTAGCCCCCAAGATTACAATTTAAACAAACTTGAATCTACACAACACAGAGATGCTTGCGTAGTTATATGATATCTGTGGCCCCACTGTTCTTTGGAATATTACAAATTTTGATCCTTTATGGTGACTATGTTACAACTAAGCCCTTGGGACAAACAGGAATCTACATACATAGATATGAATGGATGTAAATATGACTAAATCTGACCGTTCCTTTCTTGAAAAGAGTTTTGAAGTTCTTTCCTGTGTAAAATGGCTTTGTCAAACTTTGATCCTGCTTGTGACCCTACTTCAACTGAGGGAGCTATTCCACACTCAATAAGGGATGTTTTAGAAAAAAAACTATGCATATATATTTTGCCTGGTGGATAAAGAGCAGAATATGTTTATATATGCTCCTGCCATATTTTCACTAAGTCTTTTCTTCATAATATCATCTTGAAAAAGGGTAGGATCCTTCATTTGAAACAAACTTGAATCCAATTTACCCAAGGATGTTATGAGAAGAAGATAGTGAGATAATGCCGCGGTAGTGGCCCTTCACTTTAAAGGAAGAAGAAGAAGATTGATTCCTTGATCCTGTGGCTGAACAGAAAATGTGAATAGGATTCAAACAAACTCACAACAGACAGACAAATGCTAGACACTGATTGATCAGAAAAGCTCACTGACTCTCTATAACTGACAAAGACTGATATTTATAGATTAGATATCATGACTCTCTACTACTGACACTGATTGATCAGAAAAGCTCACTTCAACATTTGACTGGAGTGAAATAAATGTATACATCTATAATTTACCGATGTTATTTATAGATTAGATATCTTGACTTACGAGTCGTCTTTCTTCTTGTTCATGTTGAGATGGTTGTCACAGTAACAGATATTAGGGGGCTTGGTACCGGAGTATCGATATCCCTGCTGTCTGATAACAAATATTAGGGCTAATATTTAGAAATATCACTCAACAAATCATAATATATTGTAACAGTAAATCTTGTCTTATCCAGAAGTTGTGTATTCCAAAATCTTGCCTTTTATGATGTAAATTTTTAGTTTCATTCATTAAATTTAATGGTTTAAAATGTTGTCTAATCCAGAAAATTGTCTAATTATATGGCCAATTTCTATGAAACCAGGGTTGTTTGGATTAGACAAGTTTTACTGTAAAAATGTACAGAAATATCAGCATGATTTTGTTAAAGAAATACATTTTACACTTTTCACATTCATAAATTAACAATAATAAGTGATAATTCAAAAACTTATGAATTTTAAAATACTTAGATAACTATAAAATATACTTGCATAGAAGAAAATTTGGGTCAAGGTGAGCTCAAAGTGTTCCTTAATTCTTCATTGCACATTGGTTGTTTAAATCTGATCTACAGAATTTTATTTCCAGAACCTCAGCCAGACCCTTTCATTGTTATTTTTCTCTGTATCCTACCTGCACAAATGAATACACCAATCAGGACTCATCTGTTGTGTACCAGGTGTGGATGCCAGGACAGAAAACAAATGACTGGATGATGTATCCTCAAAACATCCGCGGTAAACTTCGTCCCCATACTTAGTGGTCTGCAGGTTAATTTTAGATCTTCCCGGTAAACTATGGTCCTGAATAAGTGAAAATGTTCATCTGGACATTGTACAAGTAAAGTGTGCAATGCTACACTTTCATAATGCTACACTTTTATAATGCTACACTTTCATACTAACACCGTCTTGGAATCATAGCTTAAGTCTAGAGTAGAGGTGAAAATTTTGAACAATAGTATTAACCTAAATTCAAATGCATGAATATGAAACTTTTGCGATGTCATTAGGTAAATAATAACAAGAGACCTCAAGTGAGAAACTTTGGCCCTGCTGTTCTTAACCAGATTTTCCCCCTTGTAATACTTATTGTGGCTCCATCCTACTCCTGGGGGTCATGATTTGAACAATCTAGAATCTACACTACCTCAGTAAGCTTCCAAAAAAGTTTCAGTTTTTCTGGCCCAGTGGTTCTTGAGAAGAAGATTTTAAAACTTTTTTCCCTTACATTTCAATGTAAAACTTGGATTCCCTATTGTGGTCCCACCCTACCCTCGGGGGCCATGATTTGAACAATTTAGAATCTGCACTACACTAGGATGCTTCCACATAAGTTTCAGCTTTTCTGGCCCAGTGGTTCTTGAGAAGAAGATTTTTTAATGACCCCACCCTATTTTTGTCTTTTCCTGATTATTCCCCCTTGTAAGGGGACTTAGCCCTTCATATTAATAATTTAAACTCCCCTTCACCCACAAATGCTTTGTACCAACTTTGGTTAAAATTGGCCCAGTGGTTCTTGAGAAGAAGTTAAAAATGTGAAAAGTTTATTGACAGACAGATGGACAGATGGATCCTAGTGTAGTGCAGATGGACAGACAACAGGTGATCAGAAAAGCTCACTTGAGCTTTCAGCCCAGGTGAGCTAAAAAGTATAATTATCTGATTTATTAAAGAAGATGGGTGAATAAAGATGTACAAAATGCCTATAGCTCTCATTAAATAACAACTGAATTTAATTTCAAAATCTTATTAGCAATATAGACAGTAAATAATAGAAAGAAAATTTCAAAAGAGCTCAGTTGAGATGAAATGCTGTGAAAAGTTGGATTAAATGAAATAAAGAAACAAAAGATGGCTCCTTACAACAAACTGCCTCTTCCTCCGTATCGTCGTGACAACTCCTGCTGAATGTGGCACCCCACCTTTGAGGATTTCTGCCTCCACCCTGATACGTCCCATCCCTCCCTGACCCCCACAGGCTTGTCTGGTCCCAAATCCACCTGCCCCTCCCATGGCTAACACAGAGTTAGGAGCTGAAATGACAGGAAGTACAGTTTCACTGAAGGCCAAAGTTATTTGACCTTTAATCCTCTATGAAGTCATAGTACACTTTTTTGTTCACTACAATGACCTTCACTGACCTAGACTGACGACCTTGCCAATAATGTGAATACTTCCACCACTCCCTCCCCCTCCTGGTCCTGAGTCATCCCAGCATGCTTTGGTGTTGTTACCATGGCAATCCTGGACTTTTTGGGAGCTGCAAGAAGCTGGACAAGTGCCTACACAACTAGAAAAAAAAGAATATTGATACAGTGACATGTACATTTACTCTGTTATTTTAATAACATCAATAATGAAATGACTTTGTCACCCGAAGATCTCCAAAGGTGGAATTTATCAACACTAAATGCATACATTTTTCTCCCATTACTTCTGTTTTTTTTTTTAATTAACAAATTAAAAAAAACAAGAGGCCCATGGGCCTTATAGGTCACCTGAGTGTCATGCAACAACTTCGCCACAATTAAATTGGATTCATGTTTTAAACCAGAGGCCATGAAATTCACAATATCGAAAGAGGCACACTTGGTCATCATAATTTTACATTATTTAGTAAGCTTACTTAATACCCAGAAAGAGAGCAGAGGATTATCAAAGAATTAATGCATTTTCACTATGTAATCATTAGAGCCCTGCCCTAACACCAGAACCATGACCCAGGGGCCATAAAATTCACAATTTTGGAAGAGGCATCCTTACATATCATAACTATACTCTTAGTTCATCAGCTTAATACCCAGGAGAAAAGAAGATTTTCAAAGAATTATTGCATTTTTACTATGTAATCATTAGAGCCCCACCCTAACACCAGAACCCCTGACCCAGGGGCCATGAAATTCATAATTTTGGAAGAGGCACCTTTACTCATCATAACTATGCATCAGTTTGTTTGTTAAATACCTAGGATCAAAGAAAAAGATTTTTAAAGAAATAATGCATTTTCACCATATATTCAACAGAGCCCCACCCTTACACCAGAACCCCTAACCTAGGGGCCATGAATTTCACAATTTTGGAATAGGCACCCTTACTCATCATAACTATGCATTCAGTTTGTTTGCCCTTGATCAGAGAAGATTTTTAAAAGAATTAATGCATTATCACTTTATATTCAACAGAGCCCCATCCTAACATCAGAACCCCTGACCCTTGGGCCATGAAATTCATAATTTTGGAAGAGGCACTCTTTCTCATCATAACTATGTACTTAGTTTATTGGCTTAATACCCAGAAGCAGAGGAGAAGATTTTCAAAGAATTAATGCATTTTCACTATATAATCATTAGATCCCCGCCCTAATACCAGAACCCCTGACCCAGGGGCCATGAAATTCACAATTTTAGAAGAGACACCTTTCCTCATCATAACTATGCATATTGTTTGTTTCCTTAATTAATACCCAAGAGCAGAGGAGAAGATTTTTTAAGAATAATGTTTTTCACTACATATTCAACAGAGCCCCACCCTAGCACCAGAACCCCTGACCCTGGGGCCATAAATTTCACAATTTAGGTAGAAAGCTCAATGCTTATTACATTCATGCCAACAGTTTGTCTGCTTGATGCCCATGAGTAAAGAAGATTTTTAAAGATTGCATTAATTCTAATGGTTTTAGCCCCACCCCTCAGGCCCCAGGGGGAAGGGGTCATGAATTTCACAATTTTTACTCCCCTTCACATATAGATGCTATGTGCCAAATTTGGTTGAAATTAGTTCAGTGGTTCCAGAGAAGAAGCTGAAAATGTTCAAATGTTAATGCACAATGGACGACACACACCGACAGACGAAAACAGATAGCAATAAGTCACCTGAGTAAATTCAGGTGACCTAAAAAGAATCAGTTGCATTTTGCATCATTTGTCAAAGAAAGCCAGAAACATTAACTTTTAATTTAATGCATCCTTATTCCTACTTCAAATTTTTATCAACAGTCTAATATTTTCCACTATAAGTACAACCCAAAACTAAAAAGGGAAGGAGTTAATATATACAATAACCCCCTTCATAAAATTAATATCATACACTGTAATTACCTTAAGCTGTTAACAATGTCTCCCTCCCCGGGGGATCCCTCTACATCAAGAGTACCAGTAATCTGGACATTCATTTCAGCCACCAGACGAATGCCCCCTCCCCCATCTCCACCGTGACCACCTACAAACCATTAAAAATCAGTAATTCCTTAACTTACAGTTAATTACAACCACCTACAAACTATAAAACATCTGTATTACATACTTTGGAGATTGACTGGTATTACGTACCTGGGAAATTGACTCCTTTTACATACCTGGGGGACTGACAGGTATTACATACCTGATCTCTTAAATGCAAAGCTAGCTACTACGTAGGGAGAGCTAGTATAAATATTTAATGCAAAGTAGCAAATCCAAAATTGCCTCAGTTATAACTTCCCAGCACACAAAAAAGGGACGTTATTTTCTGCATCTTAGCAAATTAAATGTAAAGAGCTAGGTTCACTTTATGCATAAAATGGCCCTGTAGATATACCAATTTATTGACTAATACCCCGTTTACCATTTTCAACATTATTATAAAGTAGAGACTTAGTGCTTTCAGTTTATAAAACAGAATTTCCTTTGAAGAGTCCAGGCATTGAAAAACAGGTTGTGTGAAACTGCAATGTTATTGAATTTTGCAGAAAACAGGTGTTTTTGAGAACCTTCAGCAAAGAATAAAAATATGAGCACACCCTTCGATCCAAAAATTAAAATATGTTTTATAATCTTCATTAACATTTCTTTTATAATATATTTACACATTTTGGATCGGAGGTTGTGCTGTATACGAAATATTGAAAAATGGCATCATATTTTAGCAATTTTTGAAGAAATATTCAGGATATGTGAACAATGACGCTATTCATGACGTCATAATGCATTGACTCGAAAGAAAATTACGTCATTTTCAGTAGATGTTCATTCACCAAGTGCTCAAGTATTATCTATTGCCTTGTTGACTAAAACTATACAGTTTTGAATTTTCAGAAATTCACAGGGCCAAAAAGGCCCTAAGTGGCTCTTGCTCTTTACATATATATTTTTGCTTGAATTAAACTTTTTTTGTTCCAAAAATAAGTTTTTTCTGATATATGTTTATCCCAAATCTTAGACTTAGCAGCTAGGTTAGCTGTCTGTTCAATAGAGATAGATATGTATCACCTAGCTGCTAGGTTAGCCACCATGATCTTGAACACAGCCCAGGCATTACATACTAGGAGGATTTACAGGTACCAGTATGACGTACCTGGGGGATTGACAGGTATTACATACTTGACGGATTGACAGGTATGGTGTACCCTGACAGGTATTACATACCTGGGGGATTGACAGATATTACATACCTGGGGGATTGACAGGTATGGTGTACCCTGACAGGTATTACATACCTGGGGGGTTGATGGTGACATCTTTGGCACATCCTCCCGCTCCACCACCTGACCCCATGTACAGCTTGGTCATCGTCCCGTCCCCATACACCTTACCCCCCTCACCTAACCCTGACATGTCTCCCCCAAGTTTGGCTGGTTCACCTCTACAGAATGACAGAAAATGCATTTAATAAAGTACATATTTCTATTTAGCATTTATTTTGTGTAAGCAGTTACCAGTAGCCAGGCTACACATTGTTACATCAGTGAGTCTATTTAACATGGCACTTAAATGGAAGAGATATTCTGAAATTTGTGTTGCTGGAAACCCTCCCAGTAAAAGTCATGTATAATTTATGAAATTTTAAAGGAGGAATCTAATGTGGTTTATGCCCTCCCAATCCTTTTGAAAGTTGACTTGTGGTCTTGATAATTGATACTGACTTTCAATGTCTGATTACTATCATAGAAATGATTTGGTTTTGCTGGTGCTATAATCCCATAACATGCAGTTTATCCCTTCTGCATACTTCTAATTTACAAGTATGAAATTGTCTGCTAGCTAAATAGTAGCTAAACAGCATGATTTAGTATGAGAAATGAGAAAATTGTCAAAATGAATTCAGAAAATATGGACTGGCATGTTCCAACTTTATTTTCATACAATGCCTTGATCTACATAAAGTGCACCAAAATCATTATCTCAAAAATCATACACAGTACTGTTTTTCTCTTTCCTCATCATATACTGCTTTGTATCCAGTTCAAAGAAAGATTACATCTGCTTTTGGTCAACACATATTTTTCATTCATTTTGTCACCAGGTTCACAGGTGCATGAAAGTCAGTCAACATATCGGGTCTCAATAGCTCAGTGGTTAGAGCGCTGGCACGGTATGCCAGAGGCAATGGGTTCGAGTCCCGGTTGAGACTTGATTTTTCACCACCTGTGATAATTTTACTGTACATTATTATATACAAAACTCCCTCTCTCCTTGAATAATCCCCACGTCTGCCCTGGGCTCTGAAATCCTGGCTATCAGTGTACATCCTTAACCCCACCCACCCCATTCCTAAAATATAATCACCAGAATGTTGGCTCTGGGCCCTGAAATCCTTGCTCTCTGTGTACATTCTTACCCTGCAGTTCCAAATCCACCTCCTCCTCCTGGTTGACCTCTGCCATCTGACCTCTGACCTCCTGCAGCTCCTCCTCCTCCCCCTCCCATGTTGCTATGGATTCCCACAACTCCTTGACCTGCCGTAAAAAAAGTGATCCACTTTGTTAACATTTATTAAGTTATAAATTAAGGGTATTAAAAATGCTTCTCCTGTGCAATCTAACCAGTTTCATCTCTTCTGAAATGAGGTTAATGGATCACAACACTATCCTTGGTTACAAGAAGATGTATAAAAACATGTGTTTGATCATACAGCAAAATTTCACAACTTCTTAAATTTTCAGTGTGACATTCCCAGTGAGAGAAAGTCTTAATTACTAAGATTTCAAACTTCAAATAAAATGTTTGCAGACTAAAAGCAATCACATTAGAGAGATTTCTGAAAATTAGTTTGACCAATCAGAAGCCACATAAAACTCCCTCTTTTTTTTTTATTACAAATGACAATTTTTGGAGTAAAATTAAAGAAACACAGTACAAACCATTGATAGACTGCCCCTGTTTTCCTCCCTGACAACTTGCCCTGTCCACTCGACCCCCATGGTATCCCGATCCTTTCCCACTCAGTAATCCCTCTATACGTATGTTTCTAGCCTCAATGATCAGGGTTCCCCCTAGTTTTGTTGCTGTTTTGTAGGGGGTGACGATTACTTCAGTTTTTGCTGGGATATAGAACAGTGAGATATTGCAGTGAGTTCCTACAAAATAATTAAAACATCAGACAGGGTATTCTTCAATAATAGGTCAGAACAAAAAGTTATTTGTTTAATAATATATGAATATTCTTACGAGAATTCTCAAATAATTTTTAAGATCTGAACAGAAAGACTATGAATTTTAAGGAATAATTTTAAGAACACTAAATTAGTCTTTATTTTCAACTTCTGTTATCGTCCAAGTGACAAAGCTTTTTACTATTATTTGAACCAAACTGAATTTAAGACATTTTTCTTCAAGCACTAGCTTTTTTCTTCTTCTTTTTTCCAGAGCAAAGCAATTGGTAGTGAACATATGCATTTAGATTAAAGTATACTAATCTTCATGTCTTTCTGTTAAAATCAGATTTTACTGATTGTACAATGTACACTGCTGTTACTGTGATAGGCTGATTTATTTCATATATTAATTATTATATTTCAGGATTTAATTAATTCAGTTAAATTGTCATATTTATTTCTGTACAGCATTTCCTTTATTTGTCAATGAATAAATCCACATGGAATTGTTTACATCAATCTGTGTTTATTGAGTTATTTATAGATGTATGACATCACAGTGGTCATTTAATTAAACCCCTGTCCCTTTTCTATTTATATCTTGTGTGGTGTCCAGGCCAACTTGGATTTCATTGGTTGGTTAGTTTCCTCTCTTTTTGGTTTTTACTTAGTTAATTACCAATTAATTCCCAAATAATAATATTCTAATATATTTTATATCTGTGAGAATAAGTGTGTAATACAGTAAATTAATATTTATATTATTCATACACAGATCACTGAATAGAGTACAGCTGTGTTCAGCTTTATATATATATTTGGAGTTATGGCTCTATATCACAAGGTATGATGTATATATATTTTGAATATTGTCTGTATAATTATTAGGGATGGCAATCGAATACAGAATTGCTAATCGGTTAACCGCAAAACGTTCCGACCCATTAACCGGTTAATCGTATCAAACTACACATTTTCTTGACTTTTTTCAGGAAGTTCTATTCCCATGCACAAGAAGTATAAAAAAAAGATGTTAGAGGTCAAAAACTTTCTTGATCAGAAAACTACATGTACAAGCATATATTTTTTTTATTTCAAAAGACAAGAAAAAAAATCAGAAAACTATGAAACATGCCTGAGATATCGTAGATAATTTTCCAGAGCAGCTGTTACACAAGTTCATTCTTCATTGTCACCATAATCAAAACTAAGATTAAACTGTATCACTTAATTTACAATGTTTGTTTATAATTTAATTTGATAGATAACTGCAAAAAATACACACACCAATTCACGGTGCTCAACGGCAATTAGTATCATTAAAGACTTAGAGGACAGTCGGGGTAATGACATGATGTTTTAACAGTAATTTACACATCTCGGACTGACCAATTACCCCATAATTTTAATCTGGAGAGCCATAATTACCTGCCAATCAGCTTAAATAAATATATATGAAAACACGAAATTATCAACGTTTAAGAAGGAATTTCTTTTTTAAAAATGGATTTTAAGAAGATTGCCTTCATATTTTACATATATTAAAATTTTTTTTGACTAACCGATTACAGTTTTTCTAACCGATTGCCATCGTTCCGACCGAGTAATCAGTTAACCGGTTAGAAATTGCCATCCCTAATAATTATATATTCTCTAAGAGTTCAGTATAATTTGATCTCATTGTTTTATCTATATATTCCAGAGTGTTTATACTTTGTATATATTATTGATTAAGAAAGATAACTCTTACTGATTCATCTATGAGCACAATTAAAAGGAAATAATTTAACTCTTCATTTGACTGTGCTATCTGGCAAGTGATCTACATGACTGTATGTTTTGTTATAAGATATTTATGATTGTTTATATATATTCAGAGCTGTGATAATAATGATTATACTGAGAGTGAATATATCTATCAACAACGGCAGCATGGCGTTTGTCTTTATTTTCCTATAAATGAACCCCATTTCATTACTATGGTGTTAATGAGAATTCAATCGATTAAGAGTCACCTATAAGAAATTTTGATCGTGTGGGTAAGAGATCTAAGTTTGGAAGAGTCACCTGTATTAACCTGAGATAGATTCCTGATCCTGTGGGTTAGAAAACTAATGTTTGAGAGAGTCACCTGTATTTTTATGAGATAGATTCCTGATCCTGTAGGTTAGAGATCAAAGTTTAGGAGAGTCACCTGTATTTACCTGAGATAGATTCCTGATCCTGTGGGTTAGAAAACTAATGTTTGAGAGAGTCACCTGTATTTACCTGAGATAGATTCCTGATCCTGTGGGTTAGAGATATAAGTTTGGAAGAGTCACCTGTATTTACCTGAGATAGATTCCTGATCCTCTGGGTTAGAGATCTAAGTTTGGAAGAGTCACCTGTATTTACCTGAGATAGATTCCTGATCCTGTGGGTTAGAAAACTAATGTTTGAGAGAGTCACCTGTATTTTTATGAGATAGATTCCTGATCCTGTAGGTTAGAGATCAAAGTTTAGGAGAGTCACCTGTATTTACCTGAGATAGATTCCTGATCCTCTGGGTTAGAGATCTAAGTTTGGAAGAGTAACCTGTATTTACCTGAGATAGATTCCTGATCCTCTGGGTTAGAGATCAAAGTTTAGGAGAGTTACCTGTATTTACCTGAGATAGATTCCTGATCCTCTGGGTTAGAGATCAAAGTTTAGGAGAGTTACCTGTATTTACCTGAGATAGATTCCTGATCCTTGGGGTTAGGGATCCAAGTTTGGGAGGGTCACCTGTATTTACCTGAGATAGATTCCTGATCCTGTGGGGTCCAGTCCCCTCCCCCATGGTCAATTCCTAAACAGTAGGGCTTAATGTCCTCTCCAAGTTCATAGTGACCCACCAAACCTCCAGTCATTGCTTCCACCTATAAATAACATACCAATATTTTGATAGAAACTTCATGATGTCACATTAGAAGTTATTCTTCAGTAGGTACTGTATAATGGGTAATTTCTGCGCCTCAAAACTTGAAATTCAATGGTAATCGTTAACACTTGCAATATTTTAGACTTGCTTCTGATAATTTTACTGTACAATTGATTCATGTCTAACACCTTCTGCTGTGCTGACACTTTGTGTTGTACTTCTGTTAATGAATTACTTTATGTTGTATGTTAAGCCTGAAATTTTGTGCCGTATGTAATGACTTGACACATTATGGTGCATGTTATGACTTGACACTTGGATTTGTATGTCATGACTTGACACTTTAGGGAGTATGTCAGGACTTGATACTTTGTGTTGTATGTCGTAACTTGACACTTGGATTTGTATGTCATGACTTGACACTTTGTGTTGTATGTCATGACTTGACATTTGGATTTGTATGTCATGACTTGACACTTTAGGGAGTATGTCAGGACTTGATACTTTGTGTTGTATGTCGTAACTTGACACTTGGATTTGTATGTCATGACTTGACACTTGGTGTTGTATGTCATGACTTGACATTTGGATTTGTACATCATGACTTGACACTTTAGGGAGTATGTCATGACTTGATACTTTGTGTTGTATGTCGTAACTTGACACTTGGATTTGTATGTCATGACTTGACACTTTGTGTTGTATGTCATGACTTGACATTTGGATTTGTACATCATGACTTGACACTTTAGGGAGTATGTCAGGACTTGATACTTTGTGTTGTATGTCGTAACTTGACACTTGGATTTGTATGTCATGACTTGACACTTTGTGTTGTATGTCATGACTTGACATTTGGATTTGTACATCATGACTTGACACTTTAGGGAGTATGTCATGACTTGACACTTTGTGCTTTATGTCATGACTAAGAATTTGTGCTGTATGTCATGACTTGACACTTTGTGCTGTAAGTCATGACTTTACACTTTGTGCTGTAAGTCATGGCTAAAACTGTGGTCATTACTGATACTTTGTGCTGTTTTGCCAGTTAATTACATGCACTGTGCTGTATTCCAGTAAATGACTAACACCTTGTGCTGTTATCAGTTAATGACTGTCATTATATGCTATATGTTAGTTAATGACTGAAATTTTATATTTTATTCCAAATAATGAATGATATGGCCACTAAGTGATACATACTGTTGAATGCTGCATCCCCTGTAATCTCATACTAAGTGATACATACTGTGTCCCCCTGTAATCTCATACTAAGTGATACATACTGTGTCCCTGTAATCTCATACTGATACATACTGTGTCCCCTGTAATCTCATACTAAGTGATACATACAGTGTCCCCTGTAATCTCATACTAAGTGATACTTACTGTGTTTCTGTAATCTCATACTAAGTGATACATACTGTGTTTCTGTAATCTCATACTCAGTGATACATACTATGTCCCCCTGTAATCTCATACTAAGTGATACATACTGTGTCCCCCTGTAATCTCATACTAAGTGATACATACTGTGTCCCTATAATCTCATACTGAGTGATACATACTGTGTCCCTGTAATCTCATACTGATACATACTGTGTCCCCTGTAATCTCATACTAAGTGATACATACTATGTCCCCTGTAATCTCATACTAAGTGATACATACTGTGTCCTCTGTAATCTCATACTAAGCGATACATACTGTGTTCCTGTAATCTCATACTCAGTGATACATACTGTGTCCCCTGTAATCTCATACTAAGTGATACATACTGTGTCCCCCTGTAATCTCATACTAAGTGATACATACTATGTCCCTATAATCTCATACTAAGTGATACATACTGTGTCCCTCTGTAATCTCATACTCAGTGATACATACTGTGTCCCCCTGTAATCTCATACTAAGCAATACATACTGCGTCCCCCTGTAATCTCATACTAAGTGATACATACTGTGTCCCTTGTAATCTCATACTAAGTGATACATACTGCATCCCCCTGTAATCTCATACTTAGTGATACATACTGTGTCCCCTGTAATCTCATACTAGGTGATATATACTGTAGAATGCTGTCCCCTGTAATCTCATACTAAGTGATACATACTGCGTCCCCCTGTAATTTCATACTAAGTGATACATACTGTGTCCCCTGTAATCTCACACTAATTGATACATACTGTGTCCCCTGTAATCTCATACTCAGTGATACATACTGTGTCCCCTGTAATCTCACACTAATTGATACATACTGTGTCCCCTGTAATCTCATACTCAGTGATACATACTGTGTCCCCTGTAATCTCATACTAGGTGATACATACTGTAGAATGCTGTGTCCCCTGTAATCTCATACTAAGTGATACATACTGCGTCCCCCTGTAATTTCATACTAAGTGATACATACTGTGTCCCCTGTAATCTCACACTAATTGATACATACTGTGTCCCCTGTAATCTCATACTCAGTGATACATACTGTGTCCCCTGTAATCTCATACTAAGTGATACATACTGTGTCCCCTGTAATCTCATACTAAGTGATACATACTGTGTCCTGTAATCTCATACTCAGTGATACATACTGTTGAATGCTGCGTCCCCTGTAATCTCATACTTCTGTTGATTTCTTGGTATTGTAATGCTCTCTTCCAAATCTTCACTGACTGACAATAAATCATGTGATAAGTACATTTATAGTCAACATAGTCAAATTAAGGGTATATAATTTATAAGTATATTTATAGTCAACATAGTCAAATAAGGGTAATTATAGTCAACATAGTCAAATAAGGGTATACAATTGATAAGTACATTTATAGTCAACATATTCAAATTAAGGGTATATAATTGCTAAGTATATTTATAGTCAACATAGTCAAATAAGAGTGTTTATAATCAACATAGTCAAATAAGGGTATTTATAGTCAACATAGTCAAATAAGGGTAGACAATTCATATAAAGGGTGACTAGTTAAGGATGAACATTGTACTGCAGGAGTACAATCTATACTGTAGCTTTCATTCTTCTCGTGAAGATCTTAGGCCTCTCTCAAATAGGCAATGTGTTATTGAACACAATTATAAAATAATGTAAATTTAAATTGTAAAAATGAATAATTTGCAAAACTTTTAATTACATGTTACTGTAATTTAATCAACGGTTCATGAGAGATGGAAGGTAAATTACAAACTGACTGATGGTGAATGAATAAAAATAACTGTCCATGCATGCCCCCCTCCCCAGAATATTCAAGAATTCAGGGCTTACAAACAGATGATATTTTAAATTAGGCATATTTCATTTTTGTGAAACACAACACATAGTGACAAAGATTCTTTTCCAATGAGCATTTTCCAACATTAGTAATACGTGGTCACTAATGCTGTAATTTCTTTGAATAAAAAGAACATTTAAATTGCTTTTAAAATTTCATTTAAAATTCTTTAGTCATCACAAATTAAATTGTAAAAAATAGATCAAGTTTCAGAATTTATCCCTCATAAGCTAATCAAAAATAGTGTTTAACAGTACTGACTTACCTTGATCATCCCCTGGAATCGCCCCTGGGGACAACAGTCCTCACCCCCAATCCAGAAACCCATTGTGGTTGGTAGGGAATAAGGTCGAACCTGGTGAAATTAAAAACATTACTTATAAGTCATGCACTCCTGCCGAAGTACTAGATAATTTTTTTTTAGAAAGTAATAACTGTCTATGAAATTTGGTACACATTCAATAACGTGCATTGAAGTGGTATAATTTTCCATCTGAATGATATTTAATTCTGATTTTGTGACATTTTACTGACAAAAATATTGATAAGAAGGTGTTTTATTCCCCCTTTTCATCCTGATCTGCATCTATTTACAGTGCTCAGTTTACCTTTAAATCTTATCAGGTGATATGGAAATACCTAGTGTCACATGACAACAGTGAACCAGGAAGTATAAATACCAAAACAAAAGTACAGAATGGCAGAACCACTTACTGAAGAGCAGAGAATAATGTATAATATGGGATAAAAAGCTAGGTAAATACTGTTCATTCAATATTATATTATAAGATTAAAGTTAGAAACGGATTTTACAAATTTGAAGGGCAAATTATTAAATTCATGCAAACAATTTTTGTCTCATAGATTTGAAAGTTTTAAAGATATTATAATCACCTTAACCCTGCTGAAGAGGCCTAAAGTCTGAACCCAATAAGCATAAATTTCATAATTTTATAAAGGTCACATAGTAATCATGCCTCCTAAATGCTCAGGAGTAAAGAGGATTTTCTGACATTACAATTTTTCATTGTAATACCAAAAGAACTCTGCCCTTCTATGAACCTGGAACTTGGGGGACATTTTGGTAGAGCAATTCTTATTGTAAATACATGCACGATAATTTAAAAATAATTTTGTAGATGTCTACAAATACAGAGTTTTACAATGTATCTCAACGTGTTCCAGAGAATGATTCTGTGAACACACTGAATTAAAACTACCTGAGGACTTTTCAGATTAATTCAACAATGCATGTGTTTTTCAAAAGGAATTGCATATAAATTCCTGCACATTAGAGTATAATATTGATATAGCTGCAGAACTGTAGATGACTCTAAAACAGAAAATCTGGACAGACATACATGATCTAATGTTTGCCTTCTTTATCAGAATTTAAAAAAAAAAAAAACCACCCTGTTTTTACTTTTTTGTAATTATCTCCCATTAGAAAGCAGCACTTATGATAGTCCTTTATTTGTGTTTATATGACCTAAGGGTTACCCAAGTATAGTGTATGGCAATTTAAAACAGGGCAATTAGTTCTGGAAAGGGTCAGAATTCTTATGTTAAAGCGACAGTACGGCTGCAAAATGTGTGCTTTTTCATCCAAATTTCCCCAATATGTCATTAAGAAATAAGGTATAAAGTTGATGTAAGCAGTTTGAGAAACAGAAATATTCTCTACTCAAACAAAATGAACGTAATTAGAATCTGCCGGAAAATCAAGGGTGGTACGAACTGGAGCAATCTTAGATCTGTTTATTTGTACCACGTGAATTCTAAAACGGCACGTGCCTACACTGTAGAGTTTACAGTTATAATGAATATTAGGTGAAAGCAATTTTCAAAAACACAAATTATCATAACTTTCTGATAAAATAATCTAAAATAATAATCGTAAAGATTTTAGTCTGCATTCAGGCAAATTTAACAGAATTAAAAGTACAGATGTTTACGTTTTGTGTATTGGGGTCCGAGAAAGGAAAAACCAACTAATCATACGTTATCGCAGTAAACAAAATATTTTTCTGCACAGTTAAAAAAAATTAGCATTTCAAATGGCAACAATGTTTATAAGTCAAAGATGTATTTTTTATGTTGAGTTTACACTATTTTTTTCTTTGAAAGCGACAGAAAAATGAGAAATGATAACAAGTATCAACAAACCTGTCGAATAGAACCTTCGAGAGCCCTGCGTGAGTGTCGCCGAATTCCCGTTTCTTCCTTATCCAGCGATTATATTAATCCCCAAACTAAATTTTAGTCAGGAAAGTTGCTTTTTCAAGTTCTATTTTCAGTTTCTTTTTCTTTTTGGTCGACTTTGTCAATGTAACGGGCCTAACGGGATTCCCTCTCTAACCATGCTGTTTTGTTTATGAAAACTACGCATGCGTGCATAGCATGGAATGTGGAACCCCGAACACGTTGCGATGTATATATTTAAGTCCCATAAATAACTATCAATTTTAATGAAATAATCCAAATCATTTAATTGTAAAAGTTGTAATTTTCTGAAAGTTTATAAATTTATGAGTAGTAAAAAAATTCCAAATCTTGTCAGAAAATTTTATCTAGTCAGTTTTTTGATGAGATGCGCCTTACTGTCACTTTAAAGGCAGCATACATTTTAGTGAAGACAAATGAAAATGGGTAGCAATGGCGAAAAAAAAAAAATTATTTTGTTGGGTTTTACTCCATTTATAACACCCCTATGACTAGGAAATCTTTTCCATACATGATATACAATTTAAACTGCAAGTGGTTGAAATCTGTTCAGCTGAAAATGTTCCAAATTTTGTGTCCATACATACATACATGCAACAGGTAAATATAAATAGTATTCAAGTAATCAAATAGATTTTATTTCCTTATTTAAGTCATTTATATTTCACAGATATGGTCAGTATCTGGGAATAACAATATGGCCACTACCACCACTCAGGCACAGGAACTCATAACCTGTGACCTTTGTATCAAACCTGTCCAGCAATTCTGTAACAGCTGCCAAGTCGGTCTGTGTGAGGACTGCATCAACAAACATGTCAACAGCCTCAAGTCCTTGAAGCATGACATTGTTCCTTTCACAAAGCGTACAGTACAGCTTGTGTTTCCTCAGTGTACATCTCATTCCCACCAGAGATGCGAGGTCCACTGTCAACAGTGTGATGTCCCAGTCTGCATCAAATGTCTCACTGGTCCTAAACATAAAGGCCATGAGTTTCATGACATGGCAGACATAATTACCAAAATGAGAGAAAAAATTAAAAGAGAAACAGAAGAAATTGAGGGCATTATTCCGAACATCAGAGAAAAGGATGCAGACACTGAAAATAAAATTTCAAAATCCATGGCCCACTTTGTACAACTTAAGAAACAAGCTAAAAACCAAAGAAAACAATGGCACCTAGAGGTGGACACCATCTTTAACAAAATGGAATCCCTGATCCAGTCACTCAGAGATCATCATATAACAACTCTAAAATCATGTCAGTCCAAACTCAGAAGTCAGAATTCCAGTATGATCCAAAATATTCAAGAAAACAAAGAAATTCTGAAGTCTAACAAAGTGTCTGATGTCAACAACTACCAATCTAAACTGAAGGAATACAGGAACATTACACAAATACCTGATTTATCATTGCCCTCTCTTCAAACAAACACAGTCCAAGGGAGAGAACTCAGCATAGAATTAGGAGAATACAAGGCTACACTGACACAGACATCACTATCCAGTCTGACAGATGAAGTCTCCTTTTTATCTGTTAAGGAATTATTAGAAGAAGCCAAAGTGATTGCAAACATTCCAACAAATGTTACAAACTTATTCAAAGTGGCCTGTGTAGGATCAGATAAAGCTTGGATTAGTGGTAGAGATAAAATGATAACATGTGTGGACATACATGGAGCTGTACAAGACACTGTCACCAGTACATGTAAGAACTTCCCTGATGACATTAGTGTGACCAGACAGGGAGAACTGATATACAGTGATGGTAACAATAGAACTGTGAACATTGTCAGAGATGGGAAGACAGAGACACTGATCACCACACCAAGGGGCTGGCATCCATCAGGACTGTGTTGTACCAGGTCAGGGGACATCCTAGTTAGTATGGTTGCTACTGATCGTAGTCATCTTAAAATAGTCTGTTATCAGGGACAGAAAGTGACACTGGAAATAGATAAAGATGAACATGGTGATCTAATCCATCCAGGAGGAAAATATGGAGTGTTTGTGGTGGAGAACAACAATGGAGACATAGTGGCCTCTGATCGTAATGTTGACACAGTGGTAGTGGTGGACAGGACAGGAAAAGTCAGATTCAGATACAATGACAAACCTTCAGGGGGAAAGAAATCATTCAGTCCTAAGCAAATAGTGACAGACTCCATGGGGCACATCATTGTGGCTGATTATTTAAATGACTATCTACACATCCTAGATCAGAATGGACAGTTCCTGAGATGTGTGGATAATTGTGGACTAGATGCTCCTGGTGGACTGAGTGTGGACAGTGAGGGGAGGTTGTGGGTAGGGTTGTATGATTCAGGGGAAGTGAAAGTCATACAATACATGAAATAAACAGCAAATGTTTATTCCTTATGAAATGTCTGTATTATGAGTTAATTACATTGATGAAACATAACATGGAAATCATCCAGTACTGATTGAAATAAACACTAAACAACACCAGATTTTTTCTTGCATTCTGTGAATTACTATAAATGTTCCTAAATTAGTGCACTCAGAAATTGGGCTTAAATGTCATCTTATAACTGATTAGTGTCATCATAAATAATTAAGAAACTAAACAATATATATTTTCTTTGAAACTGAGGTAAACACTGATTAAAGAAAAGAGAGGTTAAAGCCAAGGGAAAGGTCAAAGTAAAAAAAAATGTTGATGCAGTTGAATAGCTTACATAAATATGTATCAGCAAATGAAGTTTTATAAAGATATCTTGAATGGTTTCTTTGAAACTGAGTGAAACTCTAAACAAGAGACCCAGGGGCAACATCGCTCACCTGAGCACTTTGGTTAAGAAAAAGCAGAAATCAACTCAGTATTGAAAAGTTTAAATAATTATAAAAATGGGGGGGGGGGGGGGGGGGGTGTTATGATTTGAACAAGCTTGAAGCTAAACTTCCTAAGGATGCTTTTGAATTAATATGACACATAATGGCTTTGCTATTCTTAAGATGAAAATTTTTATTGATATATCCTTTATATTCCTTTGTATAACTATGACCCCCTGTTATGGCCCTCTACTCTCCTGGGAGGTCATGATTTGAACAAATTTAAATCTACATTAACTGAGGATGTTTTTATATTATTATGACCAATCATGCCTTTGTTGTTCTTGTGAAGATTTTCAAAGATTTTTCCTATGTAAAACTTTTATCGCCCATTTTGGCTCCACCCTACCTCCAGGGGTCAGGATTTGAACAGGCTTGAATCCACACTACCTAAGGATGCTTCCACATAAATATGTCTAATAATCATGGCTTTGCTGTTCTTCTTCAGAAGATTTTAAAAAAAAATTTCCTATGTATTCCTAGATGTAAAACTTTGATCACCCATTCTGGCCCCACCCTCCCCCATGTGTCATGGTTTAAACAAACTTGAATCTACACTACCCCAGAATGCTTCCATATTAATATGATTGATCACAACTTTTCTGTTCTTGAGAAGAATATTTTTAAAGATTTTTCCTATGTATTCTCTGTAAAACTTTGATCCCCCATTGTGGCCCCACCCTATCCCCACGGGTCATGATTTGAACCAGTTTGAATCTACACTACCTGAGGATGCTTCCATATTAATATGACTAATCATGGCTTTGCTGTTCTTGAGAAGAGGATTTTTAAAGGTTTTCCCTCTGTATTCCTATGTAAAACTTTGATCGCCCATTGTAGTCACACCCGACCCCTGGGGGTCATGATTTGAACAAATTTGAATCAACACTACCCCAGAATGCTTCCATATAAATATGACTAATCAGGGCTTTGCTGCTCTTGAGAATAAGATTTTCAAAGGTTTTCCCTATATATTCATATTCATTGTGGCCCCACCCTACCCCCAGGGGTCATGATTTGAACAAACTTGAATCTACACTTCTTCACAATGATTCTACTTAAGTTTCATACTTTTAAGCACAGTGGTTCTTGAAAAGATTTTTAAATGATGCCATTAATTTTTCGCAAAATCATAATTTTTTCCCCTTGGAAGAAGGTGTGGCACTTCATTTGAACAAACTTGAATCCCCTTTACCCAAGAATACTTTTTGGCAAGTTTGGTTGAAATTGGCCCAGTGGTTCTTGAGAAGATGAAAATGTGAAAAGTTTATAGCGACAACGACAGACAACGGACAAATTTCAATCAGAAAAGCTCACTTGAGCCTTCGGCTCAGGTGAGCTAAAAATGAAAAAAGAAATCAAGGTCAAAGTAAAAAAAATATTGATGCTGTTGAAAAGCTATCCCCAATATGTATCAGCATACAAAGTTTGATAAAATTATCTTGATTTGTTTTATATTTACCTGCATATTTATACTGTTGTGGTTCTTACCTCCACTGTGGTGCTGTGGTAGTATTTACCTGTACAGGTGTGTTATTGTGGTTCTTACCTCCATGGTGGTGCTGTGGTAGTAATTACCAGTACAGGTGTGTTTCTTACCTCCATGGTGGTGCTGTGGTAGTATTTACCTGTACAGGTGTGCTATTGTGGTTCTTACCTCCACAGAGGTGCTGTGGTAGTATTTACCTGTACAGGTGTGCTATTGTGGTTCTTACCTCCACGGTGGTGCTGTGGTTGTTGGTGTACCCTGTGACATGAGTCCCATTGTTACTGACAGCCACCAGGTACCACTGCCCCACCCTGATGCGGACAAAGGTGTCCAGTCCCTTAGTACATGTCCAGTTCTTTCCTTTGTAGTACATCCAGAAATTCTCAAAGTGGTAAATTCCAAAGTCCTTACAGGAGGCTACACCTCCAATTACAGTCTGTAATAGACAAAGAATTTATAATACGTCAATGACAGTTTGTCAAAGCTGATTATCATGTTTTACATTATGTCTACTGACAGCTTCACCTCCAATGACAGTCTAACAATGATACAGAATTATTATATCTACAGGAGCTCACATTAAATCTCTTCCTATTTTGGTTCAAAAGATGTAATGTAAAAGTCTAAATTCTGCCAAAGATTGCTAAATTATTGTAGATCACCAAATTTTTCAGATTCTTATTGTATACTTGTACAATGGTGGTAATTACCTGTACAGGTGTGTTATTATGGTTCTTACCTCCTACCTAGATAGGTACCTGGTATTATTAAGCGAGACAAAATTTTCACATATTTTGGTTATTATTGTATATAACCTTTAATTGATGATAATACAAATATAAGCGAGACTGTTATTTTTTGAGAGCAGACATTCTTGCATAATTACGCAAATATTGAATTTTCTCAAATAAAAAACAAATGTAATCAAAGATTACAAAGCTCACATCGACCAATGTTGTCTATAAGTTAAGCAAATCTCACATCATATTTTTTTTCTAGTTAGTATACATCCCAAGTTCAAAATCCTTGCAAGTTTGGTTTAAGTAGGACTTATAGTTACTTGGAAATGAACCTGCTCAAAAAACTTTTATTAATCAAGAAAATTTAAGTTTGTTCCAACATCCAAAGCAAGTCTGGAAGTATCCAACTTAAGATGCAATTTTAATCAAAACAGGCCATATAATTATAGAGCTACTCCAAAAACATTACCCTGGTTACTCATGTGGAAAATGTAGGTCAGATTCAGGATCCAAAGCAAGTCTGGAAGTGTCCATCCTTAGATACATCATCCATGCTAATTTGCTTAAAGTATGGCTTAAATTCACTCATGTGGAAAATTTAGGTTAGATCCCACATCTGAAGCTAGTGTGGTAGTGTCCATCCCTTGATGCATCGTCCATGCATGTTTGGTCTAGATAGGGCTTATAGTTACTTGGAAATGAGACCTGCTCCAGAAACTTTAACCTGGTCACTCACCTGCTCCTAAAACTTTAACTGGGATACCGACGCTAATGCCGACACTGACACCAAAGTCGGGGGGTATAGCATTAGCTCATCTCGACTTCATTGAGGTGAGCTAATGATTTACAGTATATATACCACTTGTGAAAATAAATTAAAAACTAAAAAAAATTGAAAATAAAGTAAAAACATCAAATTCAAAACAGAACAAACAATAATTATTCTATTAAGAGAAAATGAAATAACCCTTTAGTAAATTAAAAGCTGCAAACAGCCAGGTGAGAAAAATGAACAAAACAGACAATGATGCAGGGATCCCTCTCTGCATAAAAGACAACAGGGCTAGGGAAAGGATCACACAAAAATTCAAACTTTAATTTAGAAGCCTAGAGTTCTAATTAATCTACAGTGATTTCATTTTGTTTTGAAGACAATGAGTTGTAAGTACTGACCCGTCTTGTCCCGTCAGCTACTGCTGGTCTAACCCAGGCTGCTATTGTGTACCGCGGTCCCGGGGACCAGGGTCCGAGGTCAATATAGCCATCACGAGAACCATCAAACACAGCTCCACACGCAAATGGCGGATCTGACTAAGAACGAAACATCTTTAGTATATTATCTAAGGTGAAGATATGGTCTAATATGTAGATTACACCTATCATGGTCTAACCCTGGCATCAAAAGCAATAAATTCAAATAAAATCTAATTAATATTTACATATCATTACATTGTTAAGTTTTTACTATAAACATGTTTTATCACTTGTGTAGATATTTCACAGAGATTTTTACATCCATCAACAACCGATAACTCACTGTATTGTCTTCCACACATTTCGCGTACGACTGACCGTTCACACTGAAGGGAAATACACAGTGGTCTCCCCTCTGGTCACCACCATAAACATGAATCGTGTTCTCCGGAACAGCAGAACAGAACCCTATAACAGAAATCAAACTTAAGCTTCTAACAGACATAATACTACCACAACAGTAATACTTGTGCTTTTAACCAGAAAGAGCACACCTTAATGTAAATAAACATAAACTAGACATCATTGAGATGGTGGCCATCTCAAAGGGCCCCGCTTTCAGCAACAAACATGAAAATGCAAGGTAGCCTATTTTTGACCTATATCCTTGACTAAGAAACTTCGTTCAAGGTCACTGCACATCCATTGACCAGTGGCACTCTCTGAGTGAAGTATGAGCCACACTGGACCAAGGGGAGAGAAGATATTCTCCGGACAAGGATTTTTCATATAATTCTGCTATGACCTTAACCTTAGATCTAGAAACATGGTTCAAGGTCACTGCACACCCTTTACCCAAAGACACTCTGTGGGTGGAGTATGAGCCAGTTTTGCAAAGGAGAGAGAAGATATGCTCCGGACAAGAGATCTCAGACGGACGGACGGACAGACTGATCACTATAGGCCACCCGCAGAGCGGTGCCCTAATTAATTTCAATGCAAGTTTATGATCATTTAAATTGATGATTTAATTCTAAAGTGTAAAGAAAAAAATCTTTTTAGTGTTGTGTTCCTCCAGAATAACTTCTCCACCAAGCCACATGATGGGTTATTCCTGTGGAACAACTTATCCATCAAGCCAGATGGTAAAGCATTCCCTTAAAATAACTTACCCACTGAGCCAAGTGATAAAGTGTTCCTCTAGAATAACTTATCCACTGAGCCAAATGATGGTACATTCCTCTATAATAATTTATCTAATAGCCACATGGTAAAGCATTCCTTTGGAATAACCTACCCACTTGGCCACATGGGGAACATTCCTCTCAAATAACTAGCCCATTGTGCCTCATTGTGGGACAATACTTTAAAATAACATACCTATTGAGCCATATGATGGGATATCCCTTTGGATTATTTAACCTGCTGAGCCACATGCTGGTGTGTATCTTTGGATTATCTTACCTGCTGAGCCACATGCTGGTGTGTACCTTTGGATCATCTTACCTGCTGAGCCACTTGCTGGTGTGTTCCTTTGGATTATCTAACCTGCTGAGCCACATGCTGGTGTGTACCTTTGGATCATCTTACCTGCTGAGCCACATGCTGTTGTGTTCCTTTGGATTATCTTACCTGCTGAGCCACATGCTGGTGTGTACCTTTGGATCATCTTACATGCTGAGCCACATGCTGGTGTGTACCTTTGGATCATCTTACCTGCTGCGCCACATGCTGTTGTGTTCCTTTGGATCATCTTACCTGCTGAGCCACATGCTGCTGTGTACCTTTGGATCATCTTACCTGCTGAGCCACATGCTGCTGTGTACCTTTGGATAATCTTAACTGCTGAGCCAAATGCTGGTGTTTTACCTTTGGATTATCTTACCTGCTGAACCACATGCTGGTGTGTACCTTTGGATTATTTTACCTGCTGAGCCACATGCTGGTGTGTACCTTTGGATTATCTTACCTGCTGAGCCACATGCTGGTGTGTACCTTTGGATTATTTTACCTGCTGAGCCACATGCTGGTGTGTACCTTTGGATTATCTTACCTGCCAAGCCACATGCTGTTGTGTTCCTTTGGATTATCTTACCTGCTGCGCCACATGCTGGTGTGTACCTTTGGATAATCTTGCCTGCTGAGCCACATGCTGGTGTGTACCTAAGGATTATCTTACCTGCTGCGCCACATGCTGGTGTGTACCTTTGGATAATCTTAACTGCTGAGCCACATGCTGGTGTGTACCTTTGGATCATCTTACATGCTGAGCCACACGCTGGTGTGTACCTTTGGATCATCTTACCTGCTGAGCCACATGCTGGTGTGTTCCTCTCGTTTTCGTAGAAGCTGCAGTAATCAAACACCTCACACTTTTCCCCTGAGTAACCATCAGTACATACGCACTCTCCTGTTATTCTGTGACAATGTCCACCATTTTTACACCCACAGTCATACTCTGAAATTTATTTTTCATCAATCAGTGTTGAGTCAAGAGTTTTAAAGTATGAGGAGCCATTGTATGTAAGTTTTTAAAATACATTGCAGATAGCAGTAGATTAATGAGACTCGGGATTAAGGTTTAAGGTTTATTTTAAATATAACACTGAATTTAATAAAACCTTTGATTGTAATTTAGATAGTTGCTCCATACACCATGTACAGTATAATTTGTCCAAACCGGATACTGCCAGTTCTATAAAATTTGGTCAGTTTAGACAGAATCCGGAGTGCAGGAAAAATGCTGGAAAATATTTGAAATCTACTTTTGTTGTTTTATTTACAAGTACAATATATATGAAGGAAAAATGTATTTAAATGATAAAATCAACCAATATTTTGGAGTCTAGAAATTATAAAATGGTCTTGCATGACTTACTGTAAATTTTTCTTTTTTGTTCACGAAGTTTTAGACTCAACGTGAAATGTTACCTAAGAGTCAAAATCTACAGAAACATATATTGTACTATATATCAAGCGGCACGGGTTTTGCATGTCAAAGAGTGCATTCAACCTAACCATAAACACAATTATTTATGATTTGATAATTATTGGTTTGAATTTTTAATAGTTAAGTAAAAATTAACGTCTTCCCTCCAATGTTATGGCACCATTGTGAAATGAGACGTTTGAGTTTCAATCACGATTTAAATTTTCATTTGTAAATCATGTACCTATATTGTATTGATTTTATGTTATACTGTGTGAAATGGAGTTAAAAGCAAGTTAAACATGAAAGTAATTTATTTTAATTTACTTGCAATTAAATGTTATATTTCTTCATGACAAGTGGGCTGTGTCACCGCCGCGTTTCGTCTGACTTCATGGCACTAATGTAAACACACGTTAGCACATCTACCGTGAAAGGTGTTAATTGCTTAGAAGTAACTCAGTTATTATGCTAGGCCAGATTAGAGGAAATAATTACTGTTAATTATGAGCAGTTGGGACCAGTATGGCCGTTCGGAATACAGAACAGACAGTATCCAGACTACACAGAATTTTTTCTAATGAATTTGTTAAAAAAGTGCATGGGACTAAAATTTATAGCCGGAATATACAAAAATCCGGAGTACTCAGATTCCGGATTAGACAAATTTTACTGTATATAAAATTATGGAATTTCATCAAATCTTTTCACATATTCATAATAAACAAACACAGTAACCTTGCCAACTTTGACGTTCATTAACTTCTAAATATGAGGCAAAATAGGACAGTTACACTTGTAACCTGGTTATCTGGTGTTTCTTACATCACTGGTTTTCATGAATCTGGACATGTAAGTTTAATATATCATCCAAACTGGCTTGTTTTAAAATGAATATACTTCAAACAACTAAACAAATAACCCAATTGTTACACCTGGCCTGTACGATACTTACTTTTACACCAGGTCTATAAATTTCTTTTCGGTTACATTAAAAAATAATAAAAAATTGGCTGGTGTTCAGGGGGGTCGAACCTGGTTGCTTTGGTGCGAGGGGCGGCGGGTGTATCGATTCGGCTATCCGGTCAGTAAGTATCTTATCGATACTTTCTTTTCATATCTATTATATGCTATTTTAATTTAAATCACTTTGGGGTCTATTTTGCGGCAGGTAGTAATTCGGTCTAAGGGTATTTAAACTCGTGTTTTTGGTTCTATTGTCATTCGACAAGTTAGCCACGACCTATTAGTTAGATCTACAAATGTCCGATTCAGACGGGAGCGAGCAATCTCCACGTGGTAGCCCGGGGATAAGTGTTCTTCCCGAGCAAAACCGACGTATGTTCAACAACGAGTTTAGCCGTGCTCAGGATAACCGTTCGCAAACTTTGACTGAGGACCTTACTAACGCTGAAGCATTCCAGTTGTTCTCCTGTAAGTTGGACGCAGCTTTAGCTGAAAACAAAAAGCTTCTTTTAAAGGAGTTAGAGGCCAAAAAATCAACCAGTTTTTCCAAAGAAAATTCTGTTGATTTCAAGTTGGAGCATCACAAAGAAAGGTATAACTTTTTAACAGATTTACAAAGTGACTTTGAAAGTATAGACAAATATATTGACTATGGTGATGTTTTGAATGCTAAAGAAATAATCAAAAAAGCTGTTCTTCGTATTAAAGACCAGAAAAAAGTTATCAGAATTGCAGATAAGTACGGTTGGGATGTGGCCAAAGAGTATAAGGATGATCCAATTACGGAGAGTTCCGAAGAAAGTCAAAGACTTCGTCAAGCAGAAGCCAGGGCTAAAAGGAAAAGGTTTGATAAGAGGAATTATAATAATCCTTTTCGTGCAGATAGCAAATTTTTCCAGCAAAGATTTACTCCTTACACCAGGCAGTTTGGCACATACGGGAATTATGGAGGACCTCAGTCTAGCCCCTACAGAATACAACCAGACCAGTGCCTGTATTGCAACGGGTTCGGGCACTCGAGTGTCAACTGTCCACTCAAGAAAAAGAGCCAACCCTTCGCGATCGGGAAGCCAACTTCAACACAAACCAGACCCTCCACAGATAATCAAAGAACCTAAACTGGTAAAAGATATTTTGTCTTGTGAAAGAGAAATTATAAATGTACAAACAGTTAAAGGAAGTCTAGTAAAAAACATTTCTTTTTGGAAAGACCAATTGCGTGCAGAACAATATATCATTGATATTATTCAGTACGGTTACAGTATTCCTTTTGATTGTTTTCCAGAATCAATTATGTTGCAGAACAATAAGTCTTCTCTTGAACATGAGGTATTTGTAGATAGCGAAATAAGTAGTTTGTTAGACAAAAAAGTAATTGTAAGGTGTATTAATGTTCCTTCTATTGTAAATCCTCTGTCAGTTTCTATAAATTCTCATGGCAAGAAAAGACTTATTTTGGATCTCAGACACGTTAACAAGTGTGTAAGAAAAAATAAATTTAAGCTAGAGGGTGTTAGTAGTGCTATCAAATTTTGTAAGAAAAACGACTTTATGTTCAAGTTTGATCTTAAGAGTGGCTATCATCATTTGGACATAAATCCATTGCATTTTAAGTTTTTGAGTTTCTGTTGGAAAAGTTCCTATTATTCTTTTACAGTACTTCCCTTCGGCTTGAGCTCTGCTCCTTTTATTTTTACACAGTTGCTCAAGCCTTTGTTAAAGTATTGGAGAGCACAAGGTCATAGAATTGTTATTTATTTAGACGATGGATTTGGGTTAGCAAACGATCTGGAATCTTGTAAGGTTATGTCTTCAGCTATTAAAGCAGATTTAAATTCAGCAGGGTTTCTGGTTAACGAAGATAAGAGTGTTTGGAATCCTTGTCAATCTATGGAATGGTTGGGGTTTTCTTGGGATACTGTACATGGTATGCTTTTCATACCTCAATAAAAAATTGATAAATTATTAGGCAAAATCAGGGATGTTTTTTCTTCTGAAAAAAATTACACCACGTGTTCTAGCTAGTATAGCTGGAAACATAATTTCTTTCCAGCAATCTTTAGGAAATGTATGTGCTATTATGACAAGAGTTATGCATATGGTTATTGCCAATTCAGTTTCATGGGATCATCCTATTTTTCTCACAGATGAAATTGCGATTGAACTTAACTTTTGGTTGTTTAATTTGCAATGTTTGCCTTCTAAATGTTTTCTTAAAGGCAGTTTCATTCCACAAAGGATTGTTTATACGGATGCAAGCAAGTACGCAGCGGCTGGTTACATTGTGGAATTCGCAGATAGTGTAGTGCATAAAATGTGGACTTCTGTGGAAGCTCTGAAGAGTTCTACCTGGAGGGAGATGAAAGCAGTTGAGACAACTTTAATTTCTTCCGCAGATAAGATTAGCAACAGAACTGTAAAGCTTTATACTGACAATCAAAATGTAGTTAAAATAGTTAATTCAGGTAGCATGAAAAAAGATCTTCATAACATCGCACTTAATATTTTTTCTTTTTGTATTCAAAATCAAATAACACTAGAAGTAGAGTGGATTCCGAGAGATGAAAATATAGTTGCCGATTGTTATAGCAAAGTATATGATTTTGATGATTGGTCTGTTTCTGATATCATTTTTCAATTTTTTAGTAAAAAATGGGGACCATATGATGTAGACCTTTTTGCAGATTGTAACAATTTTAAGGTAAAAAAGTTTTTCAGTAAATTTTGGACGCCGGGGAGTTCTGGGGTTGATGCGTTTGCCTTTAATTGGAAATATTTTAACTCTTGGATCGTTCCCCCAGTTTCTCTTATTCCAGATGTTATTAATCATTTAAGTTTGTGTAAAGCGCATGGAACACTTATTGTGCCAAAGTGGACATCGTCTCTTTTTTGGCCTATGCTGGTAAATGTGGATGGAGAATTCAAAAATTTTGTGATTGACTATGTTGAATATGACAAACCAAGAAATTTTTCATTGCAGGATCTTACAAAGAAAGTGTTTTTGCCGTCGTGAAATTTTTCTCGAACGTAATAGTACTTAGCGTTAATTTTGACAGTTAGACTTATTCAGACGCATTTGTTTTTATGTTCTAATGGTGAGACATTTATGTGTTATTTTCTGCTGGGAGTCGGGACTGATTTTTCTTTTTGCATTTTAAGGCTGAGAGCCTGATATGTGTTATGGTTGGCTGAGAGCCAGATATGTGTAATGATTGGCTGAGAGCCTAATATGTGTAATGATTGGCTGAGAGCCTGATATGTGTAATGATTGGCTGAGAGCCTGATTTGTGTAATAATTGGCTGAGAGCCTGATATGTGTAATAATTGGCTGAGAGCCTTATATGTGTAATAATTGGCTGAGAGCCAGGATCTACTTATGTTTTGTAGGCTGAGAGCCTGATATTTGTGATTGAATGGCTTAGGAGCCAAAAATGGAAGTTTTATATGCATGTTGGTTAAGGCATTAAAAAAAAAAATTAAAATTTTATTCCTTTATGTTTTATTGTTTATAATTTCAGTTCTTCAACCATTCACACTGGGCGGAATTGAGAACTCATGAAGAGGGGGACATTGCTACGCTGGCTGGAAATATACCACGTTTAATCGAGGCGTCAAAATCAAAGTCCACTTTACGTAAATACAAGACTTATTTTTCTAAATTCGAATACTGGTGTTCACTTCACAATATATCTTCTTTACCAGCATCGCCTGCAACAGTGTCTCTCTTCATTTCTCATCTTGTTCAGAGTAAATCGACATCTTCAGTGCTTACTTCCATTTTTTATGCAGTGCAATGGTACCATGAGAAAAATTTGTTTCCAAACCCGTGTATTGACAAACTTGTGAAAATGACTTTTGAAGGAGCTTTGCGTACTCTTTCAAAAACTTCAGTGAACAAGAAGCAACCGATAACATCTAATATTATTTCCAAAGTTTTCAGCTTAAAGAGTAATATGTCTGATTTATCTGATTTACGTATTAGATTACTGTTTGTTCTTGGATATGCAGGATTTTTTAGGGCCAGAGAGCTATGCAACATTAAGAGATCGGACATAACCTTTTACGATACTCACGTAGAAATTCAACTAAGAAGTTCCAAGACTGATATTTACAGAAGGGGTAACATTGTGCATATAGCAAAACTTAACTCTGCTTTGTGTCCTGTTCAGTGTCTAATTGATTATCTTAGATTGGCTGGTATTCAGAAAGATTCTGATGAATTTATATTTAGGTCATTAAGATATTTCAAAAAATGTGATTCTTATAAGCTTGCTAAAAGTAACAAAGCCATATCTTATTCTTGTGTTAGAGAACTTATTTTGAAGTCATTGCAAGATGTTGGGGAGGATGCGTCGGTGTACATTCACTTAAATCTGGAGGCGCTACAGCCGCAGCCAATTTAGACATCCCTGACAGACTATTTAAGGCTCATGGAAGGTGGAAGAGCGAAACAGCAAAGGACGGTTACGTTAAGGACAGTACAGAGAAGGTTCTATTTGTGTCAAAAAATTTGGGATTGTAATTAAATGATCTTTTCTTTACATTTTTTTCTCAGACGTTTTTATTCGAATCTGGCTAACATTGTCGCCTCCTCCTATATTTGTGTTTGAGTTTTTATTTATGTAAAAAGAATAGGAAATGATTTATGTTCGGCTGAGCGAAGCGAAAGAGAACATAAATAAATTTCTTTTCGGTTACATTAAAAAATAATAAAAAATTGGCTGGTGTTCTGGGGGGTCGAACCTGGTTGCTTTGGTGCGAGGGGCGGCGGGTGTATCGATTCGGCTATCCGGTCAGTAAGTATCTTATCGATACTTTCTTTTCATATCTATTATATGCTATTTTAATTTAAATCACTTTGGGGTCTATTTTGCGGCAGGTAGTAATTCGGTCTAAGGGTATTTAAACTCGTGTTTTTGGTTCTATTGTCATTCGACAAGTTAGCCACGACCTATTAGTTTTCCGAATTTTTTTTTACTTTGATATAATAATCAAGCAGAATTCTTTTGTAGATTGCTGTTTAGTTTCATTTAAGTTTGATCCGATTCCTAGCCTGGAGTTCCATTGCATTTTAAGGACTAATCCTGTGCTTGACTATGTGCTATATCCTCCAAACCGGCCTGTAAAGATGCACCAATGGACGCGTTTATTTTTGTACAAATCTGTTTTATTAAATCTGGTTAACATTGTCACCTCCTCCTATATTTGTGTTTGAGTTTTTATTTATGTAAAAAGAATAGGAAATAATTTATGTTCGGCTGAGCGAAGCGAAAGAGAACATAAGTAGGGTACACTTTTTTTTGTACAATACCTACATTTGCACCTGGCCTGTACAATACCTACTTTTACACCTGGCCTGTAGGGTACACTGTTGACACGAGTGAAGGAGGGCACACTGTCCTGACAAATATCTAGCCCTGTCTGCCTCTCCATTGGAAATTTTCTGTCCTGATCTGTAGTGAAGTAAAAAGAGGACATCATTATGTTTCTATTTTTAATATTTGCATAACTCAGATTTTAAATTTATATTGTCAAGTAAAAATTCAAGTTGTCATGTTAAAATTTGGTTGTTTTTTTTTTTTATAATATCCAATGCATTATGAACAGTTATGAAAAAATCTTTGAAAATGGTTAGGAAGAGTCACATCATCACTCCATAGATTGGATTTATCAAGCTGGCCAGAAATAACAATTTAAGTATATCTTACTTATCCCAGTAAGAACACCCCACTAGATCCGCTCCTACTGGACAGGAAATAGACTGTTGTCCCTGGTTACCATCCACATTGAACAAAATTACATGAGCTGAACTACTCGGTCTGCAGGTCACCTTCGGCTGAAAGAGAAAATGACTTTAGTCTCATGGTAAATTTTATATTGAACTAATGAGTGAGATTAAAGTTAGAAGTAGGACAGTGTTCTATATTTTACAAAAGAATGTTTTAAGCAATAACTCTACTAGTGTCATAATACTTGACCTTAATATATGACCTTGGCCTGGCATGAAGCAATGACCTGATCTCTTGATAAAATACAGTTGTTCTCTTTTATAGTTTAAAATCAAGAGTTATGGACCAAATTCTTGACGGACCAACAAAAAAAAAGTATACTAGTATGCCCTTTGTCCATTAAATCTATCTAGCAGAAAAACTCCACTTTGAACATATGCCCTGTTGGGTCTAAAATGAATATCACCATTTAATCTGGCTACAAAAATCACTAAATCCTAGTGAATACCACTGTGCAAAGTGGTTCTAAGATAATATTTTTTGGCTTGTGGGGTTTGAAACATATTTCTCTTAGAAAAAAAAACATAGACCATTACCTAAACAGTACCATAAAAATGGCCTCATAAACCATAAACAGACAATATAAACCACTATCTAAAACAGGCCATATAAACTATTATCATTAAACAGGTCATATTATACACTTATCCACTGGCTGTGAGTGGGATAGCTCTTTTATCAAACCCGCGACAGGAACTATTCCCCGAGGGCTTGCCCGAGGGGAATAGTTCCTGTCAAGGGTTTGATGAAAGAGCTATCCCAGTCACAGCCAGTGGATAAGCGTTTTATTATACTGATGTGTATCATAATTTCTGAGGGTTGGATTTACCTGATACTACAGTTCCATAGTAAAAACATGAAAAAAAAATTATAAAAGTTTTGAACAAGTATTTGGAATAAGATAACACTGCTAGAATGAGCTGAAATCCTGATGACGTCACAATGCTATTGAAGTCAGGATGACATCATAAGTCTATAGATTGATTACAGGAAATCAAACTTGGCGGCAATAATTGCATGAAAATTTTCCGAGGGGTGGATAGCAAAAACTATACCCCGGGGTATAGCTTTGCTATGTGTGGAAATTTTGAGACTATAAAGATAGTTAGTTTACCTTCTTAACTTTATATAGGAAACATTTTAACAGAAGTATAATAAAAACCACTATCCATTGTACCATTGAACAGGCCATATAAACAACTATCTATTGAACCATTAAACAGGTCATATAAACCATTATCCATTGCACCATTATACAGGCCATATAAACCATTATCTATTGCACCATTAAACAGGTCATATAAGCCATTATCTATTGTACCATTGAACAGGCCATATAAACAACTATCTATTGAACCATTAAACAGGTCATATAAACCATTATCCATTGCACCATTATACAGGCCATTTAAACCATTATCTATTGCATCATTAAACAGGTCATATAAGCCATTATCTATTGAACCATTGAACAGGCCATATAAACAACTATCTATTGCACCATTAAACAGGTCATATAAACCATTATCTATTGTACCATTAAACAGGTCATATAAACAATTATCTATTGCACCATTAAAATCAGCTCTAAAAAAACAACTACTGTACCATAAATCAGGCAATAGAAATTGGGTCTTACTGAGCCTTGCTGTGTTTGACAGATATCTCCATTAAAACGGGCCCCAGCACAATTGTTATCTCTACACAAACACTTCTCTGCCTGGTAACCAGCCGGACAACCAACAGCAGCAAACACGACGGTCTCTGAAAATAATATCTCAACATTTACACTGAGTACTTGTAAACTGATGTACTAATTCTAAATCATCCAAAACATTACCAAGAATTTAAGAAGTGGAATATATTCTGAAAGTCTTTTTTATTCTTACCATTTTGAAGTTCACAATTGTATCCAGTGTACCCTTGATAACATTGACATCTGTAGCCCCGCCCACCAACAGCAACACATGCCCCCTCATTCTTACAGGGACTCAATCTACATCAAGAAAACAACAAAATCTTAATCACTTACATCAATAACCCCGCCCATCAACAGCAACACATGCCCCCTCATTCTTACAGGGACTCAATCTACACCAAGAAAACAACAAAATCTTACATCACTTACATCTGTAATCCCGCCCACCAACAGCAACACATATCCCCTCATTCTTATAGGGACCCAATCTACATCTTAGAAAACAATATAATCTTACACCAATGTCATATGTAACCCCGCCTCCTATAGCAACACACGTACCCTCATTCTGACAAGGACTTGATCTACATCATAAAAAACAATACAATCTTACATCACTGTCATCTGTAACCCCACCCACCAACAGCAACATACACCCCTTCATTCTTACAGGGACTCAATCTACATCACAGAAAAAAATGAAATCTTACATCAGTGACATCTGTTACCCTGCCCACCAACAGCAACAAATGCCCATCACTCTTATAGGGACCCCAAAAAAAGAGCAACATAATCTTACAACACTGTAATCTTTGACCCCTCCCACCAGCAACATATGCCCCCTCATTCTTATGGGATTCATCATCATTGAAAAAAATCACAATCTTATATCACTGGTATATGTAGCCCCTCCCACTTAAAGCAACACATGCCCCTTATCCTTACAGGGACTCAAACTACATCACAGAACAAAAAAGTCTTACATCATTGATACATGTAGCCCCTCCCACCTACAGGAACACACACTCTCATTCTTACAGGGACTTAAGGACATAAGCAACGTACCTTACTTACTGATAATTTTTCAAGATATTCTTAATTCAAGATTATAGTGCCATCAAATGTTTGTAGACAAATAATCAGCATGTATTACCAGGGGTTTTGAAAAGATATCAATTTTGATGAAAATTCCTGTATAATTCAAAGAAAAATATACAAAAATTACTAAACATATATTCTAGATGTTTTGTTTATCCAAACTTGTTTTAGAAGAAGTGTACAACAGGATATATAGACATTAAAATGTAGCACACAGTTCCTTCAAGTATTGGAACTCATCAACTCCAGGGAAAAAGACAAAAGTTCAACCTACGTTGTGTATGTCCTTAATGTACATCATAGACAAAATCACAGTCTTCTAATATTGATACAGCTAAACTTCGAAATCTCGAACACAGATATCTCGAATACCCCGGACATGTCAAAGAAAGGCCGCGGTCCCGACGAAATTTGCTTTATAAATGATTAAAATAAACCCCTCTATGTCGAACACGGTAATGTCGAATACCCCGGTTATCTCGAAGTAAAATTGTGTACCCATTCATTAAAATCACATGCGTTATCTCGAAGTCAGGATAATTTTCCGCTCTGATGATCAAGTCCGTTAGGTAAACTGAATGCTCTATTGATAACACCCACCTGTCTGTCACGCTAGGGTTACCTGTGTTCCTGTGATCAACAGATGATAGTGCGATAATTATACGAAGTGTATGTATGGCTTACCATGATTTTAATTATGCAAGCCAAAGGTTATGTGTATTAGTCTAATGCATACGCGTGGATGACACGTTAATTGTTTTGTGGCTTGGGTACGTTTATCTTGATAATCGCTATAAATTTAATGCTATGTGAAATATGCGTGCATACATAGTTTATGCGTATGAAAGTGAAAATTATAAACATCGAAGTGAAACAAAATTCTGTAATTTAATGCAATTAGAATTTATTGTTCCCATATGAGCGTGCAGAATTTACAATCATCTGTACACACCACCATGTGAGCATGTGTCGCAGTGAAAACTTGTGCTATAGTGCCCTGTGATTCAGTGTTGTTCTATTGTTAGACAAAAGTGCGTGATTCTTCTTTTGCATGTGATTTTATTATGGTAAAATAATTTTCTTCATTTTTCTTACCGCGACCGGTTTTAAACTTACAATGCATAGACGATATCCGTTTTATGTATACATGGGAAACGATAGTAGCGGTTGACTTGCCATGTTGGATTATAACTCTGTGCATATTATACAAAGTTTTTATTTTGTGAATTATAAAGAGGATGCAAAATTCTTTTTATTGCTATATACATTTACATGTATATTAAAGAAAACGTATACAGAATTTCAAACAAGAAGGAATTTTGACATGTTTTTACTATTAAGTACATGTTCTCTGCACTAAGTTTATTTGAAGTTCATTTGAATTATAACCCTCGATATGTCGAACCCCCGGATATCTCGAAGTTCATCAACGGTCCCGTCAACTTCGAGATAACGAAGTTTAACTGTATTTATAGCCCCTCCCATTATCAGAAACACATGCCCCATCATTCTTACAGGGACTAAACCATAGAAAACAATGAGATTTATAGGCCCTCCCATTATCAGCAACACATGTCCCACCATTCTTACAGAACTAAACCATAAAAAACAATGATATTTATAGCCCCTCGCAATATCAGAAACACATGCCCCATCATTCTTACAGAACTTAACCATAGAAAACAATGATATTTATAGCCCCTCCCATTATCAGAAACACATGCCCCATCATTCTTACAGAACTTAACCATAGAAAACAATGATATTTATAGCCCCTCCCATTATCAGCAACACATGCCCCATCATTCTTACAGAACTTAACCATAGAGAACAATGATATCTATAGCCCCTCCCATTATCAGAAACACATGCCCCATCATTCTTACAGAACTAAACCATAGAAAACAATGATATTTATAGCCCCTTCCATTATCAGAAACACATGCCCCCTCATTCTTACCAAACTAAACCATAGAAAACAATGATATTTATAGCCCCTCCCATTATCAGCAACACATGCCCCATCATTCTTATCGGAACTAAACCACAGAAATGATTGTGACTGTAACAATAATTATGTAAACAATATTCCTGCTAGAGGTCAATGGGTTAAGGAAGCAGGTGAAATGTCAAGAATACTAACAGTGAAAGAAATACTGGAAATCCATAATTATGCATGACCACAAAAAAATTTCATTCTCAAATAAATTTGTACTATTAAATATCATAATTAATAAGCAACAAAATTCGTGAAAATATTGCCTCGCTTATAAATATCAAATAATGCAAAAAATTTTCAAAATGCTTGAAAATTTAAAATAGAAATGATTCAACATTAACTGAAAAAATCTTGCCATTAAGATATATATAATTTGAAACTTACGGCTGAAGGCAAGGCTGTGTGCGAATCAGGGATAGTTGTAGCTTAGGAACACTCGGGGCAGACTTCAGGGCAGGGAAACAATTCCCCGGATATCCTCCACACCTTCCCTCAATAGCCTGAGGAACTCCTGAAAAAAGTCAATATCTAATTATAAACTCCACACCTTCCCTCAATAGCCTGGGGAACTCCTGAAAAAGATGATCAATATCTTACTATTATAAAGCAAAAGAAGAAAACACAGATGATAGTCTAATGAAAACTATGAAATAACACAGGTATTTTAAGTGATTCTTACACAGGTCAGATCAGGGATTTTCCTCATTTAAAAGTTACTGAAAAGTTTGTGTTCTGCTTGCTACATTTAATGGTTAAGTGCCTGACTGACCCACCCAGAAATATGACTCAGAAAAGAGAACAAAAGAGAGTTTTATTATCTGAAAATTTATGTATATATAAAAATTTCATCTCCTTAGATATAGCCAAAAAATTGGATCAGGAGCATTTTAAGTACCTGTATCCTAATTATACAAATATACCTCTGTATACTGTACTCAAAGAATTGGGTACTCCCTGATAACTGTAATATCTACATGTTCCTAAATCATAAACAGTATCTACCTGTATCTTACACAATATCTACCTGTATCTCACACAATATCTACCTGTATCCTACACAATATCTAACTGTATCCTATATGATATCTACCTTTGTCCTACATAATATCTTCCTGTATCCTACACAATATCTAACTGTATCCTATATGATATATACCTGTGTCCTATATGATATCTTCCTGTATACTACATGATATCTACCTGTATCTTACACAATATCTACCTGCATCAATTCATATACAACATCTATCAATATCCACCTGTATCATATACAATATCTTCACAATATCTACCAGTATCCTACACAATATCTACCAGTATTCTACACAATATCTACCTGTATCCCACAAAATACACAATATCTACTGTATCCTACACAATATTTACCTGTATACTACACAATATCTACCTGTATTCCTACATAATATCTACCTGTATCCAACACAATATCTAAATGTATCTTACACAATATCTACCTGCATCCTACATAATATATCTACCTGTATCCTACTCAATATCTACCTGTATCCAACACAATATCTACCTGTATCCTACACAATATCTACTGTATCCTACACAATATCTACCTGTATCCCACTCAATAGCTACCTAATCCTACACAATATCTACCTATATCCTACACAATATCTACCTGTATCCTACACAATATATACCTGTATCCTACACAATATCTACCTGTATCCTACACAATATCTTCTGTATCCTACACAATATCTACCTGTATCATACAATATATCTACCTGTATCCTACACAATATCAACTATATCCTACACAATATATACCTGTATCCTACACAATATCTACCTGTATCCTATACAATATCTACTGTATCCTACACAATATCTATCTCTATCCTACTCAATATCTAACTGTATCCTACAAAATATCTACCTATATCCTACACAATATCTAACTGTATCCTATATGATATCTACCTTTGTCCTACATAATATCTTCCTGTATCCTACACAATATCTACTGTATCCTACACAATATCTACTGTACCCTACACAATATCTACCTGTATCCTACACAATATCTACCTCTATCCTACTCAATAGCTACCTAATCCTACACAATATCTACCTATATCCTACACAATATCTACCTGTATCCTACACAAAATATACCTGTATCCTATACAATATCTACCTGTATCCTATACAATATCTTCTTTATCCTACACAATATCTACCTGTATCCTACAAAATGCCTACCTGTATCCTACACAATATCTACCTCTATCCTACTCAATTTCTACCTGTATCCTACACAATATCTACTGTAGACTACATAATATATCTTCCTGTATCCTACATAATATCTACCTGTATCCTACACAATGTCTACATGTATCCTACATTGTACCTACTTGTATCCTACATAATATCTACCTGTATCCTATACAATATCTACCTGTATCTTACACAATATCTACCTGTATCCTACGCAATATCTTCTTGTATCCCATACAATATCTACATGTATCCTACATGATATATCTACCTGTATCCTACATAATATATCTACCTGTATCCTACATAATATATTTACCTGTATCCTACGCAATATCTTCTTGTATCCCATACAATATCTACCTGTATCCTACATAATATATCTACCTGTATCCTACATAATATATCTACCTGTATCCTACGCAATATCTTCTTGTATCCCATACAATATCTACCTGTATCCTACATAATATATCTACCTGTATCATACACAGATATTCTTCCCTTCCCTCCACACTTCTCAGTGACTCTGCCTGCACAAGGTGAGTTACATTCAGCCTCAGAATTCGCTCTTGGATATCGATCATGGCTTTCTCCACAATAACAGTAGCTAGCGTTCTGCAAACCAATAGGATACAGCAACTTAAACTCTTATTTCAAAAGAAAGGTCAAGGTTAAAGTAACAGTAGCTAGTGTTCTGTAAACCAATAGGATACAGCAACTTAAACTCTTATTTCAAATGAAAGGTTAAGGTTAAAGTAACAGTAGCTAGTGTTCTGTAAACCAATAGGATACAGCAAATAAAACTCTTTGTTCTCCCCATTAATTATCAGTTTATTAATATCTTGATTAGTTTCTTTAAAACTGAGCTAATCACATTTAAGAAAAGTGATGTCAAGGTAAAAGGGAAGGTCCAGGTAAGAAAAATGTTCAAACAGTTGAATAGCTCTAATCAATATGCATCAGTATAAGAAGTTTGATAAAAATATCTTGAATAGTTTCTTTGAAATTGAGTTACATCCAAAGTGACTGAAGGACAGAAGGCAATCAGGACAAACACTATACGCCCCGGCCATATTCATGGCTGGGCATGACAAGACTGTAGAATGACTGTACCTGCATTCCTGCAAATGGAAATCCTCTACTGTTACAAAACTGAATGCAATATTCTACAGTGACATAATCTCCACTGAAGTGTGCACTCGGTAGAAGTCGCTCATCCATATCCATAAAGCAACCAATGTAAGCTGAAACGATTAACAATCCATGTCAGTTGACAAAGTTAACAAACAATGTAAGCTGACAAGTTAAAAATCAAAGCAAGTTGAAATAAAGCAAGAGATGGGTAAGTGCTATTCCTTTCACTGTGTTTATTTATTATAAACATTGACTTTTTTTTTTTAATTTTAGACATTTTCCTCCATATTTCTGATTTTATTAATAGCTATATTCATTTTTATATATAGTGTTGTATAGAACAACCAGAACATTACTAATTGAGCATGAAAATTAGATGGTGGCTGAAAATTTGGTATATGAATAAAGTTTTAAGGATTATTTATTACACTATTATTTTCTTTATTTCTCTACCAGTTTAATTAACACATGCATTAAATTCATAGTTCATTAATATCAGTCTTTATAATTTCTTTCACATGTGTTTTTCCTTTAAAAGGAGTTTTCTCTTACATGTGTTGGTGATCAATGCAGATCCATTCTGTGTGGTACTAGACAGAAATTTCCCGACCCACGTCCACTGGACATCCCCAGAGACGACAAATGGGGAACCAGTCAAGTCGATCTTAAATGTCCCCATTGGTGTACACTTTGGAGAATAAGCAAACTTATCCCCAGCTGTCCCATAACTACAATATAAAACACATCAGAATAAGTAAACTTGTCCCCAGCTGTCCCATAACTACAATATAAAACACATCAGAATAAGCAAACTTGTCCCCAGCTGTCCCATAACTACAATATAAAACACATCAGAATAAGCAAACTTATCTCCAGCTGTCCCATAACTACAACATAAAACACATCAGAATAAGCAAACTTATCTCCAGCTGTCCCATAACTACAACATAAAACACATCAGAATAAGCAAACTTGTCCCCAGCTGTCCCATAACTACAATATAAAACACATCAGAATAAGCAAACTTATCTCCAGCTGTCCCATAATTACAAAATAAAACACATCAGAATAAGCAAACATGTCCCCAGCTGTCCCATAACTACAATATAAAACACATCAGAATAAGAAAACTTATCTCCAGCTGTCCCATAACTACAACATAAAACACATCAGAATAAGCAAACTTATCTCCAGCTGTCCCATAACTACAATATAAAACACATCAGAACTAGAACTGTCCAAAAGGGACAAATACCCCCCGCTGGGTTTTTCAGAGAATGTACCAAATCACTAATGTTTTCTAGATGTGAGAGGTGTTCACAATTTGCTTAAACATTTACAGTGAAAATTTAATTACTCATTATATTTTATATACGCCCGCCTTAAGACCACTTAGAAAACCATTAGACTTAGAATCAAAAAACTACGTCTTTTAACTTTAAATTACACAATCCCAAAAGATGTCAGAGTATTGCAGTATCTTTATTAAAAAAAGTGTTAAATCAAGAAAACACTAGTCTTATTTTTTCATTATGTTCTTTATGGCAATCTGTAACAAGAAAAATTCCACCTCTCCCATGGGTGTAATGATCAGGCACTGGTCAAGGAAAATTTTGATAGCAGAAAATTGCATGTCAAATTAGAGATAAATTAATGAGTTTAGTGTGAGGAGATAACTGGTAGAGCATCTCTGATCAAGCAGGTGTTATCTACATCTCTTGAGAATTGGGCAAAAGGAATCAGTCTCTTAATTGTTCTTGTTGGCTAGTCTTACTTTCAAGATAAATTTGATGTAATTAAAACTAATTTGATATTGTATATAATAATTAAAACTTATATGATATTGTATAATATAATTTAAACTAATAATTTATTGTACATTTTTTATTTTAATTTTTATATCTTTACAACAAATTGCAGACTGCCTTGTCTCACTAAGATGTCATTCGAACAATTGAATCTAAACTGTTTATGATAATTTAACAATATTTGATGGGTGTATCATGCTGTGATGGGGCACTTTATTTCATGAATGAAACTAAGGTGCAGCCTAATAAAACATCAATACTAATAATTACAGTGTTTTTTATTACATTGAAAAAATAGTTTGCAACTATCTGCCATCTTTGTGAGACATGACACTCTGCAAATTGATTGTTGAAAAAAAAAAAATCATAATTAATTATACAAAATCAAATTGATTTTAATACTTTTATATCAAACTTATTTTAAAAATAAAAGGCTGGTTCCAGTAACTATGTATTTTGACAGACATAAATTACAATTAAGAGACTTAAACAACAGAGATCTTTATTTCTTTCTGCCCAATTCCCCAGAGATATAGATAAGACCTGCTTGATCAGAGATGCCCTAACAGCTTCCCACACTGAACTCATTAATTAATCTTTAACTGGATGCATGTCCACTCATTACTCCCAAGGGACAAATGGATTTACACTATCTGCTGTGTAATGTAAAAACTGTTTTTAATACTTCGTGATTTTTTTTTTGTAGTTCTAATGAGTAGTTTTAAGCTGTAGTTCACATTTTTGTACAGATGTTCTAGATTCTATGTCTCAAACCTTTGACATGAACCTGAAATGACTAAGTCAATAAATAAAAAAAAAATCTGTAAAATGCAGAAAAATTATCAAATAATGTTGAAAATACCAGGTGCACATCTTCATATGGTAAATAATAAGTGTACAAATTTTCATACAAATCTATGCAATAGTCTCTGGGAACAGATCCGGACAAAACCACATAATAAAAATGAAAAAAACACCTGTAAAATGCAAAACAATTATCCAATCATGATGAAAATACCAGGTGCACACCTTCATATGGCAAAGAATAAGTGTACAAATTTTCAGACAAATCCTTGCAACAGTTTCCAAGAAATGGTCCAGACAAAATCTCGTCTACAGACAGACGGACAGACAGACAGACGGACGGACGGACAAGCTGATTCCAATATACCCCCCCTAAACTTCGTTTGCGGGGGGTATAAAATAAGCAAACTTATCTCCAGCTGTCCCATAACAACAATATAAAACACATCAGAATAAGCAAACTTGTCCCCAGTTGTCCCATTACTACAATATAAAACATATCAGAATAAGCAAACTTGTCCCCAGCTGTCCCATAACTACAATATAAAACACATCAGAATAAGCAAACTCGTCCCCAGCTGTCCCATAACTACAATATAAAACACATCAGAATAAGCAAACCTGTCCCCAGCTGTCCCATAACTACAATATAAAACACATCAGAATAAGCAAACTTATCTCCAGCTGTCCCATAACTACAATATAAAACACATCCACTTAAAGAAATGTTTTTAGTACTGTAAATCAATTTTTATTCGTGACAACTTTATTTTCGCGTAATTATGCAAGTTTGTCTGCTAGCGAAAATTTTTTTCTCGCGTACATTTGTATTATAAAGGATTATATACAATAGAAACCAAAGTTCGAAAATTTTGTCTCACTTATAAATTCCAAATAGGTTACTCATGAAAATAAGGTGTCGCAAAAATATAGTGATCTACAGTATTGATCAGGAGGGTGGCTTCCCTTTGTAAAAGTCTTTCAACAAAGATCTATTATAATAATAAATACTAAACGAATTATAAAGTACTTCTTATCATAAAACTTTTTTTTTATTATTTTTAGAAGAAATAAAATTGGCTACAGAAAAATAAACAAAGCAGCAACAGTGTGATTTTGGCCTAAGTAAGTGGTTTAGAGGCCTTACTTGATAATACTGGGCCCTGCCTTGACTGCAAATGTGTTAAGCTTTACTTTATACATGTAACACTGGGTTCTGCCTTGACTGCAAATATGTTAAGCCTTACTTGATAATACTGGGCCCTGCCTTGACTGCAGATGAGCTGTCTGTGATGTCAACCTCCAGGGTGTGTACATTTAGCCTCACTCTCCTGTAGGACGTACGGCCCCGGCCACTGTACAACTGTCGGGGGTGGGCATAGGCACATGCTGATGTTGATCCTAAATACAATGATATATCTAATGTAAAAATTGTTTGGTCAAACACAAACTTTGAAGTATGTACCTGTAATATTTATATGGGATGGAAGTGGAGCCAGAGGGTTGCAGTTTAATTTAACTTTATTAGCGCATCAATCTTGGGGCTTAACTGATACCAAATCCTATTTACATTACCACAAATTTTCAAGAAAAATAATTGATTTGTCCTAAAAAGGATAAAACTATGAAAATATCCTTTGTATTCTCCAATGCTTTATAAATTTTTTACCATTTTTATCTCATCAAAACAAAACACATTCAAACAAGTTTATATTTTTTACTGCTTTGTCCAGTTTTTAGGAACTCGATCTGGTCCAATTCTCAAAGACTACTAAAATACTTCAAAATAGTTCTGCTGCACAAATACTACTGAGCATTGTACATGCACCTTTTTCATGACCTAGGGGACAGTTCTATCAAAAATGGTGAAATTTATTCTTCAAAATAAAAAAAATTCTTTTAAGAAACCCCGATTTTTAGGCTGAGCACCTTAGGACCATAGTGTGTGCATATTCAAATATGATAAAATCCCTATTCTTGTCTACATATTTCCAACAAAAAAAATAAGATATACTTATATAAAATATAATTGTACCCTTTCCTATAGGAATTTTAAAAAAAATATAAAATTGAAAATATTGATGCAATATAAAAAGCAGTAAAAAATTTAACCTACTTGAAATTTGGGAATTTTTATATAATTTTTTTTTTTGATAAAAAGAGCAAATTTTCAATATAGACTGTTTCACGATAACTGCGGCACTGCTCTTTTGCAGGGCAAAATGATTTGTTTTGGTGATATATGACGTAAAAGCAATTTTTTAATATACGTCATTTAATTATCTGTCAAATGTTATTGCCCTGCAAAAGAGTAGGCCTAGTACCGCAGTTATCGTGAAGGGGCTAATTGCCTAATATTGGGACAAGGTCCTTTTATTACTGGATCTGGATGCAGGGATTATCAAGCCCTAGCGATGTGCACATTATTTTTCATTAAAACACCTTGTCTACTAGGGATGTAAGATTTCATCGGTAAGCTATATCTTGATTTTTAAATTTTGTGATACATATATATGAAAAAAGCAACCCAACTCAAAGATAGTTCTGACGTTGCAGCATTGAGTACTTTTAAGCAAAAGTCAAAGATGTATTTCCATTGTCTTGATGAGTCTGTATATACTTCATTTCTGGTCCTGAAGACACATCTTTTCTGTTTCCCATCATTATATGCACACATACGGTATATTAGTATACGAATTCACTCTTACGCTGTTGCAGAAACAACTATCACAAAGCGCCAGTTTACAATTCAATCTCCTTGCACTGAAGAGCTCAGTTCTTAAGTTTTAGCGGGAAATTCAAAGTACAGTCGAAGTTATGCATTTGTAGTTGTGCTTACTCTCATATTGAAAGCACTGATAATAGAAGGCGACAGAAATGGAAGGTAAGAAAGCGTGGGACTTTGGGTCGGATTAGACGGAGAACAGGAAAGAGATGAGAGAAAGGCGATTTAGGAAAACGCAAAGCCAAAACATTGACCATTCTAAAGAAATATAAAAATGCATTTACTACATACAAAAATTCGCACCTCTTAAGATATATAGATATTTAAGACTTAGATTGACATAGATTGATATGGGAGGAAGAAAGGAATTGGGGGTATAGCCCGCCCTTTCAGTTGTTCATCTTCCATGGATCGAGTAGTTTATATAGCTATCTGACAGATTGTAAGGGGAGATTGCAACCAGTCTGGGAGAAATAATAGATTTGCGTGTGTATTTGTGACTGAGGGAGCGGGATATAATAGCAGAAAAATACCGGAATTATATTTAGTGTAAATGAGAGGAAGAGACTTCAGTAGAAATTTCTGTTTTGTGGTATAAATGGAAAAGGATTTACAAAGAATGTCTCACGTATATATTGCCATTAGAAAAATTATTTTACTACTTATACGTGTATAGCCTAGTGCGTATTACATCTAGGATGTTCAATAACTTACCTATATTTGTGTACACCGAGGCGAAATTTTTGTCACTTCCCGCTCTTAGAAATAAATATTCTTTTGGATTTGGTGTATCCATGCCTACAAAATTAAATTACGACAATTAATGAGGATCTACACGTTAATCATGAGGAATATCCCAACAACTGTTTCCCCCAGAATAATTACCATAATATTCCACATAAAAACGCCTGACGACCCCCTCCCCCCTTTATGTAACCTGGCCTAAGGAAAAAGATAAAAAGATTAAACTGGTGTACATTGACCCTGGCAATTAGTTATGACCTTGAGTCAAAGTATCGGCACAAGCACCCATTCGAATTTGGAAAAGGATTTACAAAGAATGTCTCACGTATATATTGCCATTAGAAACTAAGTTTGCATTCGCACCAGTACCGGTTTTTCGGATTTTAAGGCCCGGGTTGATCGGACAAAATCCATTATACTTCGCTGGCCTTTGAGATTGAGGAATTGATCAATACAATTTTAGGTCATGGTCAACACATTCTGTGAATTCATTCCAATCAACTGCTCGGCAGTTCTGAACTGAACTCAATTTATGACAGGTCGCACAGTGGTTAGAGCGTGTGTCACGAAGTAAGGAGTGGATTCTTACGTCGCGGGTTCAAATCCCATCGTGGGACGTGGAGACCGGTCCTTCGGATAAGACCGTATAAACCGAGGTCCCGTGTCGCAGTACATGCTGGCACGAAAAAGACCCCTCACTGCTCAATGGCCCCGAGTGCCGAGCATAGATCAAAATATGCAGCTCTCCACCGGCAAGTGGTGCCGTCTCCATATGAGTGAACAATTCTCGAGAGGGACGTTAAAGAACAAACAAACAATTTATGACAGGCACACAGAGATTCACATGTAGACAGACAGACAACATACATACCAAAACCAATATGTCAAACAGACACCTACATGTAGACAGACAGACGACATACATACCGCTCGGCACTTTGAAGTGAAAGTTGCGGGTCCTTCGGATGAGACCTTAAAAACCGGGGCCCCGAGTCAGCGGGCGTTGGCACGATAAAGATCCATCACTGCTCAATGGCCCTGAGTGCCGAGTAAAGGTCAAAATTTGAAGCCCTTCACCGGTATATGGTGACGTCTCTATATGAGTGAAATATTCTCGAATGGGACGTAAAACAACATACAATCAATCAATCTAAGCTCAAGAGGGATTAACTTTGTCAAAAATCATCGGACCATGACCTAATTTGAACTTGACCTGTATTCTCTGGTAAAATACCTGAATATGCAATTTCAACCTTATACATACATCCCTACAACCCAATAGATAGAGAGAGGAAACTGAAAATTTCTTCTTTTTTTTCTAAGTTCAAGAGGGATAATTCTTTCAAAAATCATCATACAATGACCAAATTCGAACTTGACCTGCATATTCCTATGACGTATCCCGGCATATGTCAAATTTGAGTTGAATGTATGCAACTGTTGCAGAGATAGCGAACGGAAAGTGAATGATGACGGAATGACAGAATGAAGTAATAACGGAACAGGGTTACACTATATGCCCCTGCCATTTTATGGCGGGGGCATAAAAAAGGGGAGCCTGGCCCCAACTCCCCAACACCACTACGTACCTGCATGTGATTAATTAAGAGATTAATTAAAAATTTTAATGGTAAAAAATTAAACTCATTATGGATGCAGTTGCCACTGGGAATAAAGTTAATTTTTAAAACACGTATTCTTTTGATGTATCGGTCATATACTTAGACAATGTGCAGGTTTTCATGTTTTGGATCAAATTATGCAATCACTATTCCTTGTTGTTTCGAGGCGGTCAACCACAATCTGGTGTTTCTCATTAGACAAATAGCAGCATGCACGTTGAAAGACATTTTTTAAAACAAAACAAAACAAAAAAAAAAGAATAAATGTGTGGGTGTGTCTACATTGTTTAATACATAGATAGACATTTTTATTTTAACCATTCAGATGGACATTTAATTTTTTTATTTCAACCAAATAGATATACATTTTTATTTTAACTACATAGATAGACATTTAACCATATATATAGACATTTTAATTTTAACCATATAGATAGACATTTTTATTTTAACTATCAGATATTTTTGGGCATTGTTTTCAAGATGCTTGCATTTAATAGAGTCAAATTACATTTTTGCTTTTAATATTTTCAAAGAAATAAATAATCAAATATTATAAATGCGTACTAGATTTTTGTATGAGATTACATTTCATATATGATAACTGTCAGTCAGCAAATATCCAAACTTCAGTCTAACAATATATACAGTGTTACTTAGCTACATATCCGATAACACATATCTATAAATAGTTACAAAATGTTATCCACACCGACTCCTCTTTGCGAGTACAAGTTAATATTAAGAAGGGTATTCAATATAATATTATCAGTGATGTGTATATACCTCAAATTAGTAAGATAAACAGCCGATTTCTTTAAATTAAAGTTTAAACATTTAATGTTACATACACACACGTGCACACTGATTTACTCATGAAAACAAAGATCCAATATAAACCGCATTCAATTCCTTTTACAACCCGCCCTCAAAATTAATTGCGTATAATAATGAAGTAAAAATGAAACTACTTAGTATTATTACACTATGTACACTATTATTACACTCTGTGTTATTGCACACGGCTATACATGCAAAAGGACAGTGTAATTATTCAAACATAAGATCAGTTTTTAGCCAAGCTAATATTCATTTTCGCGGGGGGGGGGGGGGGGGTACTTGATGTTCCAAATGTCTTGATGTCAAGGACAATGTCTGATTCTAGGCTCAAAATGAACACAGAGTGGCCAGTTTAGTTTCATGTAATGCACCCAGAAATATTTAATAATCACAAAATGGAATGATGATGGCATTTTAGGATATTGTAATTATGTAATAATTAATTCATGCTATATTAAATAGAACCCTATTATTATATTTAATCTAACAATAGGCAACACGTTCATGAAGAGAAAGAGAGAGAGACTTACCGTGACAGTAGATAGACGTGGTCAGTTTATTGTTAATGAGGATCGGGTACTCCCCATCCTGTATGATGGGAGGGTTAGAGCCCCTCCGTACGTCCAAACAAGATCTATAGGTGGTAAATCCTGAGATTCCATTTACAAAAACACAAAAAAGACAAGAAAATAAAGTCAGTTTAACCGTCCTGCACCCCATATCAGTCGTGCTCCATAACACTGATATCCGAGGGTATATTTACTTTTGTGACTTTTGTCCCCCTTTATAAAACGACTTTGTTTGAGGGCATCATAGTCATTGTTAGGTGCACTGTGATGTGTTTCCAACTCCTAGAGAAAGTGAAACCATTTCTTTCCTGACGTGCTAGTTTACGGAATGCAAATTTCTACCTAGCTGTATTTTTAATACAGAGTCCCTTACCATCAATCAAATGTGTTTACACGGTATTGTTTTACCTACATTGTTATCAAAGAAATGGAGGTAGTCCTATATTAGGTGTGCAATGTACTTAACATGTTTATCTTTGTACAAAAAATGTATGGTCGGACGAATTTACACATCGCCGACGTTTGTCAGTGAATAATTCGACGAAAATCTTGTCTTGCTAATTAGATGTAGAATTCTACATAATTAATTAGATATGCAGGAAAGAGTCTCGTATTTTTAACAGTAGAATAAGTAGCATACTATTAGTTTTTTTTTTTTTTTCAAATTGGAAGGGGAGGGCAGAAAAATCATTGAGAACATACCTGAAAAAAAATTGACAAGCAAGAAAAAAGTGACCCTCCCACCCCCAGACACTACGTCAAAAAAGGTAAATACTTCTCCGAGACACGAGGCACATATAATGTATAAGACCGATGCTCATACCAGATTTTTGTTGTGCTAAGCGGATGAGCGTCTTTGACTCCCCCCCCCCCCAGACGGGACCCCCGTCCATCGCTGGTTAACCCCTCAGCGTAAGCCCTATACCCATTGCAGATGAGTAGACTGAGAGAACGCAGATAAAGTGTCTTGTCTAAGGACACATCATATACAAGTGACCACCACAGCGGGGATAGAATCAGTGACCTTTGGGTAACTGGCCTAACACCTATGACTACTGAGTCATGTGTTCCATCCCCGATACCCTCAAAAGTTTACCCTGCATTTTCTTTTTTTCTTTCAGTATATAAAGATATGAGGGCGCGTAGCTGCTAAAGGTCACATTCATAGTTCTTTAGTTGCCCCCCCCCCTTTTTTTTTGGAAAATTGTGTGGGTGCCCGGGCATATGCCCTCAATCTGCATGAAGTTGGATGCAAGGGCTTCTATGTCTGGTTCGAAATCATCCCAATTACATGTTAGGCCATTCCAAGTGTTTTCTATGTTTAGTTCAGGCCCGTAGGCAATTTCAGTTGGGGAGGGGGAGGGGCGTAGCTATACATTTTCAGTTGAGGGAGCACTATCAACTATACCAAAAATTCTTTGACACGCCAAAAAAAAAAAGGTCATCAGGCGTTTTTATTGAGGGGGCACAAGCATATAGTATCTATGTCTTCTATAGCACTCTATATATTGGCAAAATTATTGGGGGGATACGGCCCCCCAGTTCCTACGGCCATGTAGCTTCCGTGTGCGCCTTGGTTTCTGACACCCTTTATAAGAAAAACCACACAAAATCAGCAGTCATGAAATGGATTAATTGGGTCGAAATCTTTGATTTCTGTCACATTTTCTTTAAAGAAATTGTGTATAATATATCATACAAGGTTTATTTTAGACAAAAACAAATTTATGACATCAAATCATTTGAATGGGGTTATTTTTATGACTATAAAGTCTGTGTTTTTAATTTTTGGGCTTGTAAGTTTTTTTTAATGCGAATAGGTAGCTAGGTTTTAGAAAGATGGGTGGAAGCTAAACAAAGGAAAAAAAAATGGAATGGCCATATGATACAATAGATTACTCAACACATGTGGCCAAGATAGTAGCTGCAGCATACTCTGCGTCATTGAAGGACATCAAACTTCATACTATTTACACAATTTAGTGTTAATGCTAAACGCGACTCGTAAATAGGCATACACCATATTAGTTTTTCTATCTCCTATATCAGTACTGGGGTATATAAACCCTTCGCATTCGTTACACCTAATTGCTTTCAGCTGGTCGCTGCTGCGTATAGTACATGTATATCTCAAGTTGTCCTTTACATTTTATCTCATTGAAGGGGCATTTGTGTTTATTCCAATTTGTAATAAATTGACCTGTGCAGTTGATATCGAATATCTGTTGATATTTTTTTCTACCGACTGGCAGATGCATACAAAAGTCATTTTTGTCGCGCCCAAGTATATCACAATGACAATGAAGTGTGCTCGGGTAGAATCCGTGAGGCAAAATACATTGAACCGTCAACAAAGCCGAGGCTTGTACTGTTATATAGCGGTTGGAAAGCTTGAGAAAGCTATACATAGCGGACAAGATAACTCCATTTCCTTTTAGTTTTACGAATCGTGTTCAGCTTTACTTTACTACCAATATTTATACTTCCATTATCGCTGGACTTCGCCTTTTCCCCCATTTATAATTGATTACGAAGATACTTAGCATCATCCTGGCTACATTATTCAGATATCTAATTTCTAGAATTTTTTTTTTCAAGCCATGGCTTTTCATTCTGTGACATGTGGGTAAAGCAAACCCGAAACGCCGTAGCTTGTAGAGATGAAGAGCTACATATCCTATAGCTATCCTTCTCTTCACGTTCATTATACAACATACCAGTAAATTACCTGGCATACTCTGCTTATTTTATAGAACAGAAAAGTCAGATCATCCCTTTTATTTCCTCTTAATCGAAGATTCGGGGGTATATACTGTTTGCCTGTCCGTTCGTCTGTCTGTCCGCAAAAACTTTAACCTTGCCCATAACTTTTCATTGCTTGGAGCTATGGCTTTCATATTTCACGTTTATTTCTTGTGACAACAAGACCTACCTTTGGGTACCAACATACAAGTATTTAACCTTGACCTTGGAGTTTGACACACTTCTGCAAAAAATACCCAACTTTAACCCTGGCCATAACTTTTGAACAGTTGGTGCTAGGACTTTCATATTTCACATGTATTCATCATGACAAGACCACGAGTGTTAATGTTTTTGACCTTAGAGTTTGACCCACTTTCTAAAAACTTTAATCTTTTTGTTTTTTTTTCCACTTTAATCTTGGCCATAACTTTTGAACAGTTAGTACTTGGGCTTTCAAATTACACACGTATACTCCTTGTAACAAGACCTTCCCTTGGATACCAACAATCTTGACCATGGAGCTACTTTTGGAAAACTTTCTTTGCCATAACTTTTGAACAGTTGGTGCTTGGGCTTTTGTATTTTGCATGTGTATTTCTTAAGTCAAGGTCTTCCCCTGTTCCTTTAATTTTGACCTTGACCTTGGGGTTTGACCCACTTTTAGAAAACATTACTTCTGAATAGTTGATATTTACAAGGTATATCCGTTGACACACGTCCTTTCTTTGGGTAACATTTATGATCTCTTGACCTTGGAGTTTGAAATGCATTTGAGAACCTGTCATGTGGGGGCATCAATGTTTCACAAACAAATCTTGTTACTACCTGCTGTCCACTACAAATTTTATAGCACATTGTGACAGTCCCAGAATCATTTTTTATGCTATCTAGTTGGACAGTCCTTACATGGTATCCTTTTAAAGATAGTGTCTTGTCCAGGTGCATATAGAGCCTGATACTGATTCCTCTCAATCAACTAGGATAATAAATGGTAAAAACAAAGTTGTGGATAATTTTTTTTTATTTTTGGAGAGTAAACATACATACATATCACAATAGAGAAAACAGGGGGGTAATTCACTACATTGTCAGCTCCTGAAAAACAAAAATAAATGTGTTAAGTATAAACATGGTCTTTGCACAAAAACTGTAAACAGCTGCTATGTGACAAAACAAAAATAATTTGAGAGTGGAGTAGTCCCCATTTGGACACAAATGCATTGACATTATTGGCATTGCATAGAAATGCTTTCATGATCATACAAATATGTTAGTAACTTTTGCCACTTATGAACATCTTAGACAGTGCATACACTATCATTATTACAGATTGTTAACAAGCTCTCTATAGAACTTACCATAATCGCGTTGACAATGTCATTATTATTGTTCCGGAGCGCCTTGACAGCTTTAGATCGGGAAACGTTGGCTTGTGACATGACAAGTTCAATGTCCTTACTTTCTACACCAGACTCATCCACCTAAAACAGAAAGTATGGGAAAATGTCTGAAGACATCATAAAATAGGACGCGTGGCATCATTATCACTGTATAAACACAGGCTTCTTTATATAAATTGTAGTTTGCTTGCTTCAGAGATAATGGCTTGATAAAACAGCATGGTTATCAGCATCTGTCGATAAGTTGGGGAAAGTTCTCTCATCATTGCAAGCAACTGAACAAACACAAATGTATGGCTACCTTGTGGTCACCAAACAAATGTGGTAGAAAGACAAAATGGACAATAACAGCCACTCCAATGTCAACAAGAACAAGCAAGATATGTATTTTCTTCTATCTAATTTTCCTTTATTAAATACATTCTTATTTTTTTCCCCCTCTACCATATAGATAAATAAATCTGTCCTTGAAAATGCTGAAAATAAATAAACTGACCTTGACTAGAGCCCACCCCCTCCATAAAATAAGAAAATAATCTGTTTCTGATATCTTGGAAATATTCTGTTCTGCAAGGGCATGAAAATAATCTTACTGGACAAAATTTACCCCACCCTCCTCCACCACTTGTCAAATGGTAGTCCTCTTCGGAGGATGTTTAAAATATCATATTCTGATATATCATATAGGGTGAACAAAAGGCTACACCCCTATGTGCCAGAAATACAAAGTAATAGTGCCTTTCATGATGTTATGAACCTGATCCATTGTCAAATTTAAAAATTATGTGAATAATGGTGGTGTGCTTGCTTCAGAGAAATTGGCTTGACAAAACAGCATGGTTATCAGCATCTGTCGATAAGTTGGGGAAAGTTCTCTCATCATTGCAAGCAACAACCATCAGTTACATCATTTAATATGAAATTCACCCATAGTTACAAAAAATTTCACGTCATCAAAATTAATTTATTCATACGTCATTGAAATTAATTTGTTTAATAAAGTAACTACTGCTGTAGTTTCACCGGCAGTGTTTTAGTTAACTACCTTATCTCCTAGATGTGCATAAAATTAAAATGTGCGTTAAAAAATACACCCCCCTGAATTTAATATAAAAGTTGCTTGAAAAAAATTCAACACTACCTTCATTTTTTTTTTAAATGACCCTTTTAATTCAATCAAAAAACTGGAAGTCAAAATTATTATAAATAAAGAGATCATCTTTACTTCAGTTTGGCTTTATCAAAAAAAAGGTGGTAATAAAAAAAGTCAAGAGAAGTGCAAGTCCTTGAAGAGAACCATAATAAATCTGGCCTTGGTTCTGAAACAACAACCAGTTATAAATTAAAATTTATATTCTGCACTTTTTAAAATTTTTTTTAAAAAGATGGCCAGATTTAAGTCTAGTAGATGCAGTGTGCATGCCTTCATGTATCATTCATGCAAGTTAGGTTTAGAGATAGTTTATAGTTCCTTTGTCAAGGTGAGCTAAAAAGTGCAAGTTAAAACATCTCTGACTTGCTTGCTTCAGAGAAATTGGCTTGACAAAACAGCATAGATGTCAGCATCTGTCGATAAGTTGGGGAAAGTTCTCTCATCATTGCAAGCATAGTCAGTAAAAGGATAATATCTTTACAAGTCTATTAAAACAATGAATCTCTAACCATATCCATACTTAGTTTTAATATACATGTATATACTTGTAAGTTGACTTCCATTATCCTGAACCATAACACAACGTACACAGGACACTGACCCACAGACCACAGTAAATTGGAACCGGGGCATGCATCAGTGATTTGGTGGTATGCTGTGTGCTGAATTTCAGTCTGAATTGTTATATATAATATCCGATCTGCAACGTCTTTCTTGATATTTTTTGGCACAGAAAGAAAGTTAGTTGTAAAAATTTGTAATAAGGGCTACCAAACTTAATTATAATAAATTCCAAACATTGCCATGTCACTATGACATTAATATCCCCAAGTCTGCCGAGACTTATCCCCCCTACATGACTCCTCCCTTTGGTAAATAAATAATTACCTCTCCCTCATCCTCGGATTCCTCAGGGATAGGTTGTGATACTGTACTGGACACCTCTCCTCCCACACCTGCGGGGTTCTCTGGGGTCTTGAATTTCTCTGCTGCAGCCATCTGGGCTTGTTGACTCAGATCTTCAATCTGCAAAACAGGGACAAAATCAATGAAAGCTCGGTGAATCTCCTTTTTGGTTGAAAAAAGTTTTAGTTCTTGTTTAGTGATTAAATGGTCTTTTTATACACTAAGCACTGATGTATTATACAGCAGTGTCAGCTTGTGTCCCTGATCTACTACATCTTAGGAGGACTTGGGTCACTTAAATCTGTAACATGGACAGGAGACTGACCGTCTATATAGTATAAATGGTCAGCACTATGGTCATGTTGTTCTATATTGCCCCCGCACGGTCAGTGTGGACGATGCCTTTATCAAATAAAACATCTGAATCCAGCAACGTACTACAGAATTTACTCTACACACCAATTCTTAGTGCAAGGGCTTCCAAGAATTTTCCCACCCAAAAGGACTTCACAATATCCATTTCCTGAATGGTTCTTTCGTTGAATGCAAAAAAGATCTGTGAGGTTAGTTTTCAGAAAAAAAAAAGAAAGACTTTCAATCTTTGAACAATTCATTGACATGGATAAGGTGTGAAGTCTCCTGAAAAACTTTTTTGTTAAATAGAATGAACTACTAAAACAAGACAATTTCAGGAAGTAGTACATATGTACTTCACAAGACCTTGTAAACTAACTTTAACTGACCTTCCATATCAGAACACCTACCTTTGCCTCACCGAACACAATGAAGGTATCTGAAGCCGGACTTTTATAGACATCTGGTCGGTTGATGACAAACAAGATGTTCTTGGATTTTCTGATTGTGACGCGAGTCACACCTTGTATCTGTTTCAAACCTGTGTAAAAATAATTTCATTATTAATACAGAGCAATCAAGTGTGTGTGTAAAGATGTCATGGCTTAATATACATGTATATAAACATCTTTTAAAACGTATCTCAGGGGACTGTGATAAATTCTACATTATAACCATTGTACGTTATAAGCGGAGACCGCAAGTACTCAGTACACCTTTACCATAAACAGTTTTCAAAATGCTAGTGTGTTATTTATATTTTAAAGTATGTATACATGGTAAATGATTTACAAGTATATTTGATTTCATTTCTTATATTAAGAAAGATTAATATTAAGTAACATTAATATTTTATTTATTTATCGTCATATTATATAAAAATTCCGTATTGTTTGTCTGTTTGGCCTGAGGACATTTATTTACAAAAGTCTCCAGAGTTGCCAGAGTCGTGAAAACTTCGGACTAATGCCATTTGATCGTCTGGGTAGATGGTATGCATGTGTCAGGCAAGGCCTCGTCTTCTTTGCTGTTGTTGCGGTTTTCTGATATTGAATCACTGTATTTTCTTTCACTAGTTTAATTATATCATTTTTGGTTATATTGCTATTTACTGACTCAAAGACGATTTTTTATTCAAAAAATTTATTATGAATACATCTACTCGATGAACTTTATTCAAACAATTTATTATAAATACATCTACCTGAAACAACTAAGAAAACTCGTTAGAAAAACACCCATTACAGTGAAGCTATGAAGTCAACAAACCGTGACTAATCCGCAGTCCCCGAGCTGATAGAAAAGGTGTGAAGCCAGGTGTCAGAATACTTTATAAGAGGTGTAATTATGTAACGGGACCAAATTTCTAATACTTTATAAGCGATACTACATTATATACAAATACGTTGTAAGCAGTGTTTTTTTTCCAATGAAATATATAGACACTTGTAGGGACTACGGAATGGCTACTTTACATCTGGAGATACTTTATAACCGAGTACGTTATAAAAAGAAGTTTACTGTATTTTATCACCAAGTATTCATCATTAGAGCTAAGCTTCAGGCCATTCAATATAATGAGTTTATCTATTTGAAGAGGCTGTTTCAGAACTATTTTCAGTCAGAATTTTGGGTATGTTAAGGCAAACCCAAAAATTCAATTTAGTCACAGCTTGCAACTTCATTAAATTTTCACAAAACCTTTATTACCGTATATACTCGCCTATAAGTCGGTTTTTTGGAAGTTAAATTTTGGTCCAAAACTCTATGTCCGACTTATAGGCGAGTTATAAAAAGATTGGTATTTTAGAGTTTAAAGCCCTCTAATATAAGCTTAAAAAATACAACCGACTTATAGGCGGACCGACTTATAGGCGAGTATATACGGTACCTAGTGCCATTATGCACCATCTATTTTATGTTTTGATTGGAAAGATATTTAGAGTTTCTTGTTGAAAAATATGGATTTTCCCCATTCTTTATTTAGCATTGGGGATACCCTCTCATATCCAGAAGACAAGATTTGTATTCGTCCATACCTAGCTTAGACATGGCTTTCCTCGCCTTCTTTTCGCTGCGACTCTGTTTAGCTTTACTGACCAGCTCCTCGGGGATACCAGCTGCTGCAGCCACCTAAAACATACCATAAACGTGTTAGATTTTAACTCAACATAAAGAGGTCCAGTACAATCACGACAATTAGCTACGTAACTTGGAATTACCTACATAGCTTTATTTACCTTCCCGAAATAGCTTTATTTAGCTACTAAATCATAAATGTCCTGCTGAAATTTGGATATCAGAACTTTGTTTCTGATTAGGCCATAATGAAAAAAATCATAAATGTTCATCCCCTCTACAATTTTTTACCCCTGCCTCAATTTTTTTTTTATTTCTGTTTTTCTTTTTCTTGATTCTCATTAGGATCAGTATTCAATTCACCATTCAACTTTTGGTTTTGAATTTCATCATGAATTAGACAGCTTACAATATGGTAATCATGGTATTGATGTAATATGTATTAAACTAGGATCATTAGTTGTAAAAGATTGTTTTGGGATTGTTTTAAGTAAGAGATAAGTACATTTAAATGGACCTCTATTATTACTTTTCTTTGGGCAAAATAGATAAACATGCATCAATAGACGAATTTCACATTTTTAAGACTTATCTCTCATTGTCAGCATAACACTCACTTTTGTCACTATATCCTTTGTAACTTACCTATAAATATTTTTCCAACTGTCAAACGGAATCGGACAATTCTGACCCATTTCTGAATTGCCTTAGTATTGCCTTAGAATGGTGCAACATAAAAAACATAATGAACATATTCAATGGATTTAATTTGAGAGATATTGCCCAAAAAAGTTGGTAATGTTACAAAGGGAAAACAGTGTCTTACGCCGGTTGACCCCAGATTGACCCCGCAAAGGGAAATAACTTTTGTTAATATGAAATTTGTCTATTTATGAGGTCACCAAAATTATGAACAACGGAAAAAAATTAAAAAATCTGTCCGCCGGCCTTGATTTTTTTTTAAAACCAAAACTGGAGGAAAATAATGCTCTTTTTTTTTTTTAAAGTTTGAAAGTTTACCCAGGTAAAATCGCAATTTGAAGGATAATTTCAGATACCCCTTAACTAGGGTTGGATACCAGTACTCGATACCAAAACCATACCGAGAAGTTACTTCAAAAATACAGGTAAAGTACTGTTTCATTTAATATCGGTACTTATAACAGTATTTCTTAATCTTTGAAAAATACAGGTAACTCTCGATACCTCGAAGTCCGCGGGACCGAGGAAAAACTTAGAGAGATCAAGAGTTCGAGTTTTCAAGAGTCCGGAATTTTCCGGGTTTGTTGACAGGTTTTAAAATTAGTCTTACTGGATGTAATGATTTTCATGCAGTGCTAACCTTTTACACGTGGTTTATATAAAACAACGATATTTTTTTGTAATTTAGATGAATATTTCATTAAGCTGAGTAAAGCAAAATATGTAAATCATTTCATGTATATTTATTTATTCTTTGTAATATGGACATCATACTACGCATTTGTTACATGAAAATGACATTTTACCGCGTCGCATACATACATGTAGCATTGACTATAAATCCATATTAACATGATCATTGAACGGAGTTCTGTAAGTATTTGTCCAACAATAGTCATCATATTGACATTGAGGCTGTTAATGCTTTTTCATATTTCGTTTAACTTTGACACTGACTCGAAATAAAAATTAAATTAGTGTTTTGTCTTGTAATCAATTACTACTTTTCACTGACATTCCGTCTCTGAATCATCGTAAGACAGTCGATGATAATTATTTTAATAGCATATAGGCAAAAATGATTAATTATAAATCAATTATCACCTTGCAGCATAAGTGTCACCTGAATAAACATCCCGTTCCTCGAGACCTCGTCTTCTGCCTGGGACCATTTAAATGTCCAGGTAAAGGTGCCAATTATATAACCTTGTATACACATAGCCACTTCGAGCTATCGAGGGTAAAATCTAATAGAATATGCATAGCGGGACTGAATTTTGACTTCGAGGGATCAAGGGTTTCGAGAGATCAAGAGTTCGAGAAATCAAGAGTAAATTTGCTTAGTTATATAGGGGAAAAATTCGGGACCGGAGACTCACTTCGAGCAATCAAGAACTTCGAGAGATCGAAGTTCGAGCCATCAAGAGTTACCTGTACACTCAAAAAAAAAAAAAAAAAAAAAAAAAAAAAATTCCAGACTCCCTAAAATCGAATTCTCTGCGCATTGAAAGGGCAGGCTTATTAACGAAATGGATGCTTAGCATGATACTTGCTTTCAACTGCAGATATTTGAAGGTAAATCAATATGTATATTTAAAAAAAATACATTCACATTAATCATGTTTTAATTTTATTAATAAAAACTGATAATAAATGTAAATTAAAAAGCAAAATATCACAAAAATGTTATGTGTATCTCTCCATTTTCTAATGTTTCGTCATTTAGTGCGACCAAACAAAATGGGTCCTGGCAACCAGGGAGGGAGGTTGTGTAGAAACCGTTGTGTATACTTGTGATTATGTATATAGTCAAATTAATTTGTTTGAGATTCAATTTATTTGTTTTGTTGATCATTTATTAAAAAGGTTGAAATATAAACAATATTTTATAAGCTCATTTTAGATTATACCATTGAAAGGTTGGTGATTGGTGACAGAACATTTGTTATAAAATGAACCCTCATTCTCATTCATCAACGTATATCATTAAAAATACCATATCGTTTCTAAAATACCGATATGGTATCGTACCATTTCATCCTTGACGGTATCCAACCCTACCCAAAAACAATACAGAGAGATCAGCTCTGACCAATTACCTGGCTCTGTTGCTGAATATCTCCATCTTCCAAATCAGGGACTTCATCATCACTGTCGGATTCGGTGCCTGATCCAGAAGCCTCCTCGGGCTTTGTGTCATCAATAGGCTTCTCTACTGCTTCTGTTGGCATTCTAAAATTATTACATGTACATTACAAACAGGTCCAGTACAATTACCGTAAAGTTGCTTGTATTGGCCGCACTTTTTTTCTTCAGAAAATTGTTTATAATTAGGGATGCGCTTAATACATCGGAACAAAATACAACCCCCTTTTTTCCAGGTCACGAGGACCATTTTCCCGAACCGTTTGAATTGATTAGGCCTACATTTTGTAACCAATTACGTCAAAGTTTATTACTATTACTCTAATTTCAGAGTCATATACGTCAGCCCTACCTGTTGTAGTCATATACATCTACCCTACCTGTTGAAAAAAAGGACAATCATTTCATAAATAAGATCATAATGAAAAACGATCTTTGTTTTTGTTTTATTTCCATTGCGTATTCCGCCATTTTGAATTACCATTGCTTATATCATATATATACAAGAACTGCATGTCGCTTAAGACATAAATATATTAATACCTATTAATGAGTCAACAACTATAATCTTTGTGATATATTCTGAATTATCCATAATTCAATATCTTATTTTTATTTTTTTTAATTTCAGATATGCAATTAGAGGTGCAAATCCTTAGAGATTCTATTGTTGCGTCATTGCTATATAATTATTGAATCTCGTACAAGTACTTTTTTTTCCTCAGATACGCCATACATAGCTTTAAAAATTCTAATTTTGATTCTTCTAGTTTGCAATATATGTCTACAAAATCTTCTTTAGAATTTTAAAGAAATATGTACCTCGTAGACTGACTTCGAGTCAGTACTCGTGTTTGTTATCACGTTGTTTACAGTTCGAATTTCCCTAAACAGGTCACTTCCGGTTTGAAGTACCTGGATATTTCACAGTGTTTTCAATATATTACGGCCAATAATGACATAAAAAAAGGTGCCAATTATATTTAGAGGTATTTATTGAAATGTGTTGAAGCACTGTAATAAATTGTAAAGATTGTAAAAATGCAAATCCAAGATTTTCATCGACGATAATTACCATACTATTGTGAGATTTTCCCCGGTTTTTTGTCATTACATAAAGGTAAAGGTCACTACTCTAAAATTACCAACCAAAGAAATCAGCAGAACCTACAGGGAACAAGTCAAAAGCCGTAATTCAAGGGTAGTATAAGTTGGGACACTTTCCCGCGAAATCCTAACTTTCACGTTGCGCAGCGCCACCTATCCTTCCGGCAATATATAGTATATATAACTTCAGTCTATGTTGTCACGTAGGACATGACCATAGTTTATTTAACAAATATCACCTCAACACCTGCAATGAAAGCGATGCGTTTTTTAAAAGAACTTTATAAATATATTTCAGTCGGAAGCACATATAAAAACGTATTTTGAAACATTCAAGAAAATATTCATAAGACATAAATATTAAATTGTTCATTTTACACGTCATCATGGTCACAGCACTGATTGTTCATTGCACTAGCTAACTAAAATAATTATCGATGGATACCAAGAACTGTTTAATTACCCAAAGCCAAACCTTTGACACTAATATCGCTTGGGTATGATTTTTGTTTACGTAAATACGGACACGCGCTTGTTATGCATTGTAAGCCGCTTGGAATTAATTTGAGAAAAAAAATAATCAGGTATTTCTTTTATCATCTCTGGTTAGATAATTATTAAAAAGATTAAATTTAAATGTTCACACATGCACACTTACAATACGTAGATTAAAAAAGCGGACTTGCTACTTTCGTTTGAGATTTGTAAATTTTCCTACTTTCATCTTAAGTTAATGTTCTAGAAAAAATTAAAGTCACATCCAATTTATGCATTTTTTGGATGCACTTTTTACATAGGACCTGCGTTTTTTTCAGGATTTCCTCCCCAACTTTGGGGGTGCGTCTTTTACTCCATTGCGGCCAATACACGCGACTTTACGGTAGTACATTTAGCTATGTAGCTAAAATTACCTACCGTAGCTTTATTTACCTACCTCAGGTAGCTTTATTTAGCTATTTCAAGGCATTACTTTTCACAATTTTGCTTCTTATTTTAAAAAGACAAAAAGTCGCAAGTAAATGTCTGCTAATATTTATTCTAGGTATTATTTAAAAATCAATTTGAAGCAGAGATAGTTTTAACATTGCTGCATTTGAACAGTTTTAAGCAAAAGATATATTTCCATTGTTTGAGTAACTGTACACCACCTTGTGTGCGATGAGGCGTGGATAAGTATGATTACTTCACATTGTGCTCATGTTAACCAAAACTGGTTTTCTTTGTTATTTCACTCAAGAAGTAACTTTTAGGTCACACATTAACTGTTGTATATCGCCTCAAAACTTTTAGAACTTTGATTGCAGTTGTGCAGGAAAAGACACATCTCCAACAGTGATTTTTTCATGAATTGTTTTCAGATGAGTTCAAAGTTGAAAACTATCACTGCATCAAGGTGCAATTTTCTGCACTTTCTGTGAAATATGCTTATTTAAGAAATAAGTTTGATTTAGTTGCTAAATAAAGCTACTTTAGGTAGGTAAATAAAGCTATGTAGGTAATTTAAGCTATGTAGCCAGGGACCTATATACTATAGGTCCCTGATGTAGCTGAATCTAGTGATTGTACCAGACCTGACAAAGGGTGGAAATAAAAAGTTTTATCAGTTTTGCTACGGTCCAATACAAAACCTAGGATTAATAAAATAGAAGCTATATACAACTTTCTTGTAAATCAGATTTAAGAGAATCAATCACTCCAAATATCAGCTCAAGTTACAAAGTTGAATTTTATCTTGCCTTTCGAGCCAAAAATACGCATAAAACGAACCAATTCAAGAAAACAGATAACTATAAAACGAAAATCGATTGTTTATGATTGATTGTCTATATTCTCTTCCTTGAATACGCTGAAATAGTGTGACGATTCTGAAGGATGGACGTCGCTACTCACATGCTGTGTTTGTTCTGCTTTCGATGGCTCTAAAAGGAAGTTTGACTTGGGAAACTTCCGGCAGGTGAGACGAACTCTTCTGCCCGTGGAGGTGTATTTGGCGGCTTGACAACACTGAAAACATCACAAAAACAGAGGTTTTGTGGAAAAAGATTCTAATCAGGTAAAGTCCAAGTTTGCTTTCCTTGTTACAGATTTTCACTATGACATTGAGACTTTTATATTTCATTACAGATAAAGCTCCTTTGATTTCATTTTTACCGCATATCTTTTCATTGGCTATGTGAAAATATGAGTTTGGACATGCAAAATTTACAGTATTTTTTGAATAGCTTTAAACAATACACGTGTGGAATACTTTAAACAGATACTCCACTATGAAAAAGAGATTCACAAATAAAGATGTTTTAGAAAAATGTAGCATCTAATATTTTATTTCATTTTTATTTATGTATCATGTACTAAATTTGGTGGTCATTCAAATGCTGAGGAATATAAGGGTTACTTTTTGATAGCAAGCGCAGCGCTCTTAAAGCAACGCCTGGGCGAAGAGAAAGTTTGGACTTTGCACATTGATCCAAAAAATTTTTTTTCCGCAGTTACCTGTGGTCCCATAATACTTTGCGAATTGCATCCCACTGCAAGCTACGTTCTCGCGGTATACCCAGAAGATCCAAAAAAATAAACTCACTTTGATTTAGTGGATTTATAGCAGATTTATAGTAGATTTAATTTAATTTTAATGTTCTATTAAAATTAGCACTGTTCAGACTTTGTTTCTGTAATACAACATTACATACGATGTCTTGTGACGTCAGAGTGTAGACCTACTAAATATCACGTGCAGTTTGAGGAGCCCGATCTAAATTAAAACTGAAAAGGTATCTGCGCTCGTCCTAACGGTCGCACCGTCAACATATTATTACTGGTTTAGGTTGGGTTTCAGTGGTAGTTAATGAGTTTAGGTGGGAACTGTGAGATTGAGGATTGAGTTACACATAATAAATAAGTGTAGTAGAATATCATATCTGTTGTTATATAAGCAGATGCACTGACGGATAATCAGAAGAGATTGTGTTTTGAATTGTGTATATATGTATGTTCATCACACTGATTTGGAATTACACTAGATCCAGGGACAAATTCATCCCTAGTAGAGCTCATGACACCATTTTAGGATTTTTGTTTACTTTTCAGCATAGGACTTTTCTACCACCATGCCCAGTGCTGGGGCAGTTTGTCCCCCCTTGATTACGCCTGTCAGGCGGCATATACCAGGCCTTGCCACAAATAAAATAGACACCACCACACTCATAGAGATCACCACAGGTAAATAATGCATAATATGGAATCATTTAATATGTAATGGATGATTTTTGTGGATTCCTAAAAAATTACAGGTTTGTTCCATATGGACATAATTTTGTGGGCCCATGTCTTGTTATAAAAAAAAATTCACCCATTAGATTCCAATATTCAGAGAAGTTGTATATTCGTAGGTAAAGAGTACCCATGGAAGCCATGAAAATTGGACTCCTTTGAACAAAAATAATGATTCCACAGTACTTATGTTGTGTGATTGGTTAAACTGCTTACTTTTCAAAGCTACTCACTATCAGTTAATGGGTCTAATTTGTCCTTATATAGATTAACAAAAAAATTACTTGTAAACAAAACCAGTGGCTGATGATTGTCTTTTATTGATGTGGTCTTCGATTTGACATGACCTTGCATCCAATTTGATTAAATCCTAATAAGAGTTTGGATTAGCACTAGTAGTAAAAACGTTTTTTACCAAAGGATGATTCTTTTGACATTTTATTTTTGCAAAGATAAGACAAAGTATGCACCATTATATTTATCATTCTACTATACTTAGTAGACCTCTTGTTGCATCTAAAACTTTCTATATATATGTATTTTTTTTTTTTTTTTTTAGAAACTCCTGATTGTAAAATATATTTCACCTCCGATGGAACAAAACCATCTCCATTCCAACGTAAAATTGGAGGACGTGAGATCACATTCAAATACAAGGCTCCATTCACTCTTAAAGCAGGAAAACGTACATTAAAGGCCGTCGCTGTTACAAGGTACAGTCAAAAAAAAAAAAGGAAAGCAAATCACTCACATAGCCAGGGAGTGTACTCTCAGACTAAAGGAAGAATAGTTACAATCATAATTGTTTAATGTACTGTACACAAATGTACTGTTTGTAATAAGGTAAAGTCAAATCCACACATAAAAATACATACATGTAGTCATGTACAAGTGTCAGTTTGAAATCAATCCGCGACAATTAATTTTCGTGACTGAGAAAAAAATTCTCTACAAATACAAAGCAAAATAAATGGTTTGCGGCAATTATTTTCCTGAGTTTTAGGTCGTGAAAATCGCAGATATTTCTTGCATATGAATAAAAGTTGGTTTACAGTATATCAGACATACAGTAAGATAAGATAGCTGATGTAAGTAATTGTTGATTCCCAGGGATGGAATCCGAGAGAGTGACGTGATGACAAAACAGTTTATGGTGGAGGAGACTGGACAACTAAGCCACCCAGATTCCACTACAGATTGCTACTCTACCGATGACTACACAAGCTTTTTTGACACTTCAGACCTTGACACAGACACCACACAAAAATCCTGGACTAGCTCTTCCACTATCAAAAACAGGAAGAAACCCAAAAAGGTAAATATAACACCTCCACTCTCAAAAACAGGAGGAAACCCCCAAAAAAGTAAATATAAAACCTCCACTCTCAAAATCAGGAGGAAACCCCCAAAAAAGTAAATATAAAACCTCCACTCTCAAAAACAGGAGGAAACCCAATAAAATAAATATAACACCTCCACTCTCAAAAACAGGAGGAAACCCCCAAAAAAGTAAATATAAAACCTCCACTCTCAAAAACAAGAGGAAACCCAAAAAGGTAAATACATGTATAACACCTCCACTCTCAAAAACAGGAGGAAACCCAATAAAGTAAATTTAACAGCTCCACTCTTAAAAACAGGAGGAAACCCAAAAAAGTAAATATAATACCTCAACTCTCAAAAACAGGAGGAAACCTAATAAAGTAAATATAACACCTCCACTCTCAAAAACAGGAGGAAACCCAATAAAGTAAATATAACACCTCCACTCTCAAAAACAGGAGGAAAGCCAATAAAGTAAATATAACACCTCCACTCTCAAAAACAGGAGGAAACCCAATAAAGTAAATATAACACCTCCACTCTCAAAAACAGGAGGAAAGCCAATAAAGTAAATATAATACCTCCACTCTTAAAAACAGGAGGAAAGCCAATAAAGTAAATATAACACCTCCACTCTCAAAAACAGGAGGAAACCCAATAAAGTATGGTAAATATAATACCTCCACTCTCAAAAACAGGAGGAAAGCCAATAAAGTAAATATAACACCTCCACTCTGAAAAAGAGGAGAAAACCCAAAAAAGTAAAACTAATAACAAATTTATATCAACACCTTAATAAACTCATTCATCAAATGGGCAATCCAGAAATTTGTGTAAAAATTATCAGACTATCCCTTCCACTGATTACAAAAGAAGAAAATCTTAAAAAAAGGTTTTAAATTTAAAACATGTTTTAAAAGAATTGCAAGAAAATTTTTATGTGATTGTCATTTGTCTCTGTTGCTTTAATTATTCTGTGTTATGATGAATTTTTGATGTTTTACAGAGTAAATCCCCAGTCAGAGCCAAATCCCCACTGAGATCCTCCCTGAGGAGGTCCCCTAAGGAGGCCTGGGCCAGCAGTCAGACCTTTGATAACTTTGGGGCCGAGGATGGGCGGCACAGTAAGACTTAAAGATTGTTTTTGGTCGATATTTTCTTAATTTGTAAAGGTATTAATTAAGATGCATAAGAAAAGACAGAACATACAATGAAATTAAATATGGATAGGCAAAAGTATCTTTATGGAATTTCCTGAAAATTAAATAAAAATCTTTAAGTTTTTAAGAGGTACATTGTACATGCAATTGTAATTCTTTACTTATACTCACAGATATCTGAATATGATAATCAAAATCCTTTTTCACAATGAATTGAAATAAAATATATATTAGTCATTATTATTATGTAATTAATTCAATCTTTTCTGATTGTCCTGAAATTTTTTGCTGTATTCCCAGGTCCCCCACAACCTCCTGTTCCAGAGGGCCCCTTCAACCCCACCAACTACTCAGGTACCCAGATAAATGTGTGGGGTGCTCCCCCTGGATCCTGGCCTGGGATGAATGCCAGTAATGGGGCAGTGACATTTGGTGTCCCAGTGCCTAACAACCCTTACCCCACACAGACAGGCTTCCTCACAGAAAATATGATCAATGTAAGTTGTGCAATGAAAAAATATATTATAATTATTATATAGATCTCAGCTCTAATGATTTTTATAAGTTATATGAACTTTATACAAATATCCCTATGATTTATTCTATGGATACAAAGCTCAAAGTTTTGTGATATCATCTTATACAAGAATAGTACTTACTGATTCCCTATTTGTTTCGGATCTGTTCTCTGTCTACTTTGTTTGACATTGACTTATAAGAAGTAGAATGTTCATATTAGTCAAGGTCATGATTTCTTATCAAGGGTCAGGTTAAGGAAGAATTTGTCATCTGGTGACATACTGATTCACGATTTGATTTTTGGTTCTAGCAATCTGACATGGTGTAATTAATTAAGACACTCCCATCTAATTAACATATTTATATAAAATTTAACGTCTTTGTAGAACTGTAACCCAGAAAATCGTCACGTGACTGTGGGGGACTTACGTCAGATGATGAACAAGCGACCTAAAGCTATTGAAGAACCACCAAAAGAGCCACCAAAAGCCATCGAGCTTCCCCCTCCCCCCAAAGAACCAGAATTATTGGCAGTCAGTCCAGGAAATGGTAAAAAATTAGATACTTGATTGTACGGAATATAGTTATAACAGTCGTACTGTATTAAAAAAAATCTTTTCTTAGCTGATAGAAACAGGCACAGTGGGAGGAGTATCATTAGTTTATATAAAAACTAAAGTGATTAATTAGACTTCTCAAGATTTAGCTATCTTTACATTTCCCTGTAAACATGTAATAATTTGTTGTTGAATTTTTCAATAAATTACTTTTCAATGTCTAAAGAAAATTTATTATGTAACGTGTTTATAACAGGGGATTTCAAAGGAAATATACAGCACATCTACACTCATATGCTGGAATTTGCGAAAAATAACAAAGACTTTCGACTAAGAGTGGCTGAACCTAAAATTGGAAGAGTAAGTAATTAACATTTAATGATAAAGAATTTTGGTGGTGTTGTTCAATTAATGACTATAGAAGACTTTGATAGAAGTATATCATGCTAATGTCACACTTAAATAAGCAGGCTTCATATTTTAGCGGCTTTGGTGAAGACAATGATGCGCTAATTCATAAATACCGCTAAGAAATCATTTATAGATACAATATATGGCACGGAAATGTAAAGTGCTAATTCATGATTTTGCCAACAACTCCATACCAAGTGATTGCGCTAAATTTTGAATACGCCAATTTTGAACATGCATAGTATACTATCATGATATACCAATATCGGAGTCTTCTATAGTCATTAATTAAACAACAACAACAACAAAAATCTTCCTACTTCATACAAACCATGATGTTTAAGTATACCTTTACTGATGTTAGGAACATTGATTTTAATATTTTTCGAATACTTTAATTCTGCAAAAAACCCACACTTTTGGGGAGAAAAAAAAACAATATTTCAGAGCTGCACAATTTGAAAATATACGTAAAATCTGCATGCACAATGAAGTAGGAATATTTAAACTTTGTCTTTATTTTCCAGATGCATGAAGCAAAGTTTGAAGACGAGGGAGATGGATACAGAATCACTCTGGTGATGGGGAAACCGGGCGTGCCAAGTGAGTGAGGAATGACAAAAATCTCTCAGATTTCATAATCAAACACTAAAAATGTCAAACTGTGCCATAGATTATTTTATATTTAGATATGAATTAAGTCTGATATTTATAGTGATGTCTTTTAGATAATGCATGTACATTCTGTCAATTGTCACTTATATACATGTATCTGTATTAAATTATATACATGTAATCTTTTTTTTAATGTTTTATAGATGACATTTTTGATATACAACTGTTATTCTAATCATTTTCCTGTGAAATTTTTAAAACCTTTTAAAATCAGATTAATTTACAAAATATACCATTCATCTGATATTTATACACTGCATTTTTCAAGGTGGGATTTTAGATGTATATTGAAAGTTAACTTTATATTTTGACTTAATAAAATATGAACCCATTACAGAGTTGATTTATTTTGTTGATTCAGGAGGATCCCTACGCAAACCTCCAAAAGTGGAGACCAAACCTAAGAAGCCCCCCACTCCCCCTCCCTCAAATGGAAAGAAAAAGAAAGAAACACCCCCTAAGTCTGACCCCTACTTCGCCATGGAAACAGAAGATCTTCCGGTATTCAACTTAAGAAAAGAAAATTTTAATTAATCATATTCAAAACAAGCATGTGCATTTTGTCTCTGTGTATAAAAAGTTCTAATCTTCCAATTTATACTGGGAAAAAAATTGCAAAATGTAGACATATTCCTCTTTAAAAGATAAAATATTGTATTGAGATGAATAATAACAGTGTTGTCTCCCTTTAGGTGGAGGGGACCGTAAAGCCATATGACAAATTTAATGCTGAACAAGACGCCGAGGTCCTGAGGGGCGCCATGAAGGGGCTAGGTATAGAAATATTTTATGTTGATGTTATTTGATATAAACATGATAACATGGGAGTTACTACCGTTACTTGTTTACAAGCATGGCAAATCCTTAATTGCTAGAGAGCAAAATAATTTTTTTCTTTGTTCATGTATTAGGGAATAACTATCTTCTCATTTGTTAATAGTGCCCGTTAATAATGATTTAAGGGTTGCAAACTGAGTTTTACTGGCGATGCATAAGTGGAGATGATAAAATGTATGTTTTCGACCATTAAATCATCATTAATGGTCGCAAATAACACAATTTATGCATTTTTGTTGGTCGTTTCCCTCTTATTTTGTTGAGTTTTGAGATGTGAAAAATGTCATGAAACATTGTGTTTTTGCGCCGTTCTATTCTTACATAGATAAATAAATACATATATGTGACTGTTCATTAGTAATTTGTTTAACACTGTTACACAGGGACAGATGAAGACGCTATAACAAACATCCTGGCCTATCGATCTAATCCTCAGAGACAGGAAATTAGGGTAGCATTTAAAACCATGTACGGAAAGGTATGCATACATTACTAATCAGAGAATAATTATTTTACTTTACAAGATAACAACTTTTACCCTTGTCTTTATTCATTTGACCTTTGACCTTTTGGTACAGGACCTTCTTGAGGAGTTGAAGAGTGAACTAAGTGGACATTACCTGGATGCCTGTAAGGGTCTGATGATGGCACCGGCTGAATTTGACGCTTATCAACTCCGCAAAGCCATCAAGGTAAAATATAAAATGGAGCGGAGAATGAATATGCGATGGGGTTTAACGGAGATAAGGGTGATTACTGATGTCTGATAGTGTATGGTGTAGATTAATTGCTATAAGAATTGCAGGTTTGAAGTGATTTCAAATGCTAGTTCTAGATCATATTTTTTGGATAGGATAAAAACAAACTGTAGCACTAATTTAGACATATGTTGCCACTAGCTGGCTCAAAGTAAAAGAATAAAGATTCTGTAAAATAAACAGTTTACTTTTTGATTTGCTGTATAGGGCCTTGGGACAGATGAAGACGTGTTGATAGAGATTTTGTGTACCAGGTCTAACACCCAGATCAAAGAAATCATCAAAACTTATAAAACACGTAATTATTTCCAAAATCATTCACTAATTTTTTTCTTTATCATGAGTGTAGTCAAATCTCAGAGAGATGAAATGTTAAATGCTTAAATATGCTAACACACTGTACAAGAGTTTGGTAATTACAATTTGATAAAAGTCATAGACATTGAATTTCTTAGTCTAATCTTAGTCATTAATTACAGTATTCAATAAGGATCTGGAGAAGGACATTATTGGTGACACGTCAGGACATCTGAAGCGATTACTTGTGTCGCTAGTACAGGCCAACAGGAGTGACAGTAAGGAAGTGGATCGTAATAAAGCGAAACAAGACGCCAAAGCCCTGCTGGATGCAGGGGAGGGAAAATGGGGCACAGACGAGTCACGATTTAATGTCATCCTCGCTTCTCGGAGTTATCCCCAGCTCCGGGCAACATTTGATGAGTACGAGAAGATCTCCAAGAAGAACATTGTTGAGGCCCTGAAAAGTGAAATGTCAGGGGATCTGCTAAGGGGAATGTTGACAATTGGTAAAGTATACAATGTTATATTACACTATAATATAACATGCTAAAAATTGAATCACTGGGGAATAAGGGATTGTTTGTTACATTAACATCTGTATTATATGTATATAATGGAACTTTTACAAATGTAGGATTTATGTTTATAGAAAATTCAACTTGAACTTAAAGCTTGCATTCATAAACAGTAATGAGGTAAAATGTAAAATGAAAGAGGTTATCAAAATTGTCAATTTTAAATTTCTAACAATATGTATAATTCCTACAATATATGTTTTCTAGTGCGATGCGTAAGGAACAAGGCTGCTCATTTCGCGTACCAACTCCAGAAGACGATGAAGGGTCTGGGCACGGATGATGACACTCTTGTCCGGGTAGTTGTGTCACGATGTGAAATTGACATGGTCCAGATCAAAGAGGAATTCCAGAAAATGACAGGACAAACATTAGAGCAATACATAGCTGTATGTATACCCCCTGCTTTTCTGGTGCTTTGAATGATTAACTGTTCATGTTATGAATTTATTCTATTTTGAAAAAAAGCAAATTAAGTCGTGTAGGAAATGTATTTTAACAGCTCCCCCTGGACTGAATTGTTTATAAGATGATGATAAATATCTGTTTTCTTTGACAGGATGACATATCTGGAGATTATAGGAACATTATTCTGGCCCTCGTGGTGGGAGGACCTCCCCCAAACACTGCCTCTAAATGTAAGTTCTACTCCTCCCACAAACACTGATTTTAACTTTGACCCCCCTCGCTTTCCCACACAAAGAGAAATAAACAGATGAAGCATGATTTCAATTATCAAACTGATAGTGTTTCTTTCTGCAAAAGAAGTGCTGGACTGATTTTAACTTCAGAGTATGATTTTATTAAACAATTACAACATTATAAAAGGTAACAAAATTTTCCTATCTCAATGCAAAGTACCATCTAATGCCATACTTCTCCATTTTTACTGTATATTCGTTGCAAATTCTGTTTTCTATTTTTAGCTGGTAAGGGTTTTGTGGAGGCCATAAAAAACAAAACTGAAGAAGAATTGGATGAAGAAGTCAGAATGGAATCTGAAGATGTTCAGGTAATGTAAAAAAGAACATGTAACCATTGAAATAAATGAGATACATGTATCAAAAATACAGGTGGTTCTCAAAATATACAAGTGATGTCAAAAATCCATCACAGGCACTTGGGGTATCGCCTCCCCCCCTCCCCCCCCCTTTTCCATTTTTTTTAAATCAGGTATCAACACACTTTTTTTCCCTATTCATGTATTGAAATACGCATTACATATTAGTAATAATGTAACCCTTTTGTCTCTATCAGCTGTTATCAATTATCTGAATTTTGACCGATATGGCCTACATAAAATAAAAGCTCTTTTTATGTATCAATCGAAAAGGAGATAATAGAGACAAAAGGGTTTCATTATTGATAACATGTAATGCATATCAAATAATACACAAATAGGAAAAAAATGTGTTGATCTGATTAAAAAAAAAGGAAAGGGGGGGGGGGACCATATACCAAGTGTCTGTGGTACCCGTCAGGATGTAAAACAACTGATAACGGTGTCAAGATATACAAATAACCTAACTTAACAACATCAATTCTGTAAATGATACAATTTTGTATCTCTTCAGTTACATTATGTAGATATGCCTGAATGCCAAAAAATTCACATTTGAGATTTTCAACAGATCATTAGATTTGTGAATATCATTAGACATATCTTGTAATTTACAGGAAGATCCCACTGTAAAACCTGCAGAGAATTTCAATGCTGAGAGTGATGCAGAGGCCCTCAGGAAGGCTATGAAAGGCTTCGGTAAGTTGGCCAGGATTTTGTGTTTATAAATCTATAATTATACATTTTTCCAGTTTCTCCAAATTCAAATTTCACTAATAAAAACCATAATGCAATCAGCTTTTAATTAGTGTCCTCTATTTGAAGTTACATACTTTCATTATCGTGCTAATGCTATAACTGTACTTGCACACACATCTTGCTGTGAATAAATTTATAAGGTTTTCATTGTTACACAGGAACTGATGAACAGGCCATCATAGACATACTGGGCTACAGATCAAATGCACAGAGACTAGAGATTGTTAAAACTTACAAAACAATGTTTGGAAAGGTAATTAAAGTGATGAAACTTATTTATGTCATAAATGTTTTGTTTATCTCATACATATGCCATTTTTTCACAAAAAATAAATTAAATTAATGATAAAGTGACTTTATGTGCTGTAGGTGACTTTAAGTGTTGTAAGTGACTTTGAGTGTTTAAATGCTGTGGGATGCAGGAGGACCCTTCTGTGACTTGATTTATTTTATTTTAGGACCTAATCAAGGACTTGGAGGGGGAGTTGAGTGGGGGGCTGAAGGTTCTCTGTCGCGGTCTGTGTATGAGCCTGGAGAACTTTGATGCTATGTGTCTCAACAAAGCTATCAAGGTGAGAACTTTAGGTTATAAGGTCAAGGTGAGAACTTTAGGATATAAGGTCAAGGTGAGAGCTTTTATAAGGTCAAGGTGAGAACTTTAGGTTATAAGGTCAAGGTGAGAACTTTAGGTTATAAGGTCAAGGTGAGAACTTTAGGTTATAAGGTCAAGGTGAGAACTTTAGGTCATAAGGTCAAGGTGAGAACTTTAGGTTATAAGGTCAAAATGAATGTGATTTTTTCCAGAATAATTTTGTCAAAAATATTTTGATCATGCAGATTGAATAGTAGGGAAATTTTTAATCCACCAGAAACAGGTGCCTAAGTGAGCTCTTCTAATCAAAGTTTATCTGTGTTTTAAATTTCCACATTTCTGACTTCATCTTCAGTGCCAGTAGGCCAATTTTAAGTAAACTTGGCAAAAAGCATCTTTGGGTGTTGATTGTGCAACTTTAAGTGAATGACTTCTTTGCAAGGGGATATAATAAAGAAATAGTGAAAATCTGGTGAAAACTTGTAAAAATCTTCAAGCAGGACACTTCTTATTGAATGTAGATTCAAGTTGTCAAGCCCAATATACTGTAAATTTAAATTGTTGAAGCTTGGCATTCAAGTTGGTGGTTGAAGTTTCATTTGTCAATAAATATTTATTTTTGACACAGGGGAGTCTTTTGGCCTGTGGGCCTGTCATTAGAATAGAAATGTTTACACTCTGAGTGCTGAAACTTTGCATTCTAATTAGTATAAAACTGTCCTTATTTTTATTGCAGGGCCTGGGAACAGATGAGCAGGTACTTGTTGAGGTCATCTGTACTCGGACAAATGAACAGATCAGAAAGTTTAAGGAGGCTTACAAAACTTGTATGTTTAGTATCTGTTTACAAACGTAACACATAAAATGCATGTATCTGCTGAGTTACACAATACCTTTATCCATGTATGAAATTCATCCCAGGAGTTTATAATAATCGAAAATCTGAGAAAAATTTTCAAAATTGTTGCATTTGATTTACAGAGATTAGAGCTGTTCAAGTAGGGATAATGACCAACTGAATGGCATGTCATTAGTCCATTTAAAGTTTGAATTGAGGAGTGCAACTCATCGTTTAGTTTTATACAAGAGCTTAATAAGAGCTGGTTCCTGGTTTATTTTTTAAATAACAATATCGGAATTTATATTTATACTTTTTAAAAACATGAACTTTGTTATTACATAGTTTGTAGGAATAATCAATAGCAGTCCTTCTCATTATATGACCTTGTCTTACTTTAGTATGTGCATTTTTTATAGCTCACCTGAGCTGAAGGCTCAAGTGAGCTTTTCTGATCACATTTTGTCCGTCGTCCGTCTGTCCAGCTGTCTGTCTGTCCGTCCATCTGTAAACTTTTCACATTTTTGACTTCTTCTCCAGAACCACTGGGCCAATTTCAACCAAACTTGCCACAAAGCATCCCTGGGTAAAGGGGATTCAAGTTTGTTCAAATGAAGGGCCACACCCTCTTGCAAGGGGAGATAATTAAGAATTAGTGAAAATTTGGTGGTATCTTTTAAAATTCTTCTTCTCAAGAACCACTGGGCTGTAAAAGTTGAAACTTATATGAGACCTTCATTACATAGTGTAGATTCAAGTTTGTTCAAATCATGACCCCCTGGGGTAGGGTGGGGCCACAATGGGGGATCAAAGTTTTACATAGGAATATATAGGAATAAATCTTTAAAAATCTTCTCCTCAAGAACAACTAAGCCACGATTAGTCATATTGATATGGAATCATCCTCAGGTAGTGCAGATTTAAGTTTGTTCAAATCATGACTCCCGGGGGTAGGGTGAGGCCACAATGGGGAATCAAAGTTTTACATAGGAATATATAGGAATAAATCTTTAAAAATCTTCTCCTCAAGAACAACTAAGCCATAATTAGTCATATTGATATGGAATCATCCTCAGGTAGTGCAGATTCAAGTTTGTTCAAATCATGACCCCTGAGGGTAAGGTGGGGCCACAATGGGGGATCAAAGTTTTACATAGAAATATATAGAAAAAAATCTTTAAAAATCTTCTTCTCAAGAACAACAAAGCCACAATTAGTCATATTATATGGAATCATCCTCAGGTTGTTCAGATTCAAGTTTGTTCAAATCATGACCCCCCAGGGGTAGGGTGGGGCCACAATGGGGAATCAAAGTTTTACGTAGAAATATGTAGGGGGAAAAACTTGAAAAATCTTCTTCTCAGGAACAGCAAAGCCATGTTTTGTCATATTGATATGGAAGCATCTTCAGGTAGTGTAGATTCAAGTTTGTTCAAATCATAACCCCCAGGGGTAGGGTGGGGCCACAATGTGGGATCAAAGTTTTACATAGGAATATATAGGAAAAAATCTTTTCAACAACAGAAAAGCCATGTTTAGTCATATTGATATGGAAGCATCCTCAGGTAGTGTAGATTCAAGTTTGTTCAAATGATGGGGGGGGGGGGGGTAGGGAGGGTCCACAATGGGGGATCAAATTTTTAACAAGAGAATATATAGGAAAAAAATCTTTAAAAATCTTCTGCTCAAGAATTGCAAAGCCGTTTGTTATATTGATATGGAAGCATCCTCAGGTAGTTCAAAATCTAACCCCCCCTTTTAAACTTTTCAATACTGAAATGATTTGTGCTTTTTCCTAGCCAATGTGCTCAGGTGAGCGATGTGGCCCATGGGCCTCTTGTTATTATATGATCTGGACCTACTTTCAGTATATCTTATCATTATATGACCCTGACCTACTTTCAGTGTATGGTAAGAGCTTGGAGGAGGACGTTGCTGGGGATACCTCGGGTCACTTCAAACGGCTGCTGATTGCATTACTTCAGGCCAACAGGGACGAAAGTAAAGAATTCGACAGAAACAAAGCCAAACAAGATGCTCAGGCAATCTATGAGGCAGGAGAAAAGAAATGGGGGACAGACGAGTCACGATTTAATGTCATTCTGGTCTCGAGGAGTTACGCTCAGCTGCGAGCAACATTCCAGGAGTATGCTAAACTGGCCAACAAAGATATTGAGGACACACTTAAGAGTGAAATGTCAGGGGATCTACTAAAGGGCATGCTAGCTATAGGTATGTGTCAGGGGATCTACTAAAGGGCATGCTAGCTATAGGTATGTGTCAGGAGATCTACTAAAGGGCATGCTAGCTATAGGTATGTGTCAGGGGATCTACCAAAGGGCATGCTAGCTATAGGTATGTGTCAGGGATCTACTAATGGGCATGCTAGCTATAGGTATGTGTCAGGGGATCTACTAAAGGGCATGCTAGCTATAGGTATGTGTCAGGGATCTACTAATGGGCATGCTAGCATTAGGTATGTGTCAGGGGATCTACTAAAGGGCATGCTAGCTATAGGTGTGTGTCAGGGATCTACTAATGGGCATGCTAGCATTAGGTATGTGTCAGGGGATCTACTAAAGGGCATGCTAGCTTTAGGTTTGTATCAGGGGATATACTAAAGGCATGCTAGCTATAGGTATGTGTCAGGGGATCTACTAAAGGGCATGCTAGCTTTAGGTATGTGTCAGGAGATCTACTAAAGGGCATGCTAGCTATAGGTATGTGTCAGGGATCTACTAAAGGGCATGCTAGCTATAGGTATGTATCAGGGGATCTACTAAAGGGCATGCTAGCTATAGGTATTTGTCAGGGATCTACTAATGGGCATGCTAGCTATAGGTATGTGTCAGGGGATCTACTAAAGGGTATGCTAGCTTTAGGTATGTGTCAGGGATCTACTGAAGGGCATGCTAGCTATAGGTAAGTGTCATGGGATTAACTAAAGGGCATGCTAGCTATAGGTATGTATCAGGGATCTACTAAAGGGCATGCGAGCTATAGGTATTTGTCAGGGATCTACTAAAGGGCATGCTAGCTATAGGTATGTGTCAGGGGATCTACTAAAGGGCATGCTAGCTATAGGTATGTGTCAGGGATCTACTAATGGGCATGTTAGCTATAGGTATGTGTCAGGGGATCTACCAAAGGGCATGCTAGCTATAGGTATGTGTCAGGGATCTACTAATGGGCATGCTAGCATTAGATATGTGTCAGGGGATCTACTAAAGGACATGCTAGCTATAGGTTTGTGTCAGGGATCTACTAATGGGCATGCTAGCATTAGGTATGTGTCAGGGGATCTACTAAAGGGCATGCTAGCTTTAGGTATGTATCAAGGGATCTGCTAAAGGGCATGCTAGCTTTAGGTATGTGTCAGGAGATCTAAAGGGCATGCTAGCTATAGGTATGTGCCAGGGATCTACTAAAGGGCATGCTAGCTATAGGTATGTGTCAGGGATCTACTAAAGGGCATGCTAGCTATATGTATGTGTCAGGGATCTACTAATGGGCATGCTAGCTATAGGTATGTGTCAGGGATCTACTAAAGGGTATACTAGCTATAGGTATGTATTGGGGGATTTACTAAAGGGCATGCTAGCTTAGGTATGTGTCAGGGGATCTACTTAATGGAATCTAGCTATAGGTATTCACTGTAAATGACTGCTTAGTCTTATCTACAAGTGTTTATAAATTACAAGTCTTGGCAGTGGCTCTCACACCAATTTTTGGTACTAGGGGCATTAAAATTGGGAAAATTAGTGACATTCATATTTGTATCTTTGAAGTATTTGAAGCAAAAAACAATAGGAATGTGGTCATGACAATGTGTCTCTTGTCTGCTTCCATTTTAGTAAGAGGATAGTTTTCAATTATAGTATTATTTTAGATCTGAATTATTCTGTATAATAATGTATTACAAAAAGCTAATTATTGTTCTTTTTTCTTGCAGTGCGATGTATTCGAGGTAAGGCTTCACACTTTGCCACGGAGTTGTATAAATCCATGAAGGGTCTGGGGACGGACGATGACCGCCTCTGTCGAGTCATTGTATCTCGCTGTGAAGTTGACATGGTGCAGATCAAGGAGGAATTCCAGAAGCAGTACAAACAGACTCTAGCCATGTTCCTGGCTGTAAGTATTGGTTTTTAATTCAAGCTCAGTATTTAATTCACAGGTTATACAAATTCTCTGAGTTTTACTTCATTGTGTTCATTAGTTCATTACATCCATTCTCTGATAACACATGTACTTCATTGGAGCCCTTGGTATAATATGGACATTCATCCTGCCTGAGGTTAAAGCCATTCTCCAATAGATACATTCAGACCCTTGGTATACAGTTTTGTAGTTGTTTTATTTGGAGACATGTCTAAATTCATTCCTTAATTGAATTTTTCAGGATGACATTTCGGGAGATTATAAGAACTTGTGCTTTGCTCTGATTGGTGAATCTGTACCAAAACCAGCGAAAAAAGAAAAGAAAGGTAGGATAGAGTATATGTTATATCTGTATTCATTAATAATGAAGCTGACAATTTATATTCATAATTAAACTAATATTGCCCTCCCAAAACAACAAACTGATGTACTGTCGATATTGCTCTCATATCAACATCAATTAGAATGAATCAAGGTATTCTGCCTGTATCTTGCAGATAGTATAACCACACAATATTTCGGTGCATAGATTTATTGTGTAAAGGCAAAAGAACTGAAACAAAACAAAAAATAGAATTACTTATCAATAACATGATAAATAGTATCAATATATAACTATAGATATAGCATAAACTTTGTAATAAGTTGTAAATGAAAATATTCAAGAGGTAAATAAAAATAAAGATTCACTATTAAATCCAGAATATAAAGTTTTGACACAAGTGGGTTTCCATAGAAAATGTTATGAACGTACTCCAGTTTTATGTTTAAAGATTATGACAATAATAGGGTTCCATACTTTAGAGTGATAACAATAGATATTCCTAATATATTCAAATTACAAACATTTCATTCAAAACCAGTATAAATATAATAAATACACATGTAATAAATATAAACAGCATAAGTAACTTACAGTGTGTGGCAGCATAGGTCAGAAATTTGACATAATGGGATGAGTCTCCTAGTGTGGGCCACACAAAGGAAAACAACACAGGAAGTGAGGAATTAAGGAAAAGTAACTCTTGATTTACAAATAAAAAGATAACTCTAGAAATTATAGGACAGATAACTATTTGATTAAGAAAGATAACTCTAACTGTGAAATAGATAAATAATTTAGGAAAATAAATATAGAAATATAAATAGAATGTTCATAAACATTACACAAGGTTTCCAAATCCTGTAATTTATAGAAAGCTGTAAAGCTGTTTTTTTATCTAGCTGATGCTTCTGAATTTGTTAATAACATATTTCTTAATTTAAATACAAACCTTATAAGTTATAATTCAAATGGATCTTTGTTAAAAATATTTAGCAATTTTTTTCAGTTACTTACAAAATGAGGGTTCACTTTGAATTCATTTAAATCGAAGAAACTTTGTGTACAGTAGATTACACCAACAAGATATCTTGTTGTTCGTTTCAATGCGTGAATTTTCTTCTTTTTTTTTTTAGGTTGGTTCTCATAGTTTTTTACCTACCTCATCCATTCCTACATAACACATGCAGGCCGTCCTTGATCCAGAGAATGAAGAACAGAGAATTCCACAGACACATAGATCTTAGGGCTTTCAGTGTTGTTATCTATATATGTTCAAAATAATCGAGGGGAACATTTAGTTTTAGACAAAATCTTTACATTTATAAAGAATTTTAAAAACTGTACATTATATAGTTAAGCTTAACTTTAGGTGGTATGTACATGTATATATAAAGGCTGTGAAATTTTTGAAATGATATTATTTTTTACTGGATGATTATATTGAAATATTTCAGTGAAAATCAGAAAAAAAGAGAGAATTTGTTAATGAGAATGTATTTACATTTTTAAAGACACCTGAAATATACCATATCTGTATTCAAGTTATACAGATTTTCCTTTCTAGGAATTCATAGACATTATGAGAGAGACATAAAAGTATGTGTGTAAGCAATAGATATGACATAGGATTGACTTTTTAGAATAACTAATATGTAACTATATTCTATTTAAGACTACAGTTATTTCCTCTTCTTGTGGGACTCTTCAATGTTTAAAAAGAAGCTAGAGTAAGGTATATAGAGGGATATAGTCCATTTTCACAAGTCCCTTGGAAAAACTGTTGAGATGTTTATATTATGGACTTTAAGATGCTAAATATTCAGAAATATATAGTCCATATTACCATTGGTAAAGTCATATTTAAAAACAATCATTAAAACTGCCATGCTGAAGTTTTTGTAAATCTTTTAATTTGCTAATTGCAGGCATTTTAACAGTTATACATAAATTATTTTGAATGAATATTTTAAGCTTTTTTTTTTAATGTTGTCTTATCTGTGATAATTATTTTAATGTTTTCCATATTTGTTCATATAACATAGTTTACAATTAAAATGAAAAGTGAAATATAATAAGTGTTTTTCTTTATTTTCATTCTTCAGACATTGCCAATGAAAGCAATTCTGATCCTAGGAACAGACTTCAATCTGAATGTCAAGGTCAAAAGTCATGGCGATTCACCTGATTTTTATATCTAGGTATTCCTAGATAATTATAAAATTACTTTGAAAATGTTTAAATTGACCAATAATCAAATCTGTTCATCTTTGTTGAAAATCAGTGTGTGAGGTTTGCTTAGTATTTCATAAATTTTATACATATGTTGATGTCATTTAATTGTAAAATAAATGACAATCCTTGTTTCATTTATTTTCTATGCACCTGACATTCTTGGGTTCAAGAAAAATAACTATGGTAAGAAAAACAAGATTTGTTTTGGAAAACACGGATGCCTCCATATGGCAGCTCAAAGCCAAGGTTATAGTTTTTCATATAAAGGTCAAACCCCAAGGTCAAGAGTTCAAATATGTTGGTACTGAAAGAAAAGGTCACAAGGAATACAAATGTGAAATATGAAAGCCCTTATATTAACCATTCAGAAAATTTGGCCAAGGTTAAAGTTTTTCAATGTCAATGTTGGTACCCAAAGAAATACCTGTAAAATATAAAAGCCCTGACAAAAACGGTTCAAATGTTATGAAAAAATTAAAGTTTTTCAAAAGTAAGTCAAACGCCAGGGTCAAGGTCAAAGGGTCAAAATTATTGGTGCCAAAGGAAAGGTTTTGTCACAAGAAATACACTTTTGAAATATAAAAGTCTTAGAACTAACCGTTCAAAAGCCAAGATTAAGTTTGGTAAATTTTTTGCAAAAGTGGGTCAAACTGTTGTCTGTCCGTAAAACGTTAACCTTCAAAGCTTACATTGATTGATTGATTGTGTGTTGTTTATCGTCCCATTCGAGAATTTTTCACTCATATAGAGACGTCACCGTATTATGCCGGTGAAGGGTTTCAAAGAAGAAGGTATGGTTTTAGCTTTATTGTGCCAAAATTCAATGTTTTCAAAAAGTTTTGAAACTGGCTTAAATATTAGTTGAATATATGACTGTAATAAATCAGGAAAGAATATAGTATGATGGAATACCATTCTGGATATATGACGTCATTAATTAGATGCATTTCTCTATTTTAAACAGAAAAGCCTCAAAATGACCCATTTCAAGGGTTATTTTCCTTAAGAAAATAGTGTCCACAGCCGTCGCCCACGTTAATTTTTAGATATGTTGTGTAAAATTTTTTGAAAAATCACATATCTCAAAATCTTTGTGGGCGATGCCTGTGGACAATATTATCTGAAAGAAAATTCCATTGAAAATTGATGTCTTCTGCAACTTTTTAAGAAAATACAGGAAAATGCACAAGTTTATGACGTCACAATTAGCATTTGGAAGGTCATGTGAGAAAAAAGATTTGTATGATCTTTCTGCATGGAATTTCAATAATTCAAAAAGCATGAGTTTTAATTTTTTACATCACTTTTATTTTTAAAGAAAAACACAGGGCAACATTTGTATTGAAACCGTACCTTGTTCTTTAGACCTTTACTCGGCACTCAGGGCCATTGAGCAGTGAGGGTTCTTTATCGTGCCAACGACAACCGTAACACTGGACCTCGGTTTTAAAGGTCTCATCCGAAAAACAGTGACTTCACTTCGCTTGGCGAAGGAACAGTCACTACCTATGTTTATACGTCTTAGGTTTGACGCGGCACGGCGAACGAGAATCGAACCCGGGCCTCCCGATCACAAAGCGAGCGCCCTACCATCAAAGCTTAAAACTTTTGATTAGTTGAAGCTATGGCTTTCGTATTTCTTGTAACAAGACCTTTCTATGGGGCTAACATATTCACCTCTTGACCTTGGAGTTTTACCCCCATTTTGAAAAAAAAACTTTACCAAACTTTAACCTTGGCAATAACTTTTGAACGGTTGGTGCTAGGTCTTTCATACTTTATTTTTGTGTATTCCTTGTGATAAGATCTTTCCTCAGGTTCAAACATTTTTGACTTTCTGACCTTGGAGTTCGATCCGCTTTAAAAAAAAAACAAACTTTAACCTTGGGCATAAGTTTAGAATGGTTGGAGCTAGGGCTTTCATATTCAGCATGCTTGTGACAAGACCTTGCGTTAGGTACCAACAATTTTGACCCTTTGACCTTGACCTTTGAGTTTGTCCCAATCTGTTGCCTTGCAGGTCGAGAAAAAAATAATTTTATTTGTTTCCCCCTTATTTTAACTGTATTTCTACATGCCCTTATATTAAACTTCGGACCCATTTTGTTGCCCTTCACTGTATGCACAGAAACTGTTAATTGATAGTCAATCGTTTATACAATTATACAAATAGACAGAAAATAGAAACAAAGCGAACATCAATCATGCATTAAAGTCCGCCGAAAGAATACAGATTGAGAAATGAGCAAACAAGGGCTTCTGGAAGCACAAAAGGTGGGATTAGGTGCCATGGAGTAATCACCCTCCGTTTGATTCGTCCCACCTGCCGTGAACTCTTTGTCTTGATCGGAGTAATCCGTAAGCAATTCAGGATGAAAATATAGCCTAACAATTTTTATTCAAAACGTCAATCAACAATTGACCTCAGGTATTTACAAACAAATGTCGTCATTGTATCCACCGAAAAAAAATTGCAAAATGTTGACTTAACACGTAAATAATTGCTGATACCCTTGCAACATTAACTTATTTGTTGATAGCATGTCAAGCTTAAAAAATTGATCATATGCACACAGATTGCGTAACAAACCAACTGGAAGACATGCAGTATCTATTATTTTATACTGAATGCTTTATACAAATAAAGGAGAAGCGCTTGCATAAGATTTTTGTTCCTATAGAGAGAGAGAGCGAGAGAGAGAGAGAGAGAGAGAGAGAATATCACCCGTTGTCAAGCAATGATTACTGTTGCTAATTTCTACCGCGCTGGAGGGTGTGGTTCGATCATCCTTTTGAGGGTAATGGTGTTTTTTATCCAAATGTTTCTCGGCGAATCAAATTCAAGTAATTCACCTGAAAGAATTCTATTATACAAACATTTACTAGGGTTGAAAGTAGCACTGATTATGTTAGTCCCCAAGGGATGAAATATTGTCCGACGCGAAGCAGAGGGCAACATTTTTCGTTTATCTCGAGGGGGCTAACATATTCAATGTTGCCCCAAAACCCAGTCAGTAAGTGTTCTGCGATATGAAAAAACAAAACAAATCAATAAAACAGCATTTTGATTTCATTTCAAAGTTGAGCAAGATATTTATCCTGCACGTTTATTGAAGTGCTAGCGAATCTCCCAGTTGCCACGATTGTGTTACTTGGTTTAATTATTTGACATTTTGTTATATAAAAGTTTTCCAACATCTCTACGTAGGGTATGATAGATCTCGAATTCTTCTTAGATCAACATGGCGCTGTGCAGTAATATGTAGGTCACACCTTGACCATGTGGATCTTGTCTGTTTCGTCTTCTGTGATAACAAGTGTACTGTCGTTGATCGTAATGGCAAACGGTCTGTGGACGCCATCACTTTTCTTCACCACAGTCCTTACCTTTTTCCCATCATCCTCGTGCACAACCAGTACCTCATTCAAATCGGGAAAAGACACGTAAAGCATGCCGTCATCATCGGACGTCACACAGCACGGCATGCTGGGAAAACCTTGGTACCAGAGAAGTTCCAGATTATCGTTAAAACAGATCACGTGATTAGAGTCCGTGAAGTCGCAGACGACAATATTATCGCTGGCTGTCGACGTTAGAAACATCGGTACGAGAAAAAGAGGGACGGAACCCGCGGGATTCCTGTGTCCTAAAAGTGTTTTGAGGACCTTTCCCTCGTCTGAAATGATTTCTATTCCTGGTGGCTCTTCACCGTCGTAAAATGACACACAGAAATTCCCAGTCGACAGCAGACATATCCCAATATACGACTTTTTCGTTCTGACTTGATCTCGAATGTGCATTTTCTTTCCCAGAGAGATGTAGGCAATTTTACGTTTAAATAAACGGGTTGCTGCAATTTCATCGTCTGTAACTACTGTCATCCGACAAATATTGTCTACTCGCATGGAATCGACATACGAACCGTCGTGCAGGAAGCGTTGAACAACTCCGGTCTCTCCGTCACACGTCACGATGTATTTGTCCGTCGCTGCTACGTCATAATAGTTACACTCTTCGACGTCTGCTGACTGTTGACCCCTGAAATGCGAACTCGAGGAAACTTGTAACTTTCCACATTGCTGTTTGCTTCTTAACATGTTCAACAACTGTTTATTTGGAAGAAAATCTATTGGAAACTTCTGTGTTTTAATTTGCAGAGTTTCTTCAAACTTCTCAAGTTCCTTTAGCTTTTTGTTGACAGAAAGATACACAGACAAGAGTTCGGAAACATTTTCGTCGTCAAAGTTTTGATTGAATGAGGAGTATCTCCTAGCTATTTCATCATGAACTGCGTGATTAATTGTCATGCCATTTTTGACTTCGTGTTCTGCTACCTTAGTTTTCATTGCACCAAGACCTGCTTTGCATCCAGCATAAAAATCGTCTAATTTTGCTTCAAATTCGCCGATCTCGCTCAACACTTCTTGTTTAGCTTCAGAAATCCCGTTTCCATTTGTGACAACTCGTTTGATTTTCTCAGATTTGAGATAAACCTTTTCCAGTTCTCGATTGTAATTGATTAACACCGGCATCACTCGTTGATAAGCTTTCTGAAGATTAACACAATCACAGTTTGGATGACGATGATTTTCCACTGCGTTTTCAGCGCTCGTCATTATCTGGCATCCAAAGCAGAAGAAATTCAGATCCTCGCCATTATCACTCACGTTCACTCGCCTTGTGTCCTCCTCTACCACTTTGATCAACGCCTCCGCCAGACTGTCTGTCGGGAAAGCTCGCGCGCTCTCCCAGGGGTCGTCTGCTTTGCTGACCTGGATTTCTGTCTTGTCCACCGGGCAGACGAATACACCGTCATCTATTGAGGCGCTGACGTGATTAGCCAGACAGGCGAGGCAGAATGTGTGCTCGCACGGCAGTGTCCGAGGATCTCGAAAGCGCTGTAGACAAATCGTACAGGTTAAATAGTCCTCAGTAACATTTCGAGCAAGACGACTTGTAGCCATCTTAGGGGGAAAAATGTATTTCAAACTTCACTTATTTGTACTGTCTCACTGAAAAAATGGTAATCTCTAATGTAGAATCTCGGTTCACAATTAAAATATGCGTTCTAAATTCTGATCGAAGTCTTTTTAATTCCTTTCCCCTTTAATCATCAGATTAAAGCTATACGCACGTATACAATGTTTTGAAGAGGGATTTTTAGGATTAAAGATATTGTGCCCGCACTATACTGACTTGGCACTGACAACCTTGTATTGTTTTGTTTGTTTCTGACGTTGACGTGGACTTTTATTATTGAAAACAAGATTAATGAACGTAGTCTGCACGGCGTCAAAGCACCCCCCCCCCCGGTGACTCCCGGGTGTGCTAATTTCACGTACATTTAGACAACAATAAACAAACCAACACAAAGTTTGTGCGTGCTGCAAATTTAAGGAATAACTGTCTATTTTTTTGTTTTCATGATGTGATCAAGCAATTGGCTTGCGTGATAATTTGCATAAGGCGTTTATGAATGAAAGTACCACGCAAGCGAATTGCTGGATCATCATCATGAAACCAAAAAATCTGACTATTCCTTCTATTTACAAGCTCTTGATTCCATAAATTCACGTGCTACAAGCCCCGTCTACTTCTTTTCTCCCACCAAGCACGTGATTTTATTCTAATCAGACCTATCAATGAACCATTAGCTTCATGTAGAAATCAACTATGTTTACAATTGGTTTTTTTTTCTCGGACAAAGAAATTTAAAAATGTAAATATTTAAAAATGATTTATTAACAATGAGTCTCTGATAAAACTGTGGCTCCACTGCTTTCAATTTGTAGTTTGAGAGAAAAATTGCAAATGGACTTGCAAAACTGCTCAGAATTTTGCATTAATAGAATTTTGTATATATTTATGTTTTTAAATTTGACTGATTTATTCAAATGATGAGGCCTAACTGCAAGAGGAGCAGTTTAATATGGGAGGCCAACAGCGGGGATTCAGCAAACGCTCTCTTACACTTCGTTAAGGTAAAAATTTTAAACCTGACATAAATATTTATTGTGTTATCGTAAATACATTTATGAATACAAAACAGGAAAACCAATATAAGTCAAATAAATACACATTACAGGCAGCATACTCACAGTACTGTATGTAACAAGGAAGTTATACTAAAAAGTATCACAACTACACAAAGAACATTCCTGCTTAATGGAAGCCCGACGTCAAACACAGGCAATCCTATTGAACATATATATTGGATTCTGCATCACAGTTGATTTCCTCAGAAATAAACTACATCACTGAATGCTAAATAGTCCTTCATTGTCTTTGGTAGGGGAAGGTGATTGATATAAAGGAGTGGTTTCCTCTGGAGACATTGATACACGAACACTCGGCAAGCAGACACCAAAGAGCGAGGAGAGGCTGAAAATAAAAGATGGCTTTTAACACTAACACTGTTTGGTCATACTTTACAAGTTGTCAAGCTAAATGAACATCCTAGTGCTACAATCTATTAATATTTTAACACCCATTAATATGATAGGACTTGATCCTCAATGACTTCCAATACTAAAGCAACTGTGAAATACCCTTTTCATTAAACAACATATTTCTCGGTGACAGAATATTGTGATCACCCATGTATAGGCACAAGAGGACCATATCTCTCTTGTAATTCCACCTGCATTAAATTCAAGATACTTTCAATTTAATTTTAGGAATTTACAATAGCTAAAACAAACCCCGTCTATTATGTGGCAGTTTAGGCTATATGGACCGGGGATATTGGCGTTGCCAGTGTGTATGTGGGGGTAGGGGGGGGAGGGCTTAATCAGGTTATATGTAAATGAAATGAATGTTCATTTATGACAAGGTGAACTTATGTTGTGCATCATGGAGGTCGAAGACTGTTTAAGGAGGGAGAAATGAAGTAGTTTGGGCTTTATGTACTGTGGCTATCGGTCTTGGTAGCTCAGTGGTTAGGGAACCTGACAAGTGAAGAGGCCCACGGTTCGATTTCCGGTCCCGCCATGTACATGTATGTTCTTTATTCATTCCTCCTTTCCTACTACCAAATATTTTAACACCCAACCCTACAGAGGTGTAGGGTGACATCACACAAATACGTAAAATATTACAAAATAACAAGAATATTGCAGTCATTGATATATTCAATTACAAAGGAGAGAGAGAGATTTAAATTAAGTTCTTAGATAAATATATATACTACATCTTTTTCACGAAAAACGATAACATATTTCAAATGAGTTTTATTAAATGTATCGATGTCTTTTTCATCATTGGAATGGCATTTTAATGTCTAATTTGATAATCTTAACTTCTACCCTAGTTTTCAAGCCGCATTCGCCATCCATCCTTTCATTCCTCCCTCATTCCCAAGATACAAGCTTTAATTTCTCTCCGATAAATTCCTTCTAATTCTCCGATCTTTCTGTCATTTCTCCTTCATCCTCCTACATACCAGCTTTCTCCCTGATGAAGTCCTTCACAAACTCCTTGTCCTCTCTCCTGTCATACAGACAGTCATCTCTCCAGTTAAAGTTCCACCTCCCACATCCAAACTCATACAGCATAACCAATATGGCCGCCGGCTTCAGATAGAAGATGCAGGCAAACAGTGGCGACATCGTCATCGTCTGACGTGTCACATGGTTATAGTCGATCTCACAGCCGTGTTGTAACAGTGACTTAATCAGGTCAAAACACACACGGTTATCTACAGTTGTAGAAAGAAGGAAGTCGACTGCGCAGACTCGGCCATTGCTAAAGTGCACAGCGGCATTGTATTCCAGTAGAAGCTGTCAAAATAGATAAACAGCGATAGGTTAATGTGACATGCATTCTATTACTTAGTCATTTAGATTTCTCTTTATCATAATAGTAAACTGAAGTCTCTGTCAAGATGTAGCTCTACTGTTTTTTTTTACTAAACAGTAGCACTTAGATTTAAAACTATGGCAACAACAATAAATAAAATAATGATCCTTTGTTTATTCCTTTTTAATTGTAATTGGACAAAAATTTAATAGTAGTATCCCTTAAAAAATTTCAAAGAAATTTCTACTTTTAGTAACTATGGCAATACAGTTCATCAAAGTCAACAACAGATAAATAGAATTATATATTTTGGTGCAGTCTACTTGTCTACCCAGTTTTTTTGATCATCCATTGTTGCCCCATCCAAACCCAGTGGGTCTTAATTTGAATAAATTTGAATATACACTATCTGAGGATACTTCCATATCAATATGCCTCATCTTGGCTTTGTAGTTCTTTAGAAGAAGATTTTGTAAGATTTTTTTCCCTATATATTCGTGTGTAAAACTTTGATTGTCCATTGTGGCTCTACCCTACTCCCAGAGGTCATGATTTGAACAAATTTGAATCTATACTACCTGAGGATACTTCCATTTCAATATGACAAATCATGCCTTTACAGTCCTTTAGAAGATTTTGTAAGATTTTTTCCCTATATATTCCTTTGAAAAACTGCATGTGATTGTCCATTTTGGCCCCAACCTACATCTATGTACCCCATGAGGGTCATGATTTGAACATTCAAATCTACACTACCTGAGGTTGCTTCCAAATCATTATGTCTGATAATGGCTTTGCTGTTTTTGAGAGGAAGATTTTGGAAAAAATCCATTAAGCTACAATGTACACACAATACCTGTAAAATGTCCACATTCTTGTGCATGACAGCTATGTGTAGAGGGGTGCTGATATTTTTTGGACTCCCTTCTGGATCTGCTCCTGTCTTTAGCAATAGACTTGCTGTGCTGATGTGAAGATTGAACACAGCTTTATACAGTGCAGTTTGGCCTTTCCTGTCTGTGACCTCTAACTCTGCGCCTGCGTCTATTAGAACTTTAGCAAGATTTTCATTGCCAGCTTCAAAACAAATTTTTGTGATCATGTAAAATCAAGTGTATATGTTACTGGCCCTTCTGATTTCGCTTCATTCATTTATTAAATATATCCAATGCACATTAATGTTAGGCTAAATATACAAAATTATCTACATTGGTACATATTTTAAACAAAACATGTAATCATTGCTATAATTGATCAATTGTTCAGATGGAATCATACCTGTTGCCGCCATATGTAAGGCTGTCTGACCCAAATAATTGACAGAATTCACATCTGCACCATTCTGTATCAGTTTATACACTTCCTCAATGTCGCCATCCTTAGCACTCTGTACAACTGATGGAGTGGTACAGAAGTCGGTGCTCATCTACTTGCGTAAGTCTCTTTAAATTATGATTTTCTATCAAAAATCTGGCTCAACATGACTCAAGGGTCATAACTTCCAAAACACAGCTTTGGCATACCTCAAAAATAATGATGTACTTTACAAATCTGATTTTATTTATAAGTAGAAACAAGTACTGTACATTAAATTTGCCATTTTATTCGGGGGGGGGGGCTAAGCAGACACCATTGTGTCTTCCTATTAACAATTAATCGAAATAAACCAACGTTTCAATATCTACTTCTGTGTTCCATGATGGCTACAGCGCTAGCTCTCCCATTTTTCAAAAGATAAGTTTGTCTTTCACTTAGTCAAGACTCAAGTTAGTCACTTAGTGTGATACTCACTATGATACTGTCAAAAATCATTACCGGAAAAAATAATAAAGGTCCTTCCTATTAAAACCAAAACGATATACATTACAAAACCCGGAAAAAACATCCTTTTAAAAATCTAATCAGCGTTCGACAGTTCATGATTTTGAGAGGATTAATTGAATTAGGACAAGATGTTAATTAAATTCATAAGCATGATAAAGATTTCATTTTATAATTCCGTGAAAGTGAAAATTTCAATTTAATATTTCACCAGAATTCATGGCCGTAGGAACCGGGGGGGGGGGGGGGGGTGGGGGGGGGGTGCCCCCCCCCCCCCCCAATAATTTTGCCGATATATAGATAACTATAGTAAACATAGATTCTAATAGATACTCTATGCTTGTTAATGCTCAATAAAAACGTCTGATGACCTTTTTTTTTTAACTTTTTTTTGCTTGTCAGGAAATTTTTGGTACTGCCCCCTCAACTGTCAACTGAAAATGTATGGCTGTGCCCCCCCCCCCCCCCCAAAAAAAACTGTATTTGCTTCCTACAGGCCTGAAAATATCCAGGACAATGCAAGTACATGAACCTCCAAGAAAAAATGTATGTTCATTGAACAGAATTTATGAACATAAGAAATTATTTTACAAATTTGTCTCTTTCATTCGAAGAAAATTGATACTGCTACATGTATATCCCCCCTAAAAAAAGCATCATTAGAATATTATCCAGAGCGATGGAGCTTTAAGAAAAGGTGGGGGTCAGTTTATCCATGAATATGGTCATAGCAATATTAGGGGTGCATGTAACGATAAGACTAAATCGTAATAGATCTTGGTAAACTGTGAACTACTAGATATCGTGTACATATCGTGATATTTCATTTCTCATATGTGACCGTGACTGGCAAAATGGGCCCAGATGAGGAAAATTCACATTTTCAATTTTTCTTCTTATTTGATTTGTATGAAAGTCTAGAACAAAGATCCAAAATATTTTTGAAAAATTCCAACCCTAAAGGAACCTATGCCAATTTAAATGTGTCAACAATTTTTGGCGTATTTTCTTTGCTGCAAGAATTTAGCAAACACTATTTTTTTTTACATTTCTAAACAAAGTATTGATATTCGTTTGTTTTTTATTTATATATATTTATATTTTTTTCATAAAAACTTTATGAATGAAGCATATCAAATAAATACTGCTTTGATTTTTTAGTTTAGTATATTTCAAAAGTATATTGCCATGGTAACACTAACAGAATCATGCTAATTGATGACTAATGTTTTTTTTTTTTTAAAAGAGAACACTATCATACTGGTGATAATTTCATAAATAAGAAATGGATGACATAAAAACATATAATATACATTTGTACAATTTTTCATATTTTCAAAAGAAATATACCAGGCATATTTTGATAGAACAATAAACATACAATAAACATACAATTTAAAAAAAAAATGTTTGTCAAATACAGGTAATAAAAGTTGTACAATGTAGTATTACTACATGTTCGACAACAATGTTGTGTTGAAAGTTCACTGAATGGTATCCTGTTATATCAAACAGGCAATGATTTTTGTGATTGGTCTTCAGATATAAGTTATGTACATGTACGAGTTAGTTAGGATTACTTCTGTTTTGCATTAGCAGGCTTGCCCTTTTCATTATCTGTAAGAGTAATAACCTCAGGTTAGGGTTGCATAGACTTTGAACAAACAGCATCTTTTGCAGCATCTGATGAGCAGAATTCTCTGATACCTTTAAACAAGTATCCCTGTCTTCCAATATCAAGTCTTCTCTCTGTGATATGATGGTATTTAGTTAAAAGTTTTAAAGGTCTACAAAAAATTCTGAGGAGATGTCACTGATGTTTTCCAATCAAAAAACACCACTGGCTTCTTCTGGTCCTGAACAATATGTAGAACCTTGTGTATATGCTTTCTTGACTTATGAACAGATTCTGCTATCTGGAGAAAAATACAAAAAAGTGGTTTCTTTCAATCAATATTCAAAAAACAATTTTACAACACTGAAAGGATGACTGACAACATGAAAATACCAATTCATTATCTGCATTAATAAATTTCCCTCTGCTAAAATTCAGATATTTGAGTTTCTTCACTTTAGCTTCTATGCTCCAAAGTGTCGGTCAGGTTCAAACTTGGTATGGCCAGCAATTAATCATTGTTGAAAACTGTATCTGTTTATGCAGACCCAAATTGAACAAAAATACGAGTCGTATATTTGAATATTAGTGTTAAATTTTTCATTGTTTGCAGAAAAAATAATCATCACTGTTAAGTACATGCAATTATAATGTACTTTAAAGAATTATATGAAAAGTTTATCATACAGAATACCATCTCACTATAAAAGCTACAACAATGTTCTAAGCACAAGATCTTTAAGTCTTAAAAAAAAATAAGTTCTACTAAAACAGTTTCTCTACAAAGCAAGCTAATACATGTATATTTAAACTTTGGTATCTTGAACATCGATCTCAACCTTTTGGATATCTCGAAGTTTTTTCTCAGTCCATAGAGTTCGAGATAATCAGGTTTGACTGTTTAATTTTTTTTTAAACAAGTACATGTACAACCAGTTTTTATTTTTAAAAAAATCAATTTCTCCATAATTCATTCCACAGAGCTGTGTTGTTTCTTCTCTGCAGTTGTCCAAGTGAAATCCCCTTCTTCACCATAGTATTAGTACCTGAAAGAGTAATGGCTTCAACTTCTCTATTGTCAGCTTCCGTTATAAATTTATTTAGCAATATACCATTATCACTTGCATTTGAATTTTTGTGTCTCCCACCATTGATTTGATACGCTAGAGTATATTCTAAGTTCGAACAATTTCTAAAATGATACAAGCTATTGACAAATAAGTTGATGATAAAAGGATGTCAGTTGTCTAGGTTAGAGTCAACATTTCACAAAATCTATGGTCGATACAATGATCTTGTCAGCAAATACAACCAATCGTTAGATCGCACGTTACTGACTTTTTTCACACAAATTGTTCGGCCATTATTGTCACATTGAATTGTCCATGAATTTTTTCCGATCATGACAACCCGTACGGAATTTTGAGGCCGAATGGGCACAGCTTAGACACAGAATCCGTACGGGTTTTTGAAAAGCCGTACGTGTTCTGCATATCAAAGACATGGACACAGAATCTGAGTCTGAAATTGAGATGTTCTTACACACAATTTAAATCTGTGTCACAGGGAGACAGTTTCTAACTTAGAAGATTTGAATGATAGTGAGGCGGATTTTGTGTATATCACAGCTTTTTCCAGAGCATGTTTATTCACAGCATCCCTTGTTCAAACAAATTGGAGGGATTCATGAACATGAGCTAGCTTGTGTCTTTTTTACTCTAATTAAAGGATACTAAACAAATAATATAAATATCAACTGGAATTGTACTTATGTCAAACTGGGATGGTTTTTCCAGCTTTGAACGAGATCCCCGCCCCCAACTGAAAATGTATGGATGTGTCCCCTCAAAGTGAAATTGCTTCCTACGGGCCTGATATGAATCGTAAAATATTTTATTTATTAGAGATATTTTATGGAAGGTGAATGGGGCACACTCTAATATAATTCGAAGCTTTTAAAATTATAAAACTATCGGTAACCATATTGACAAAAGCCTTGTAAAATTTGGTTTCAGTCTCCATTTTGGTATCTTCAGTAACATCTGGAGATTATCAAGGATTCTAGATTACCTAGATATTGATGGATACACAGATCCCAAGACTCCATATATGGTATGTCACACGGCTTTTTTTGACATGGGTTTCCCAAATCCGAGTCTCCATATATATATGGAAAATGACATAGGTTACAGAATCCATATAAGGTAACTAGGATGGCTTTCTGGCACAGGTTTTGTAAAAACTGTGTGATCTCAATTCAATATTTCCGCCAACATCCTGTGCCTCGACCACTTTTTGGCTCGGCTTTCTGTACATATTTTACATAGGAACAGGATTGTTTATAAGCCGCCCGGACTGTTTCATACAGGGAGGAGCCCACGATGGGTGTGACCAGTCAACAGGGATACTTACTCCTCAGTGGCACCTGATCCTACTTGTACCTCTAATGTTTTTAGAGGTCCAAGTTTGCCCTGCTCACAATTTGTATTGTTTCATTACTGTTCGTTATCTTCATATTTTCATATTCATCATAGCTTTATGGAAGACTTTGGGATATTCAAAAGATTTCTAGACAGAATACTGTTTGACTTTTTGGCAGTGTGCTAGTATTATAGCACCTTAAGCACAGTTTCCAATAAAGCAAGTAGTAGACTTTATCACTAAATGTCATGCATATTAAATTATTAATATTATAAACATTCAGAAATGTTCTAAACTTGTTAAAAGATCAATCTCCATCAAATAGCACACAAGATAAATATAAAACATTTAAAGTTAAGTATGCATTTTCAACAGACTTCAATTCCATTCAGAATAAAGTCTGTCTGACCCATAAAACCATAAAAATATGTTTTCAATATATTTTATTTCAGCTACTAAACAATTCAATTCATCAGAGGTTCATACAACAGTGGCTGTTCATAAGCCTTGATGGTTACCTAAGTATTATCAGATTCTCCATCCATGACCAACTAAACAGATTAACCCCAGCAGAGACAATAATGATTCACAATTTTGGTTAACAGTTTATTCAAAGTTCATTGTCACCATGCATAGCATATAGTTTGTTTTGCTAGGTGTCCAGAAGTAAAAATTAAGATTTTAAATAAGATATATGAGTTCTCAAAAGAATGAACAACTAAGCCCTGCATAGAGTTCAGACAAAATAATTTTTTGGTAGGCTAGTGATACAAATAAAATGCAATTTTATTAACAAGAGCTTAACTCAACCCCTGAAAGATCATAAATGTCACACTTTGGTAGAGGGCGAATTGAACACTATAGATCATTTAATGTAGTATACCTCCTATATGTCTTGCAGTACTGTAAAATCTTTAAATATGCTGTGAAAACACTTATTTTTTGGGGGATGGGGGGTAATTTTCATTGTTTTTGAGGTATGAAGAGACCCACAAATTCATATCCACCACGAAAAGTAAAATGTCATATACATAACTACTCAACAATTCTTCATCCACGAAATCAAATCCCTAAAATTCAATAGTTTTCCCCTCAAACCAAGAGAATTTGACCCCACCAAAATATTTGATTTTACAGTAGGGCATTAATTTTCAGGGTTTTGGCCTCAGGGATGTGGAGAATATGACATTCATAAATGTTGTTGGTCCTTGTTTATAGATGTACAATTATCAGAATTAATGTTTGGAATTCATTTACTAAGAGAAGGCTCCTTACAATTGATGTTCAAAAGTCGATGAAAGACAGAACACAAAAAAAAAAAACAATATTTTACTATGAATACAGAATCTGAAGAAGTTAACCATTAAACAAAGCTAAACAAAATTGTAGAATAGATAGATGAATGAACAGACCACAAACTTACAACCAGATTTTGCTTTGCAATGTCACTCAAAGAGGAATTTACAATGTACACATCAAAAAGCAACACAAATATTTGTAAACATTTGTAACAAGCAGATTGTAGTTGGATTTGACCAGTGAAAGAGAGAGAGTTGTAATACATAAAATTTTGACTAATCACTCCCACTAGATGCACAATAAATAAACTAAGAAAGTACAAGTGTACTATTATTTAACCTATTCTATCCAATACTCACACATGCTTCATTATAAACACAACACCAAATAATACAATCATAGGTGAATTACATTCTAAATAAGTATACAAATCTACACAACAAATATATTTCATATATCGATCCATTTATGATAAGTTTCAGCACAAAAATTGTTACAACGGAGCATTTGTTGAATTATCCTGACAATTTCTCTGGTTCAAAAATTCAACTTTAGTCACATGTAACACAAATGAGAATGCTTCACCACTGACACAACACCTTTGCAGTTATAAATTGTACATAGTGGAATCAAATCTTACAGTGATGTTTTCAGAATGACAAATATGGTAGCTTAGTGGGATGAGATGATGTAGTGTATATCACAGATTTTGATAGAAAGACGTGAGGGCAGTGTGCTATTGGCAGCGCTTCAGTAACGTCGTTCTGGCAGCCACTAGGAGTTTGAAGGCTTCCTCACTCCCGGGGGCCACACTTTTGTCAGGGTGAAGCAGGACAGCTAACTTCCTGTAAGCACGATTTACATCATCCCTAAAAATAGATAATTCATAGATATCAATGTGACACATGACATGAAATACTGTTGTTTATTGAATTATCATATTGGTAAAATAAAGTAAACTAAAAACCTCTATAGGCCTATTTATATGTGTACATACGTGTCTAGTATACAATATATCATAATTATATTTTTCTCATCACAAAACAAATATATGACAAGTCACTGAATTGTTTAATTTTTGAGGTGAGAATCAAATTATATTTAGTTCCACAAGCTTGCCTGTACGTGATAAGCCATTGTATGCTTTATCAATTAACATTATCAGAGTTTAAAATAAAATATCTTCTTTCTATTGTACATTCAACATTCTGATAGATTCAATTGATTGTTCTTACAATAAAATTGTGTATCAACCATAACTTAGCACTATATATATATATATTTCTATGTTGCGCGCCGAAACATGGCTGAAATACTGCCGACTAAGCATTAAACAATAAACAATCAATCAACCCTATGTTCCGAGTTCAATTATTCTGCACAAATTGTTGGACACATCCAATTTTTGTGAAATTACATGTAGGAAGAGGGTGAATTAAGCTTTAAGAACTGGTGCCCAGTCCCAATGTTTATATTTATTGCAATAAAAAATGTTCCAACCAGTTCAGTGCAGATATATTCTATGGTCACCAGAATCACGTTAGCTTGGTGTTTGATATATTCTATGGTCATCATAATCAAGTTAACTTGATGATTGGTAAATTCAAATTCACCACAATCAAGCAAGCTTGGTGCATATATTCTTTGGTTACCATGCAGAATCCAGGTAACATGGTGATTGATATATTCTACAGTCACCATAATCAAGTAAGAATGGTGCTTGATATATCAATGGGTCACCACAATCAAGAAAGCTTGGTGCTAGAAATATTCTATAGGTCACCACAACAAAGTAAGTTTGTGTTTGATATATGCTAGGGTCACTGCAATCAAGTTTGATGCTTGAATTTATTTTAAAGTGCATCACCACACTAGCATAATCAAGCAAGTTTGGTGCAAAATATTCTATTGGTCAACACGATCAAGTAATTGAGCTTAGTGCTTGATATTTTCACTCTGTCACCTCAAAAAAAAAAAGCAAACTTGCATGGTTCTTCAGGTCAGCATTATCAAGTCAGCTTGGTGGTTGATTTATTCTATGGGTCAATACAATAAATCAAGTTTGGTGCTTGATATATTTTATAGGTCACCACAATCAAGCGCAAGTTTGGTGCTTGACATATTTTACGGGTCAACACAATGAGCAAGGTGGGTGCTTGCTATATTATATGACTGTCACCACAGTCAAGCAAGTTTAAGTGAGCTTTGTGATTGATATTTTATATATACATGTACTATGGTGTTTTGTAATTGATATATATTCTTTGGGTTACCACATTCAAGATAGCTTTGTGTTTGATGAAATATATGGAGATAACGAACAGTATTAAGCTCAAAAGTCCGTTAAACAATACAAATTTTGGAGCAGAGCAAACAATTCATATATTCTGTTGAATGCCACAATCAAGTAAGCTTGGTGTTTATATTCTATGGTCACCATAATCAATTATCAAGTAAGCTTGGTACTTGATAATATATGCTACGGTTCACCACAATCTAGTAATTTAAAGCTTAGTTTTTGATATTTTCTATGGCCACCATAATCAAGTAAGCTTGATGCTTAATATATATTAATATGGTTCATCACAATAAAATAAGCTTGGTTTTTTGATGTAATAAAATACCTTTGATCACCACAGGAATTTGTGCTTGGTAAATATATAGAATGGGTCTCCACAATTAAGCAAAGTTTGTGACTGATTTAAATGATGGACACTATAATCAGCCTTATATTTGCTATGGGTGATCCTAATTGATTATTCTTGTAGCCTGATAAATATTTTTAATGGAGCTAATGGGAGAACACAATCAAGCAAACTTGGATGAAGATAAGTGCATGAGAACATGTTTACCATTGGTTACCACACTGCAGCACTTAACTTTGTGCCTTTCATTTACAGAGGGTTATAAGAAGCAAGCGATATGATATCTGATATAAAATGGGGTCAACAAACATACAGTAAAATTAATATTGACAGATATAGAATATACAAGTCCTAAAAGAGACTTTTAAAGGTGCCTTATAATCAAATTCAAGCAAGCTTGGAAAACCTAGTTAAACTTGGACACAAATCATGAAAAAGTACAAAAGGTTAAAATATGTTACAATACCAATCAAAATAAAACACCAACTATTTAGAAATGCCAAGTTCCAAAATATAGCAGCATGTGTAAAATAAAAAACACCTGGGTTTAGTACTTTTTGTATTTTTTTACAAATGAAATATGGAGATAATGAACAGTTTTCAAGCTCAGTCCATTTAAACAATACAAATCAGGAGCAGAGCAAACACAGACCACCAAAAACATTGGAAGTGGGATCAGGTGCCATGGAGGAGTGAGTATCCCCTGCCAAATGGTCACACCTGCTGTGTGCTCCTTGTCATGATTGGGAAAAACAGAAAAATCTGTAGACAATTCAGTGTGTGAATAATGGCCTAATCAATTAGTATAAACAAGAGGCCCAGGGGCCACATCACCTGAGCACTATGGCTAGGAAAAAGCAGAAATCACTTCAGTCTTGAAAGGTTGAAAAGTTTTAAATTTAAAAAGTGGTTGGGGGTCGGGGGGGGGGGGGGGGGGGGGGGTTGATTTGACTAACTTGAATCTGTACTTCATAGGGATGCTTTTGAATTAATATGACAAATAACAGCATTGCTGTTCTTAAGAAGAACATTTTTATTGATATGTCCTTTGTATAACTATGATCCACTGTTATGGCCCCTCTATTCTCCTGGGGGGTCATGAATTGAACAAATTTGAATCTACATTACCTGAGGATGCTTCCATTTAAAAATGACCAATCATGGCTTTGCTATTCTTGAGAAGAAGATTTTTAAAGATTTTTCCTATGTATTCCTATGTAAATCTTTGATCACCCATTGTGGCCCCACCCTACCCCCGGGGGTCATGATTTGAATAAATTTGAATGTACACTACCTGAGGATGCTACCATATAAATATGACCAATCATGGCTTTGCTGTTCTTGAGAAAAAAGATTTTTAAAGATTTTTCCTATATATTCCTACGTAAAACTTTGAATGCCCATTGTGGCCCCACCCTACCCCCAGGGGTCATGATTTGAACAAACTTGAATCTACACTACCTGAGGATGCTTCCACATAAGTTTCATATTTTCAAGCACAGTGGTTCTTGAGAAGAAGATTTTTTAATGATGCCATTAATTTTTCACAAATTCATAATTATCTCTCCTTGGAAGAAGGCGTGGCCCTTCATTTGAACAAACTTGAATCTCCTTTACCCAAGAATACTCTGTGCCAAGTTTCGCTGAAATTGGCCCAGTGGTTCAGGAGAAGAAGATGAAAATGTGAAAAGTTTACGACAACAATGACGACGACAGACAGACAATGGACAAATTTTGATCAGGAAAGCTCACTTGAGCCTTTGGCTCAGGTGAGCTAAAAATGTCAGTCAGCATTTGACTTTATGATAGATTGTATTTGCTGACAAGGTCATTGTATCAACCGTAGAACTTGTGATATGATGACTTACAATGAGACTGTTGATATCCTTGTTTCATCAACTTGTTTATCAATAGCTTGCCTTGTTTTAAAATTGCTCATATGTAGAGCATGCGCTTGAGCATCGAATAAACTGAGAGACATAAAACCCATAGGTGATGTAAAGAATCCTTATGTCAATGCTCACATGGTCAGCCATTGGTTTTCCTGTGACCTAGTTATTATAACGGAGAAGTGAGTAAAGACACCTAAATGGTAAAAGATACTCTGTCTGGTTATCTATCATGCATGAACAGTAGTACTGGATGGCAAAATGACTTTGATTTTTGCAGATATGATAATTGATCAAGCAGTTAACAGGGTATCAATTTTCAGAAAATATTATACCAAAAATTACTTGAAAGAAGAAAATATTTAGAATATATGTTATTTAATCAACCAAAGCATGCAGATATTTCCATGAAAGTGCAATTAACATCATATAATTATGGACTCTTTTGGTGATTAATATGGTTTGATATTCACCAAGTGTATCAAGAATGGCATATTCCATGTTTTGCTAAGGGAAACTCCAAATTTCTGTCTAATCATAATGTGAAATAGAAGGTGCACAATGGCAGTATGTAATAACAATTCTACGAAAGTATCATTCAATTATATTCAGTGGTATAGAATGAGTTAGGGATAGGAGATGGGTACACCCCCCCCCCCCTTCCCAATATTATTGAAAGAATTGCATTGTTCACATTTTGCTACTACATGTATGTATTTTTTAAACATACATCTTAAATAAAATCAAAAGTGTTAGTACATTCAAACCTAATTAAAAGCAAAATGAATAGAGTTGCTACCAATACATTTGAAAAACTGGTGCACAAAATAATGAAAAAAAAATGTTAATCACTAAATCAAGTTTAAAAAAAATGTTTTCATGTGGGTTTTAAGATTTGAGCTTTTACTTACTGGGCAGTATATTACTAAAGCCTCTAAAAAGGCCCATGGGCCACAATGCTCACCTGACCATCTCTAGTAACTATTAAGTCATTGAGCAAAGGGCAAAAATATACATATTTAAAATTTTTACATACATTGAAAAATTGCGACAGCTTTTTAAATTTTATTTGAAGAAGTCCATATTCCTGTGTAAAACTTGGAAACCGTATAAGAAACTTGACCTTTACAATGCCTCCGTTTTGTGGCACATTTGAAATTGTTCCCAGTGATTTCAGGGGAAAAAATGTGAGAAGTTTACATTTTAAACACACTCAGAAAAGCTGAATTATCAATAGTCTAGCTTAGGTGAGCCTCATTCAATGATGTTATTTTATTAAATATTTGAAAGTGCCATATTCTGGAATATGTTTTTACAAAAACCAGAAATCTCTTATGAGACTGTCGCTCTACTGATGTGTGCTTGGTGTATCTTAGTATTTATTGAAATCTGATTGAAACTGTAGAAGTAATGTTTAGAAAGAATTTGACATAAATTTTTATTTTTAGTAACCATGGCAACACCATTTGTTGATATCAAAAAAACAGTAAATAGAATTATGGATCTTTATAGTATATAGTACTTCTGTGTCCAATCATATTGAAATTGGACCAAAACGGTAGGATGAGTAGCATTTTGAAAGAATTTCACAGAAATTTCTATTTTTAGTAACCATGGCAACACTATTTGTCAAAATCAAAGATCAATACACAGAATTATGTATCTTAGTATAGTGTATTTGTTACTTAATTGGACCACAACTATAGGAAGAGTATCATTTTGAAAAATTGTTCATGGACAAACAGACAGACATACACATGAATGGACAACAGACACCTTACTATTGCATAAGCTCTTCTGGTCTCTGACTAGTAGAGCTAAATATTGATATTTTAATATTTCAAGTTATATCCCTGATTAATGCAATATCATATTATTTTACAAAGTTAAAAGCCATAATCAGCAAGAAGAATATGTTGAGCAAGAAAATGGAGTTTTTCAGCTGTTGTGCAATACAATAATTATGTCTTAATTAGATGTAATAAACAGAGTTCTCTACATAACACCCAGCTTAAACAGAATAGACAGGAAACTAGAGAGTTTTACCTCAACGAAAAGGGAAAGATTCCAATGAGCTAGACAAAGGTTAAAAGATTGCTATTAAAATAATTGTATCATTGTCTACACATAAAATTTCAATGGGCAAAGATTATAATGAGCATTAATTTTATAAATAGCTTATCCACAACTCTTTCCACTAAGTACCCAACTATTGTTATAAAATTGTTACCTTGAAACTGTAAATAGTTTATGACTTTCTGAGATGACATGACATTCATTGTGATAAACATTTTTTTTCTGTGTTCAAACTATTGAATTTGAAATTTGAAGGGAGACAAACTTTAAATTATCACCCTTTACACCTCCACAAGATGTTTGTTTAATGATGCAATGAAACCAGAGTGGACAACCAGGTGAAATGATCTCACCAAGGTCAACAAATGTCATCAAAGGTCACAGAGCTAACCAAATCATTCAACAAACATTTCATTATTTTTAATTCTAGATGTTTTTTCTCTCTTATAAACCTATGTTTCATTTTTTCTTTTACAGTAAAACACGCTCATGGCAAAGTGACAAGGAGAGTGATTTTGCTTCACTCTAAAACGTAATTCATTATATCTGTAGAAGTTTACAACATGATTTAAGGCCACACAGAATGAAAATCACTTTGCTATAAGAGTGGATTCATTATAAGCGTGTATGCTATAAGTATATTTTACACATTCCTTTTCCTTTATTTTCTGAGCACTAAGATAAGGGCAAGCAAAACAAGTAAAAAAAAATATCATTAAATTCCCCTACACAACAGTCTTTCCTTTAGATGTTACATTAATCTTGAGTCAGTTTTCTTCAGCACACTAGGTAAAACTAAAAATAAAAAGTAGGTCACACCATTCCATGCATAACATTTTTTTGTCACTTATAATCAGAAGCTGCATGCATTTTCACATCTCTATACAAACCTTAGTCAGAAGCAGCAAAATTTTTAATTAGTTTCTCTTAACAACTTGTGCTCAAGCTTTTCATTATTTAATTGTGATACCTGGGTAGATTTAGAATATCCTACTCATTAGCACTGGTGGGCCCAAGGGAGGAGTTTATACTGTATTGATAAGATGATATAGTTAGAAATAGGTACAGGGTTCACAAAAAAAAATTAATATCAGTGAAAAATTTTACAAGCAACACATCTCCCCACCCTCCCTTCCCTAAAACAGTGGCCTTTGTGCCACCACATTTCCCAAGTCACATCATTTCTCTTCCTGAAAAATAATTTAAGTAACTGTAAACCATAGATCTAAAATACACATATTGTAATTTGAGAACAGACTTCATGAACAAGATTTCTTGTACACCTTTGAAAGTGTTTTTTTACTGATTTGCTACTTTAAATAATTGTCAGAGCTGCAGTTGCTCTTGAATCTCTTGGATATATTTTGCATGCATATAACAGTTGGCCAACAGTATATAAATTAAAATGAAACCCCTTATCATAGCTTCATTTTAAATTATTATTAAGATATGAACCAAAATAAGATCCAGAGGGAAAAAGTTCAACGTGGGAAAAAATAGTTTTAAGATCTCAAAACGAAAGCATTTGAATTTCTTTGTGAACAGAGCACCAGTATTTCTTCATTAGCTGGCCTACAGTTGTGAGTTTGAACTCAATTCTACAGATACCAGTTTTCGTAACTTACTTTGTAGCACCAGGAGGCAGACCCAGTCTCTCATAATCGTTTTTTGCATTGCGGAGTTTTTGAATGGCATCAACCTGCTCTTTTGAGTAGCCGAGTGTGGTTTGTACCGGGACTCGCTTTCCTCCATTTTCAAAAGCCGTGACAACAGACTCAAACAACGTCTGTAAAATAGAGAGCATAAACTCAAAGTCTTTAAAACAGAGAGCATAAACTCAAAACAATGTCTGTAAAATAGAGAGCATAAACTCAAAGTCTGTAAAACAGAGAGCATAAACTCAAAACAAAGTCTGTAAAACATAGAGCATAAACTCAAAGTCTGTAAAACAGAGAGCATAAACTCAAAACAAAGTCTGTAAAACAGAGAGCATAAACTCAAAACAAAGTCTGTAAAACAGAGAGCATAAACTCAAAGTCTGTAAAACAGAGAGCATAAACTCAAAACAAAGTCTGTAAAATAGAGAACATAAACTCTAGAAAATTTCTGTAAAACTGGGGCCAGGTAAAATTAAACTTTAGATTCTCATCCCCGCCCACCCCTCTCAAAGTGCCCCGCCCTGTTGTTTTTTATTTTGGTTTTTGGGTTTCAAAAGTATTTACATGTATTTTTACTCAGCAAGAATCACAGTCAAAATTTAAGAGTTATCTCCCATCTGTATTTATAGCACAAAAGCCATGTGAAGAATGGAGAAAAATCGGCAATAAAAGCAGTTTAAATATGTAGGGAAAAGATAATTTGCCAGAATAGAGAAGGCATAGAAGCAAAAATAACATAAATACATCTAGAAACCATCACTGGCATGAGCAAGTTTTTAAAGAGATTTTAACCAAGTAAAAACAGACGAAGAAAATGACATCTGGTCAAGTTATAACTTAATAATCGCCAGTTGTATGTGATTTTGTATTTTTTTTTTTTAAAAAAAAGATCATCGCAGACTTTAGAGGATAATAATGCTAAGGAAATGGTAAATCTTAAACTGTTGAGCATACGCTTCTCAGTAGAATATTTTACAGTTTTAGACATCCTGTTTTGCAGAAATGACATATTTTAATGTTGAACGTGTCAAGTCTCAAGAACAAAAGTATGAGGACAGTGGAAATCTGTGGTATTTCACACAAAACAAAAGGAGTTGTAAGTAAAACTAAAAGGTATTTGGAGAAAGGCTGATGAGAAGTCGTGACTACTACATACAGCATATGCAATTTATTGGGATCCACACCCCATTTTGTGTGACGTGTGCCGTATCTACATGTACTTGAAAATTCATTAATAAAAACTATAAATATTTAATATTCTATAACAAGAATCTTCGGTAGATATTTAAAAGAATAATAATAAAATATATTCATATTGGCATTAACATAATGTGAAAATTTTGTGTAAGAAGAGCGTTATGTAAATATTTTCAATAATAAAAAATAAAAAATAAAATCCGCCCACCCGCCCCAATTTTTTAGCAGATTAGGATGAGAATCTAAATTTTAAATTTATGTGGCCTGGAGTATAAAGTAAAATAAAGTCTGTAAAACCAGAGTGTGATTTCAAAAGTAAACAAACATAAAATGTATATATGCAATACTTTTAAAAGGTTCAGATATTTCTTAAAAGTCATTCATTATAGGTTGTATTGCAAAATAATGTGGTATGTAATTATTTGTCAACATTTGTTTCTACAGAGACTGAGATAACTGTAGCACACTAGAGATAAACAACAGCCTTCCGGCTTGGTTTTTATTTGCCAACAAAATCTCTCGACTATCGGGGTATATTCTTCAACAATTCCTCCAATGCAGGAATTACTTCTTAAATAACTGACAAACTGTGAACATTTCACATAATACTGGCTCTATACTATATGCTGATGTCTCAAAGGGCTATATCTACTGATCTACCAAGATGAAATTCCTTTTACTAACATATAACTATAACAAACCTGGAACATTTCTGACATGCCCTCTCCTGTCTGGCCCGACATCACAAAGTAAAGGTACAAACCTGGAACATTTCAGACACGCCCTCTCCTGTCTGATGTCTCAAAGTAAAGGTACAAACCTGGAACATTTCTGACACGCCCTCTCCTGTCTGATGTCTCAAAGTAATGGTACAAACCTGGAACATTTCAGACACGCCCTCTCCTGTCTGATGTCTCAAAGTAATGGTACAAACCTGGAACATTTCAGACACGCCCTCTCCTGTCTGATGTCTCAAAGTAATGGTACAAACCTGGAACATTTCAGACACGCCCTCTCCTGTTTGGGCTGACGTATCAAAGTAAAGGTACAAACCTGTAACATTTCAGACACGCCCTCTCCTGTCTGGGCTGACGTATCAAAGTAAAGGTACAAACCTGGAACATTCAGACACGCCCTCTCCTGTCTGATGTCTCACAGTAAAGGTACAAACCTGGAACATTTCAGACACGCCCTCTCCTGTCTGAGCCGACATCTCAAAGTAATGGTACAAACCTGGAACATTCTAGACACACCCTCTCCTGTCTGACGTATCAAAGTTAAGGTACAAACCTGGAACATTTCTGACATGCCCTCTCTTGTCTGATGTCTCAAAGTAATGGTACAAACCTGGAACATTTCTGACACGCCCTCTACTGTCTGATGTCTCAAAGTAATGGTACAAACCTGGAACATTTCAGACACACCCTCTCCTGCCTTGGTCGACATCTCATAGTAAAGGTACAAACCTGGAACATTTCTGACACACCCTCTCCTGCCTGGGCTGATGTATCAAAGTAAAGGTACAAACCTGGAACATTTCAGACATGCCCTCTCCTGTCTGGGCTGACGTATCAAAGTAAAGGTACAAACCTGGAACATTTCAGACACGCTCTCTCCTGTCTGGGCTGATGTATTAAAGTAAAGGTACAAACCTGGAAAATTTCTGATACGCCCTCTCCTATCTGATGCATCAAAGTAAAGGTACAAACCTGGAACATTTCTGATACGCCCTCTCCTATCTGATGTATCAAAGTAAAGGTACAAACCTGGAACATTTCTGACACACCCTCTCCTATCTGATGTATCAAAGTAAAGGTACAAACCTGGAACATTTCTGATACGCCCTCTCCTGTCTGGGCTGATGTATCAAAGTAAAGGTACAAACCTGGAACATTTCAGACACGCCCTCTCCTGTCTGAGCTGATGTATCAAAGTAAAGGTACAAACCTGGAACATTTCAGACACACCCTCTCCTGTCTGATGTATCAAAGTAAAGGTACAAACCTGGAACATTTCTGATACGCCCTCTCCTGTCTGGGCTGACATATCAAAGTAAAGGTACAAACCTGGAACATTTCTGATACGCCCTCTCCTGTCTGAGCTGACGTATCAAAGTAAAGGTACAAACCTGGAACATTTCAGACACGCCCTCTCCTGTCTGGGCTGATGTATCAAAGTAAAGGTACAAACCTGGAACATTTCTGACACACCCTTTCCTATCTGAGCTGATGTATCAAAGTAAAGGTACAAACCTGGAACATTTCTGACACGCCCTCTCCTGTCTGAGCTGATGTCTCAAAGTAATGGTAGCCCTTGGTCTCCGTCCAGATTCTGGCCTCTGCCTCATCTACCACCCTCTTCTTATCCGACTGAAAAATGATTTATCCTGAATTATTTATCCTTGTTCTCAGTGCACCAATACAGATCATCGTGACATGTACTAGTGATGGGAATCGATAAGAATTTCATAATCGATGATCGGGTTACACTATGTAACTAATTATCGATTATAATCGGACATTTACAAAGTCTCTCAATTTAGTTAATTTAATGGTAAGAATGGGTAAATGACTACTTTTCTGCATATGTATTTGTTGTTTATTTTGCTGAATAAGAATAAATGAATATCATCTGAGTGTTTTATTGAGTGTGTATCTGTTTTTCTTTAATTTTTCTTCATACACTGTACAGATATATACATCTATACCCAGGAATGTGCTTTGTTATCCAGGTATGGATACAATTCTGTTTGTCTGGCCATTACGATACCCAAATAAGTTAATAGATAAGTTGCAGCTGGAATATTTGACTTAAAAACTATTACGCTTGTTAAAAAAGATAATAAACCGATTAATCAGAATAAAAATTTTGTAATCGAGCGCTTGAATTAGGTATGCCAGCAATCGACTGATTTTCGATTATAATCGATGATTGGAACATCACTAACATGTACATCAACAATTAACACAGAAAGTCAACTCTTCCATATGCAGTTGTACCATGTAGGTTTTATGAAAAAAAATACAAGGGAGGCATAACCCTCCCTATGAGAATTAACTCTATAACTTAGAAATCCAATGCTTTATTTTCATCTAAAAAGTGCTGCTTCAAATTTAGTCTACATGGTGCAGTGTACTAAGTTTGCTTCAATTTTATTTCCATGGTCTATTAGAAAATTGTTATCATGATTTATTAAGTGAAAAGGACATCTCCCTCAAGTTTTCCATTTTTTTTCAATTACCTAGCAATTAACACAAACATTTCTCTGAGCATTAAGATCCACAAATTTGTGTACCTTGTTAGCACAAACACACACAACAACGTTGTCCATTTCTGACTGGTTCCCAATTTCATTCTGCATTTCCAGCATCCAGCTGTCGAGTGCATCAAAACTCTGTCTGTCACTGACATCAAAAACAACTACAGCTCCCTGTGTATCCTTATAAAACTCATTCCGCACCTGTAAATACAAACACAACAACAGCTCCCTGTAAATACAAACATAACTACAGCTCCCTGTAAAAAAATACAAACACAACTTCAGCTCCCTGTAAACACAAACACAACAACAGCTCCCTGTAAATACAAACACAACAACAGCTCCCTGTAAATACAAACACAACTATGGCTCCCTGTAAATACAAACACAACTACAGCTCCCTGTAAATACAAACACAACAGCTCCCTGTAAATACAAACACAACAACAGCTCCCTGTAAATACAAACATAACTACGGCTCCCTGTAAATACAAACACAACTACAGCTCCCGGTAAATACAAACACAACAACAGCTCCCTGTAAATACAAACACAACTACAGCTCCCTGTAAATACAAACACAACTACAGTTCCCTTAAAAGTACAAACACAACTACAGATCCCTGTAAATACAAACACAACAACAGCTCCCTGTAAATACAAACACAACTACAGCTCCCTGTAAATACAAACACAACTACGGCTCCCTGAAAATACAAACACAACAATAGCTCCCTGTAAATACAAACACAACAACAGCTCCCTGTAAATACTGACACAACTACAGCTCCCTGTATATACAAACACAACAAAGGGCTCCCTGTAAATACAAACACAACTACAGCTCCCTGTAAATACAAACACAACTACGGCTCCCTGTAAAAACAAACACAACTACAGCTCCCTGTAAATACTGACACAACTACAGCTCCCTGTATATACAAACACAACTACAGCTCCCTGTAAATACAAACACAACTACAGCTCCCTGTAAATACAAACACAACTACAGCTCCCTGTAAATACAAACACAACTATGGCTCCCTGTAAATACAAACACAACTACAGCTCCCTGTAAATACAAACACAACAGCTCCCTGTAAATACAAACACAACAACAGCTCCCTGTAAATACAAACATAACTACGGCTCCCTGTAAATACAAACACAACTACAGCTCCCGGTAAATACAAACACAACAACAGCTCCCTGTAAATACAAACACAACTACAGCTCCCTGTAAATACAAACACAACTACAGTTCCCTTAAAAGTACAAACACAACTACAGATCCCTGTAAATACAAACACAACAACAGCTCCCTGTAAATACAAACACAACTACAGCTCCCTGTAAATACAAACACAACTACGGCTCCCTGAAAATACAAACACAACAATAGCTCCCTGTAAATACAAACACAACAACAGCTCCCTGTAAATACTGACACAACTACAGCTCCCTGTATATACAAACACAACAAAGGGCTCCCTGTAAATACAAACACAACTACAGCTCCCTGTAAATACAAACACAACTACGGCTCCCTGTAAAAACAAACACAACTACAGCTCCCTGTAAATACTGACACAACTACAGCTCCCTGTATATACAAACACAACTACAGCTCCCTGTAAATACAAACACAACTACAGCTCCCTGTAAATACAAACACAACTACAGCTCCCTGTTAATACAAACACAACTACGGCTCCCTGTAAATACAAACACAACAACAGCTCCCTGTAAATACAAACACAACAACAGCTCCCTGTAAATACAAACATAACTACAGCTCCCTATAAATACAAACACAATTACAGCTCCCTGTAAATACAAACAAACTACAGCTCCCTGTAAATACTGACACAACTACAGCTCCCTGTATATACAAACACAACAACAGCTCCCTGTAAATACAAACATAACTACAGCTCCCTGTAAATACAAACACAACTACAGCTCCCTGTAAATACAAACATAACTACAGCTCCCTGTAAATACAAACACATCTACAGCTCCCTGTAAATACAAACACAATTACAGCTCCCTGTCTATCCTTAAAAAACTCATTCCACACCGGTAAATACAAAGCTACAAAATGAAAAAAAAAACTATGTCTGGTAAAGGCATATTCCTGTCCTCTTAAAGTTAAATTTTAAAAAAATCTTTTGAAATATTCACCATCATATATACTGTCTTTAAAATCTGATTAAACAAAATCTTTTCTGAATGGAAAAAATAAATGGCATTTTTTGTCTATGTGACACTGAGATTTTCTGTCAATTAAAAAAAAAGTTTTAAATGCACAAAATTTGTTTTAATTTTTTTTTTTTACAGAGAACAGTTTACTCAGGTAAAATATTCACAAATTTCATTGTTATTATCACTCCATACAATGTATAAAAAAATCAAATCTGCACAGACCTGCAACCAATCAATAAATCAATGCAAATACATGTACATTACTTTCTCTGAAAATCATTGAAAAATTAAATTTACTGAATACTCCTTTGAAGAATTTCAAATACCGATACCTGTGATTTGACCATTCAAAATAAGATCTAAACCTTTGCATTTTCAGCTTTTTAAAACTTACAAAGGTTGGAAAAAAGCTGTGTTTTAATTAATTAATGTGAAGGCTTTACCTCATAAAATATGGGATGTCCTGCCATATCAAAGATGTTCACCTTAATTTCTCTGTCTCTAACCGTCACTCTGCAAAGTCAAATGAAAGGAAGAGAACGTAATCTCATGAAATATGAAATGCTGTATAAAATATTGATACACATTAAGATATATTTTTTGTAGCACGGAATCATGCTTACTTTGTAACACCATAATCAATCCCTATAGTTGCTAGGTACTTGTGAACAAACCTCTTCTCACAATATCGCTTTATGATGCAGCTCTAAAGTAAAAATTGAAATAGATTTAGTAATTGAAAAATACTTTAATTAAAAACATTCTGCTCTAATAAAGCCCATATATTAAACTAATTAATTATTATAGTGAGTGCACAAAGTGAGCCAACAGTTATAGTGAAGATTAAGTTCTTACAGGAAGCTAAAAGACACAAAAAATAAACTGCATCTACATGTACTCTACAATGGCCTATCGTAAAATAAATTGCAATAGGCCTATTTTAGACTTAGTTACGGAAATGCAGCTTACATTTGACATCACACTCTAGACAGTGCGCTGTCACCACTGTGCAGTTTGAAGAGTTGGAAGAAATATATGGAGATAGCAAACAGTAATCAAGCTAATGAGTCCATTCACACAATACAAATCAGGAGCAGAGCAAACATGGACCTCTAAAACATCAGAGGTGGGATAAGGTGCCATGGAGGAGTGAGCATCCCCTGCCGACCGGTCACACCAGCATTGTGCTCCTTGTCATGATCCGGAAATAATGGAAAAATCCATTGACAATTTAGTGTGTACATAATGGCCTACAGTGTAACAAACAGTATGAAAAACGTCAGTCAGCATTTGACTTAATGATAGAATGTATTTGCTGACAAGGTCTTGACCATAGAACTTGCGAAGACTGTTAATAGTGAGTGCAGCAAGCAGCGCAAAGCACTGCTTGCAAAGCAAGCTCAATAGACTAACCTGTAAGAACAGAGGAAATTCGGAATGAAATCTGCACATACGTCAGGCAAAGTTTCTTGTGCAACGTTCCCAGAATTCCTTCGCTACCAGGGTTCCATGTGAAATTATTACAAATCATACAAATGACCAAGGATAATTGCTCCTTATCAAGAGATATTTTTACTTTTATTTCTTTGCAGAGAGCTTAAAAGAACAAAAAACAATTGCATCTACTCTACAACGTATTTCATTTAATTTTGCACAAGAACTGTTGTCTCATTCAACAATATGTTGGGTTGTCTCCATAAATTTCAACGTCATGTGACGTCACAGTCTAGAACGTTCTCGTGCGGTTTGAAGTTTGAAGAGGCAGATCAAAGTTAAAAGTGTAAGCTGTGTATATAGTTTTTGATGGTACAACTGTGCTCATAACAACGGTCACACCGTAAAACATATTATTCTTGTTTCATCAATCAAAGTTATAAGGGTAAGCTTTGTAAAGTTTTTGATGGTACAACAGTGCTTGCCCCAATGGTAACGGTCACGCCAACCAATGTACAGTATTTGTGTCTAAAAATGTAACATATATATATTTATTCTTACAGTAATAACATTGTCATCAAAGTGACTTTAAAATTTAAAACAAATGGGTAATTATTGTTGTAAGATTGAAGACTGGGCTGGACAACACTTGAGTAGGACCTTTCCTCTTTAAGAGACATTTTTATAAACACGGAGGTGGGTACATTATACCTTGCCGGTCTCAGCGTTTCCCATGCTGATTATTTTTATCCTCAGCGGCTTTTTCGATTTCTTGTCCATTCCTGTCATCTTTATTTTTCTACCAAATCTCAACTATCAAGTAAGTTTTAAACACAAACAAATTTTTACATTTCATCATACATCGATGAGAAATCCATTGGTTTCGCTATCACGGTAAATATGTGGAACTTTCATGATAACAATATCTGATAAGAAGTATTCAGATTCACAAAAGTCTACTTCACATATCCTTTCTCCATTCCCAAAAATATAAAATCTTAGCAGATAACACTTAAACTTTGTTGAAGTTGAAACTTGAAAGCGTCTTTGGCAACTCAAAAGCAAGGGAGCGGAATTTCACTTCCGCAGATAATATCTCACGTAATTTGATTGAGGTATAATATGTATGCTGTTTTGGATCTCGTAACCAGCCTCTATAACCAGGCAGAGCGCATGCGTGAAATAAATTTCCATCGAGATCGGAAAACAGTAGAGAGGAAATTCGGAATATATAATGGAAACTAGTAATGCGGAATGATACTATAATCAGATGCAGAAATTTTTGCATAATTCGATCAACTTTTATTTAAAAAAGCAGAATAATAAATGAATCAACTTTACAGTTAGTTTTTATTTATTTATTTATTTATTTATTTATTTATTTATTTATTTATTTATTTATTTATTTATTTATTTTATCATTCTTATAATTAATTAACTAAGTAACTGATTAATTTATTAAAAAAATATATATTTGTATTTTTTTTTTAAATTCATTTATAACATTCTTTCCTTCATTTATTAATTATTCCATCCATTAATTAATTATCTATTAATTAATTCATTGATTTATTAATTTGTATGCATGTTTGTTTATTTATTTATTTATTTATTATTCTAATAATTAAGTAATTGATTAATTCATTAAGAAGTTCATTTATTTGTTTGTTTATTTATTTATTACATTCATTCCTTCATTTATTTCGTATTCTATTAATTAATTTATTTATTTATTTATTTATTTATTTATTTATTTATTTATTTATTTATTTATTTATTTATTATTTATCTATTTATTTATGCATTCATTTATTCGTATTTTTATTTATTTCTTTATTTTTTATTTCTTTATTGATTGATTGATTTATTTTTGCATTTATTTATTGATTAATTTATGCATTTATCATATATTTCTTTTATAAATTAATTATTTTTACAGGGTTTATATACTTATTATCAGGGTCTGTTTATGCATTGCCATAGTTTGTATACCATCACCAGAGTCTATATACCTATCACCAGGGTCTGTATACCTATCAACAGGGTCTGTACCTATCACCAGGGTCTGTATACCTATCACCAGGGTCTGTATACTTATCACCAGGGTCTATGTACCTATAACCAGGGTCTATATACCCATCACCAGGGTCTGTATACCCATCACCAGGGTCTATATACCTATCATCAGGGTCTGTATACCTATCACCTGGGTCTCTTTACTTATCACCAGGGTCTGTATATCCATCACCAGTGTCTGTATTATCTATCACCAGGGTCTGTATACCCATCACCAGGGTCTGTATACCTATCACCAGGGTCTGTATACCTATCACCAGAGTTTATATACCCATCACCAGGGTCTGTATTATCTATCACCAAGGTCTGTATACCCATCACCAAGGTCTGTATACCTATCACCAGAGTCTGTATACCCATCAACAGGGTCTGTATACCCATCAACAGGGTCTGTATACCCATCACCAGGGTCTATAAACCTATCACCAGGGTCTATATACCCATCACCAGGGTCTGTATTATCTATCACCAAGGTCTGTATACCCATCACCAAGGTCTGTATACCTATCACCAGAGTCTGTATACCCATCACCAGGGTCTGTATACCCATCAACAGGGTCTGTATACCCATCACCAGGGTCTATAAACCTATCACCAGGGTCTATATATCCATCACCAGGGTTTGTATACCCATCACCAGGGTCTGTATACCTATCACCAGATTCTGTATACATATCACCAGGGTCTGTATACCCATCACCAGTGTCTGTATTATCTATCACCAGGGTCTGTATACCCATCACCAGGGTCTGTATACCTATCACCAGAGTCTGTATACCCATCACCAGGGTCTGTATACCCATCAACAGGGTCTGTATACCCATCAACAGGGGCTGTATTCCCATCACCAGGGTCTGTATACCTATCACCAAGGTCTGTATTATCTATCACCAGGGTCTGTATACCCATCACCAGGGTCTATATACCCATCACCAGGGTCTATATACCCATCACCAGGATATGTATACCCATCACCAGGGTCTGTATACCCATCACCAGGGTCTATAAACCTATCACCAGGGTCTATATACCCATCACCAGGGTTTGTATACCCATCACCAGGGTCTGTATACCTATCACCAGATTCTGTATACATATCACCAGGGTCTGTATACCCATCACCAGTGTCTGTATTATCTATCACCAGGGTCTGTATACCCATCACCAGGGTCTGTATACCTATCACCAGGGTCTGTATACCTATCACCAGAGTCTATATACCCATCACCAGGGTCTATATTATCTATCACTAGGGTCTCTATTATCTGTCACTAGAGCTGTACATCTATCACCAGGGTCTGTATACCCATCACCTGTTTGTCTGTCCGCAAAAACTTGCCCATTACTTTTGATTGGTTGGACCTATGGCTTTCATATTTCACATCTGCATTCCTTGTGATAAGGCCTTTGCTTGGGTTCTAACATATTTGACTTTTTTGACTTTGATCTTTGAGTTTTTCTCACTTTTTCAAGAATTTACCAAACTTTAACCTTGGCTATAACTTTTCAACAGTTGGTGCAAGGGCTTTCATACTTTATACTAGTATGTGTATTCATAGTAGCAAGACCTTTGAACGGATATTAAAAAAATTGATCTTGACCTTTGAGTTTTACCAACTTTTAAAAATTTTAACCTTGAGAAATTAGTATCAGGGCTATTATTTTCCACATATGTATTCCTTGTAACAAATCCTTTCTTTGGGTTCCGACATATTTGAAATTTTGACCTTTATCTTGGAATAAGACATACTTTTGAAAAACTTTAATCTTGGCCATATATTTTGAACAGTTGGTGCTAATTCTTTAATGTTTTACATGTGTATTTCTTATGACAAAGCCTTACCCTGGGTACCTTTAATTTGACTCTTTGACCTTGACCTTGCAGTTTGACCCACATTTAAAAAACTTTAACCTGAGCTAAACCTTTTAAATGGTTAGTGCCTGGAATTTCTTATTTCTCAGATATATTCACTGACAGTCCTTTCTTTGGGTAACAACATTTTTCAGCTATTAAGGACATACGCAACGTAGTTTGAACTTTATTGTCTTTTTCCCTGGAGTTGAAGATTTCCAATACTTAAAGGAACTGTGTGCTACATTTTAATGTCTATATATGCTGTTGTACACTTCTTCTAAAACAAATCTGGATAAACAAAACATCTAGAATATATGTTTAATAATTTTTGTATATTTTTCTTTGAATTATACAAGAATTTTCATCAATTGATATCTTTTCAAAACCCTTGGTAATGCATGCTGATTTTTTGTCTACGAACATCTGATGGCACTATAATCTTAAATTAAGAATATCTTGAAAAATTATCAGTAGGTAAGGTACGTTGCGTATGTCCTTAATATTTGAGTTTGAGTTGCATTTGAGAAACTTTAACCATTGTCAAAAGCTGCCATACAGGGACATCAGTGTTTCACAAACACATTTTGTTTTAATTTGAAATACCAAAGAAAATTAAATTGAAATATTCGATAATAACCATTATAGTTTTTAGATAATTTTGTTCACTAAAGAAGAGAAAGTCCTTTGCTGTAAAGTGAGGTTTATTTGTACGTTTATTTGTTCACTAATTTGTTTATTTATTTTTCGCCTGAAATGACCATGTTATAGACCGTTCGAGAAATTGATACGATATGTTCTTTGACATCAAACATATCAAACTTTCATGCATACTTAGCTTTGAAGTCTACATTTGGACTTTGCGACTTTGTAAAAATATTTTTTAATGAACGTCTGCACTGAAAAGTTAAGTTTAAATTTCAATTTAAATTTAAAGAGGTATAACCTATCGATTACATGAATTTTTATTGGGGGAAGTGGGTTAAAGTCACTATTTATAACAAAGTGTTGTCAGTCTTACTATCATGATAAATAAAGAAGGATGGCTAAATAATTGTCTGGAATGTGTTGCTTGGAATTTATTTCAAGGCCTAAACACTTAGATCAAGGTGTAGGGAAAGGTCGACCAATAATAACCACCTCACTATAGATTTTCAAGGCACCTAAATACTACAGATTTTATTTATTTCATTTGTATTTACAATTCATCAAATTATAATTTCAGATTAACAATTTGTTATTACAATTTTTTATCTATTATAAAACAAGTTAACATATTATAATTGCAAATTATTTGATTTGTTGTATAAATATTTTCCTTCCTACTGAGTTTATGTTAAAGTATGCATTTGAATTCCCCCAATACTGATGTACAAAAATCACCGTTACGGAAAACAAGATGTTTGTGAAACACTGATGCCCCCGTATGGCAACTTATAGCAAAGGTTAAACTTTCTCAAACGCAAATCAAATATGTTGGTACCCAAAGTAAGGTCTTGTCCCGAGGAATAAACCTGTGAAATATGAAAGCCCAGGTAGCAACGATTGAATAGATATGGATAAGGTTAATTTTTTTTTCAAAGGTATGTCAAAAATCAAGGTCAAGGTCAAATGGTCAAAATTAATGGTGCCCAAGGAAAGGCCTTCTCCCAAGAAATACACCTGTGAAATATGAAAGCCAAAGCACCGACCTTTCAAAAGTTATGACCAAGGTTAAAGTTTGATAAAAATTTTGCAAAACTGGGTCAAACTCCAAGGTCAAGGTCAGATATGGTGGTACCCAGAGAAAGGTCTTGTCACAAGGAATACACATGTAAAATATGAAAGTCATAGCTCCAACCAATCAAAAGTTATGGGCAAGGTTAAAGTTTTTGCGGACAAACAGACAGACGGACGGACAGGGCAAAACTACATACCCCCGAATCTTCGATACGGGGGCATAAAAATGCGAATAAAGCGTTCGATTGATTTATCTTATCCAATAAATTAAAGAATTGAGAACACTTAAACTGGTTGCAAATTGTACATCTAGTAGGAAAATTCTATGAGATATTTTGTTTATAAAACAAGTAGAATCAACAGTTAACACATTAATCACAGATTGTGTTTGCCTGCACATGATTAGAAAAACTGACTTTC